CTCGACGACTTCGTGCTGCATACTCGTCAGGAAGTTCAGTTGTGAAGTAGTAATTGCACGTAGTCTTGTAGAACTTGCGAACTGATTGACCAAGTATGACGGTGGCAATATCAAAAAAATCCAGTGTGTCGGTGGTATGCATCCGAAGCTTCGCATATGCGTGCCATGACGCTAGGTCAAAGAGAAGGTCAAGGATTATGGTATTGTGAGGCTCGGGCAATAGATTCTCGAATACAGCCATAGCACACTGACAGAAAATTAGATGATACGTGATATCAATGGTATGGCTACTGACCTGCAGAAGATCCTCGAAGTCTCGAGCGGCCAATTTTTTCATGGCTGAAGCGTTATGGTGAAAGCGACGAATTGTTCCTCTACCAAATGTAGGGACTCCTCTGTATCTAGAAAGGATATTAGCATACATAATCTGCAAGTGGGCGAGTACCTTTGGCACCGATGCACCACATCAAAAAATGACTTACCGTTCATTTAGCTTCTGCACTGCCGTTCCTCCAGCTGCATGCAAGATTCGCATCAGGTGCGTGAAAAGTGCTTTCCAAGCACCGATCTCGAACTCATGCAGTTGGTCAATCACAAACAGTGAAAACATGTCAATGCCATGGTCTGCTAGTCGTGCAGAAAATGTGTTCTAATGATAATTATCAGTCAGTGTGAACGTTAATAGGCATATAGTAGCACTTACACGAATTGGCACGTATGATTCTTCATTGAGAATTGCCTTGACACGACTGCCGTCCACTGGAGCTCCAAGTTCGAAGATCAATTTCCGAGCCTCTTCCACTCATTGTCGTCGTCGTAGGCTATCAGTGCACTCCTGTGTGACCCGGCGCCTCATGTCTAGTACCATTCCCATCATATGAATGTCGGTCTTCTTAACAAGACAGCGAGGGCATGGACGCTGCCCTAAAAATTTGATACTAGTGAGCAGTATCCTCGAGTAATGCATCAATATCAGCCAAGTAATGTCAGGTGGGACTTACTTTTCTGGATAATCTGCGGAGTATGAGAAAAACCGAGGGAATACCCTTCGTGTAATCCCATCACTACAGTGAATAACAATACCGTGCTTATATGCTTCCACAAACTTTCCATCAAGAATTAACTCCCAAATTGCGTGAACCAACTCGCGTTTGAGGTGCGTGAATGTGCTACTTGAGGCTGGTTCACCAAATATATCCACATAAACGTCTTGTAAATTATGTGGCAGCTGCAGGTAGGTTCAGTAAAATATGTTCGTAAAGAGATGTATACATACATTGGGAATATATGCCAAGTGGTGACACGCACGAGCCGTAGGCTTTCCTCGTGTATATTTGGACTGATTACCGAAGAATAAGTAAAGTGGCCAGAGAGATGCGTCTCCAAAGCTTGCTAAGTGAGTGGCGTCTGACCAGACCATTAGCGAGGCAATGACACGCTCGAGTTTGTCATCAGGATCTCGGGGAAGAGCATTCAGTTCTTTGTAAGCGTTCACCATTTCAGGGGAGGCATAGGATTCAGAGAAAACTTCCAGTGTTCGATTATCTGGGGTATTCCAGTACTGGCGGAATGGAGTCATGTTGAAATGCAGTGACACATCATCCTCGAACACGCGCGTGATGATATCAACTAGAGAACGGTGGTAAACGCCAGGGATTGCGAGCTCAGGAGCGTCGGTCTCTGATGGGAACTTAGCCTTCTCGTTGGGTAAGCGGATCTTGACAGTAGACCTTTGCCAGCCGTAATGTTCGTGGAAGGGATTGGATCTACCATCAAGGTAATCGTCTAGCCGTTTGCTCTCGCGTGTGTGATTGAAACCAACTAAGTCAGCCTGCTTAAAACTGGGATCACAAAGGAACTCAGCAAGGCGATTGAGTTCGGTTGCTGATTTTGCATTACTGCCAGAATAGTGCCAGGCCATCAAGAGGGCTGATGACGGATTTGTGAATGCTCCAAACAGATCGTCATCGCTGATTTCGGGGGAGGAGACTCCTGGGTGCACTCTGTGAGGGGTAGCGCATGCACCCTCCAGGGTCGGAGCATCTGTGACACCCTCTAGTGTGCAGTTAGCTTCTGGGGCCAGAGTGGGATGCATTGGATATATGCTGTACAGACCGAACGTATCCGGTTGTGTTTGGAAGGGTATAAGCTGGGGAGGATCAGGTAGATCAAAGGGTGGTGGTGATGGCTGGGGTGATGAAGCACTGCAGCTTTGGGGAGCTTCGTTCTCATTACCCGAAATGCCTGCATGTCGCTGTTGAACAATTGAAGGCATGTGTGCAAGGTGTGTACGTGTGCCCGGGAGATAGTCAACGAATCGACGTGGCATGCGAATAGTGCGTCCAGAACGTTTTGATGTGATCGTAGGGGCTGGAGGTACATTTGATGGATCACCAATATTCTGGAATTGGTAAGTGCACTGTAAGATTTGGCTCTAACGATCCAGACAAAACATACCTGATTGACCGCGGCTGTATCATCATCCACATCCATCCCGCTATCATCCATTGCCCTTGCTTCACCGTCCCTCGCTTCCTGCATCACCTCCTCCTTTTCAATCCGAGGCCATTTTGACCTCCTTCCATCGTTAGACTTGTGCCGTTTGATGGCACGGTGTAAAATGTCCGAGAGCTTCAGAGCTTTGTTCTGCAAGCAGCGGGAACGATGCCCAGAGAGCGATCTTTGTGTGTGAAAGGTCTTACCACAGGCAAGGCAGGGCTGCTCCATCTTGATCAAAGAGTTGAAAGGCTCAGACTCGGAGCGATGCGACTTGGACAGCGGCTGAGGAACTTCGGCCCACTCGGAGTCGGAGCTATTGAATAAGATTCAATGTCAGTCCTGGGTCGGATCAAAGCTGATGATATTAATATTAAATATAGATATTGTATGGAAGCGTCAGCCAAGATAGATAATATTTAGCACTTCGCTCTCAATGTGGCAATACCCCCAGCGGCGTTCATAATGCTAGCCTTTCGGATCTCACTCATGACCGATCGCTGGTGGCGGACCGCCTCAACAACGTTACCTGTGCCTGCCTCGCCCTTTGTGCGGATGGAAGCAGCTCCTTATGAGATGCGACGAAGGGCCTTGCCAGTGGAAGTCGGCCAGAAGTCAGGCCGGAAATAAGGTAAATAGCCTAGTACAAGAAATGAAGTCAGTACACATGGTAGGTAGTAGGAATCGATATGATAAAAGTTAAAAACTGTCAGGCTTAAATGCTCAGAGTTGCCTCGTAGAGGCGTGTCCTCGCAGCCTGACAGCCTCTGGTCCAAGTTGCCTCCTGGAGGCGTGTTGGACCAGGAAGTGAAGTGCAAATATAATAAAAATAAGAATAAAAAAAAACTCACCAGAGTTGTTGCGCTCGCTCGGACGGATGACCAAAGGTTTAGGGCAATGAGTGGGGTTGTTGATGGGATGAGAGAAGCGCCTGGTTGACGAGAGTGGTGAGAACTGATGCCAACAGCGACCATGCACAATTGGGTATCTTCGTGTGCTTTGAGGGCGGGATACAGGAATGGCAGGAAGGCTTGAATGTACGGTGCAAATCCGACCCGAATTTGAACGGAGCACGTTCTCGGCGCTGAAATGACACTGAGGGACAGGACGACGTTAGTGTTGGTGATGCAGATGAATTGAAGGGACGATCTCACCTCGCGACCTTGGGTAGCAGCAGTCGCTGGTCAGGACATAATCTAGATAGAGAGTGAGCAAGAAAGAAAAAACGGTCAAAATATGTGGATGTGGTGGAAGGGGAAGCGGCGCTCCACTACTCAGCCTCGGGGCGGGGATGGGCCATACCGGGCTTCGTAGGGAGGGGAGTTTAAGCAAACCAAAAAGAAAGGACGCTCACCGATACTACAATATCCAGCGCCCTGCTCTGTCCCTCAGCCCACAGGAAACAGCTCGAAGACGAGCTCCTGCATACTCGGAGAGATGGAAGAGGCTGCAAAGGCCGAAGAGACGCGCAAGCAGGAGGAGGAGGCCGCCGCCGCCAACAAAGCCCAATTGTAAATGTCGAGGATGGACAAAGTACGAAATTTTGCATGTGACTTTTCAGAAGTCCGCCGGCAAATGCCGGTCAAGCAAATGCGTTAACATGTACAAATAATGAGGGATGTTTGTCCGTCCATCCCGTCTGCTTAGCGGACCGTTCATCACTCCTGCACAACGGGTGCCATCTACTCAGGTGCAAGTAGAACGGGCCGACCCTGGCCTGACGAAAGCACCCTAAGTCGTCAATCCACCTTCCGAACCATCTTTGTTCCAAATTCACCCACACGAGTCGTCAGATGGAGGGCAAACCACCGAACTTGGGACCGTTCAACTCATCACACGGTTCATTGTGGACAGCAAGCCAAAGGCAATTTCCGCTGCATGCTGCGCATGCAACCACATTCAATGGTTGCCAAGGACTCACGCTGGTGCGCACAGTACTTGACCTGTGGACTGATCCGTTTGCTCACGGCCAATTATATGTTCAGGGTGAGGACGCAAAGGGATACACTGTGTTTGTTTGCAGAGATGAAAGAAGAGCAAGACTGCACAAATATCGTGTTTCCTCCCTTGCTACTGTAAATACAATTTGTCGTCGAAGAGAAGACCGAAGGTGTGTCCTTGTAATGCTGTAACCCTTAACCATCATGTCCTGTCATTGTCCTGGCGTGGCGTTAAGCTCATCTGACCCCCCTGACTCAGATATAATCTATGCGCGTGGCTCTTCAGTAACATTGTTCAATTATTCTCCGCAACCTGTTAAAATTGAGAAGCGCAAGTCAACATTGGAGCCATCGGAATCCAGCAAACAGAAATGCAAGGCTCTAGAAAATAGTGAAGAAGAGCTTGAAATACGCAATGTCAAGGCTAAGGCATCTAAATGTCCATGATCGTAAGTTTTTTTCACCTATATGCACGCATATATTGACTAATATTGCATATTAGCCATAAAAAGGATGTCTTTCGCATTGCACCTATTATCGAGGATGCACATGCTCACTTGGACAATGACTCTGATGCAGACGACACACAGTACTCTCTTAGCTAACATGTAAGTGATATTTTTGTGTTTATTTACTGCTAACAGTGACAAGATCCAAAGACATGCAGGACCAGATGCTCCGGACGTTCAAGAAGATCATTACAGGAGCCCCTTACCTTCAAGAACTCGTAAGAGCTTAGATGCTGGGATACAGACCCTGGGTGAAGGTTTAGAACTGTGGCGCGGATACTTCCAGTAAGCTCAGGATCTCTGTGGCGACACACATTTGACCAACATACAATTATTAGGAGTGTTCACCCTACCATTGGAAAGAACATTGATGTGTCGACAGCGGTCATGTAAGCAAGCCTGTCTCAACAATCACTATACATTAACACTCATGTAAATCTAAATCTCAGATTCAAGCAGGGTAGCTTTCAGACCGCCGCTCTTGCTGTTCTCAAGCAGAACAATGTTCGTGCACTGGACCTCTGCCCAGATTTGCCGCAGTTCAGGCAGTTGAAGAACTTCTTCAAGGGCATTTCTGTCACGCTCATCCACCGGCTGGCAGGTTTCAGACCGCCGCTCTTGCTGTTCTCAAGCAGAACAATGTTCGTGCACTGGACCTCTGCCCAGATTTGCCGCAGTTCAGGCAGTTGAAGAACTTCTTCAAGGGCATTTCTGTCACGCTCATCCACCAGCCAGGCCTCAAAAAGATTTGAGGATTGTATCTTCGACATTACCCATTGTTATCAGCCCAACGGCATGCACCTTCGTTAAAATACTGATTGTTGTTACACTAGTACGGTGAGTCTATATACAACAATTCACATCCCATGGTTTTCAATAGTGTTACAGATTTCATGGAGAACTTCATTTTGCCTGTTGATGATTGCTTCGATTCTACTCATAGCCTCACGCACTCCCATGACTTCCTGCATGACCTTTGCCAGCAATCCGCCTTCAAATAACTCAAAATTTCTTCCGATCTTCCTGCGTTTCTCAGGTGGAAGTTCGATGATAGGTACTGATGTTGCTCGTGCGTTAGTAACATCACTGCCTAAGTTGCATGGAGTCTGCATGTAGCTGTGAGTGCATCGGCTGAAAAATTGAGCCAGCACACTCACACCATTATCTTCAGATCTTTTTCGCTTTCTATGAGATTCATCAGCGTCTTCAAGACCATCTCGACTTGGAGCTTCTAACTGCTGAAATCGGAGTTGTCAAAGCAGCTAACTATAATCCATAGATACATACTGGCTCTGGTTGTTCGTGCCGTTCAGCTCCAAGTTGAAATTCATCTACAAGCTGAAACGCCTGCTCATTGTTAGGAGGCCAGTCGTCAGGATCGAACCCTCCGGATAGCATATCATGCTTATAGCATCCACAGGAATATACTGGAGCGCCTTGCCCATGGCCAGGATGCCTAGTGCATCCCTGGTGACTTTCTGGAGTAGACCTGTTTGAACGGTTCTCAAATAAGTCAGCATTCGCTAAGATTGCCTCGAGCCCATCATTGAAGTCGCTGGGGCGGGAGTCGTTGCTAAGGGTGTCACAGTCAGATGACATGTTTCTTGCTTACTCCGTCAAGTGTAAGGCTTTTAAATTATTGGGACTTAGCCTGACTTGTGCTCCATTTCAGAGATTCTTTTGGGCCGTTATCGACCCTGCATTGTAATGTGTCACTCTGTCGGATCCCAAAGTATGTGGAGCATGGTGAGCTGAATTATATCCATATGGATTTATTGATTCATTGCTTAATAACTAGCGTCTGGTCACTCCCCACTTTTTATTGTAAGGTAATGATCCGGATTAACACCCCACCTCCCTTCCCTGAAAAACATCCCGTTTCAGGAGCGGCGACCTTACCTGGGACAAAACTGGTCAAGTGCATGACGTACCTGATGGTACCGCAACTATGATAATGCTACTAGTACTAGTGCAGTGGTCAGTGAGCATTTGATGCAAACGTCTTCCCACATTTTCTCTTATGTCTGCTCACAAATCTTCCAGTGCAGCCACTCGCTTACTGACACCGTCCGAATTGGACAGCGACTCCGAGTCTGAGTTGGCCCCCAGCTTGGATGCCTCATCACCACCGACACAAGATCCAAAGGCCAAGTCTAAAGCAAAGCATAACAAGTAAGTCGTTGCACAATAACCTGGTATACTAACTGAGCTGATCTATTATACTCGCAGCACGATAAATAACCAAAGGTAGGTTGACTTGATAATATGCAAAAGGCACTGTGTCACCTTTTACCAATAGGAAAGGCAGCATCACCGCGAGGGAACAGTGCTTGCACTTTGCATGCTGGATCCCTCGTGCCATCGATATGTTTTGTAGCTTAACTGATACATTCCGTATTGCGATGCTAATGGAAGAGGAAGAGGCTTCTAAGGTGTCGGGTCACTCAGAAGATGAAGATGTCAAGGCGCAGCGAGACCAAGTCCTGTCTTATGTGTATGACTTTAGATGTTCCATTATTTTCACTTCCTGACTACCATGTTTACAGGGGTAAAGATGCCCAAGAACGACACATGAGAAATTACTCGAAGATCTTACTTGGAGCCCCATACTTGCGCAAACTTGCGCATGGAAATGTCAAACAACAGACGGAGCTGCACGCTATCCTTACCGAGGTAAGCCTCTGGTGATGTACCCTTGGTGATCTTACCTCTAAACCTAAGAAGATGCAAGTCATTATGGGTCAGGCACGCTCTGACGACACTAGCCACCTTAAGAATTGTGTAGCGCAGTATGCAGCCCCAGACCCTTCAGACAAGGGGCTGGAACCTCCGATTTACGCTGACAACAAATCCCGCGCATTACTTGGTGTGAACCACCCTCAACTCGCTGCAATGCTGTGCCCTATCAAGCATGCAAAAGCATATCATGAGGACCCTAAAAAGTACGTATGAAATCTATGACCGTTCATCATCTTATTGGCGACTTTCAGGGTACAAGCTGAACTTCAGAACGGGGTTATCAGGATTCACTCCGCTACATGGCCTGCATTTATATATGAAGGTACTCCGCCAGGAAAAGACTTCGACCCAGACAATGTTCAGGAGGGATTTTCAAAGGGCTATTATTTGAAATGGGTACGCTTACTATTGCCTTATCAACAACATCTCATGTAGTATTTAGGTTTTTCGTCACATATTTACATCTCCGTCATCTGCGCTTGTTCCAGATGGAGAGATTATTCCGAGTCGTGGATGTAATGCCAAGTTACATGGCATGGAAAAGGTCGAGCCTGAACATATTGCCTATGCATTTGTCCAGGTACGTGCTCTAATATATTTCAATGACTATCTAACAAATGTCATAGAGCCAATTCAGTATTGCCATGCGTGACAAGTGGCATGAAACCGATGGTTGCTATAAGTACAATGAAGCATACACCCGCTTCATCAAGGCAATCAGAGAGGCACCTGATCAAACATGGGCAGAGTCGCTGCTTCAGTGGTGGAACCAGTTGAGTACCATTTTTGCTCTTACCTTGGCATCACACTAATTTTGTGAAGGACGGTATTTGGTAACAAGCATGGCCTCGTCGTGATTGATTTGACCGAGGATGATGAAGATGATGACCTTGTTGTCATGCAGAGACAGCACGAAATGCGCATGGTGGCTGTGCATCAGAAGGTTCGAATTTACTCTATTATTCTCCAATACTAACTGCCTCTAACACTCAGACACGATTGCCCGAGAATGCAGCTGCTACCCCAGCTGCTGCCGAAGACACTGCTGTGCCCCCAACTTCTATGCAACAATCCGAGGCTGCTGACCCACCAATTCCGCCCCTCGCATCTCCATCTGCGACACCTAGTTCCATTGACCCAGAAATAGAGTCTCTAAAACGAATGTTGGGGGAATTCCAAGATGACGATCCTCTCACTGAAGATGAGACCGACATGCCTGCTCCATCAAAGTGTGCTAGGAAGGCTTGCAAGACTACCACAACCTCGAAGAAGACACGCAAGGGCAGAAAGTGATGTGTTCAGGTTGGTTCTTACTCCTATTGTGCCTAGTGACTCGTCTGAACGAACAATGCAGTTTTGACATGATTATGCCCTCCTCTCGTTCGTTGCACATCATTACTATCACTCGAGTGTCTCATATTTGCTCAGCATCTTTGATATTAATCCTACTTGCTTTCTGCCGCACTGCGACCATCCTCAGTTCAAGTTGTACTACTTCCCTGGTTATGAGTGTTTTTACATGTTCAACTACTACTGTACGAGCAGAATGATATGTGCTTATATTGTATGACAGATCTGATAAGGCATCAGCAGGAACTAGCATATAGGTGAACGTTCAGCAGCTGAGCGCGTCTTGTTCATACAATACCTAGACGATGGAAGTTCAGCAGGACTTAGATGCTGGCCAACAGATGATGGGATGTTCAGGAGATGACTGGTGATTGAGAGTCAAACGAGTTTCTAAGTCTTGCAATATCTAGCTTGGCATGACTTGAACGCAGCCACCAGACAATACGACATCGAGCATCAAACCAGTTTATGGGCTTTACAACATCTAGATAACAGAAGGTTGGCATGACTTAGATATAGCCAGCGTGTGGCGGAAAATTCAGCAGGATGATGGCCAGCGAGCAGAAAGTCAGTTTTAGGAGCAGACATTATCTGGACAAATTTGATCTGGTGGTACCTGGCCTGTCTGATGGATCTGTTCCCCGGTGTTGTCGTATGATATGGCAAGCGCTTGCCATATCTAGATTTGGGACTTTTGGTGATGTAGGGTACTGCTTGTTGTCGATATCCACTTTCTTGCCGTCCCATTCGTCCAGACTCAGAGACGTCTATGACATATCTGTCCACACTGTGTGCCATGGACTCGTGGTGGTCACACTAGTCTTTACTAGATAGGTTAATAATGAGCGGTAATAGTACTCTGTTGGACGCGTGGTAAGTTCTCCTATTAATTGAATTCTATTCTTTACATCCACCAGGCATCGTTGATTGGAATCCAATGTTCTATCGAGGCGCATCTTACATCTAATTGTACCACTTTCTATAGCCTCCACAGCTGTATAACACAATCTCAATCTATGTAAGTCGTAGTACTAGCGGCGTTGCAACAGGGAAGGGCCCGCAAACTTATCAAGAGTGTGCAGCCTGGTTGCACCGGGTCACGAGATTTTGGAAATGGATCTGGTTTCTGAAGACTGATTGAATTCTCGTTCATCAGAGAGAGGTCGCAAAAACCGTGCCATCCAGTGCACTCTGCGCCGTGGTACTATTACATGACACACCACCTAAAGTACAAATGAAGTCTGATTCGAATTCATCATCGCCCGAAGGTGTCTTTCTCTCGCCGTGTTCACGATTTCAAACGAACACTGAAATGGTTCAGGGTGACTTCGGTAGAGTTAGCTGCAGGCTCTTGAGTACATACTAGGCCACTTACATCGCCAAGCCGGTGGTGAACTCCGGCTTCACCTCAATCTTGTTTCCGTTAGAGTCTTTGGCATGATCGATGCGCAAGACGGCGAGTATGGCAACAGTAGCAGTCCACAGACTGTTCTCTGCAAACCAGCGACCTGCCACGGAAATTTGTCATCCTCAGCACAGCCAGATCAACCATGAATAATCCTACCAGGACAAATACACCTTGGAATAAGGGTCAGCGAATGATTGAAAATGATAGCAAGTGCGAAATATTCACCTGCCATGACCAAAGGCAAAATGGTTGACGAAAGGGTCCTTCAGCTTCCCGTCGACTGTCAGATGGCGACTTGGATCGAAGCGTGATGCATCGGGAAATATATCTTCATCCCAAGAGAGTGCCCTGAGTCACGCTTAGCTCACGCCGTCGTTACATGCACTCCACCATGACATACCACTGATTAACCATTACCATCGCACCTGAACAAACTACAGATGAGTCAACGACAACCTCGACACACACGACTCGAACCTTTGGGTATGAAGTACCCGTCGTAAACATCATCATTTGAGGCCACATGTGGAATTCCTGTGCAAGGGGTCGACTATTGAAACAGAGTTATATTACTGGGGACTGACCTAGGGGGACGACAGGATAGCATCTCAGGACCTCGCGAAGAATGGCATCAAGGTAGGGCATTGACGCTCTGTCATCAAGGCATGGCATTTTATCGTGTTTCACAGCTTGATCAAGTTCTGCACGAGCCCGTGCTTGGATGTCAGGATAGAGCACCATGGCCAGCAGAAATGTCTGTAATGCAGATGCAGTCTGTGGAACGTCAAAATAAGAATCAGGACTAGGTGAGTAGCAACACACTGTGTCCATGCCAACTAAGATCCCGTACTTCCGTCAATGGATGAGTTTTGTCCTGGTAAAAAAAAAACCCTTACCTAAATATCCCGTCAATGCAACAGCCTTCATGGTGTCTTCGTCAGCGTCGTCGTGAGCTTGACTGAGAAAGTCAGCGACCAATGAGTGTGAAGCAGTACCATTTGCCTTTACGCAAAAAGATCAGGCGAATTTCCATCTACAGCTCTGCGCAAACGTACCATCTGTGCCTTCACTTCATTGAAGGGCTCAATTAAAAGCTGTTGAGCTAATTCTCTACTGCGCCCCATCAGGGAAAATGCTCCACCGAAGCACCACAACGGCAACTTTTTGACTGTCACCTCATGCTAAATGCTCAAAATTATGTCATCGGCAAAGGCACTCACGGAAAGGAAAGGCTATGAGCATGGCAGCCTTCTCGGGAGCAGCAAGATGTTCGCCAATATCATAGAGTTCGCGCGCGCGGGAAAGAAATGGGTCTTCATGTCCGTGAGCAAGGTATCCGTAAGTCACAGCCATGATTAGGGATGCCGCGTATCTGTCACAAAGATTAATAGTCAACTGGACCATAGCATCACAACGACACCGCTGGATTAGATACGAACATTTCAGTCTGATGCTGCCAGTCGCTAGTGACATCCAAGAGATTGACGACTAGTTCGTTTGCGTGCCGAGAGTATATCTCATGGTGTGAGGCTGACACTTCGGCTCTGAGGACTTGATGAAAGATCTTGCGATGTCGCCGTAAAGTCTCGCCATATGGCAGGAACACAGTATTGAAATCCACGCCAGCTCTGCATCGTCAGTGAATGAAAAACAAACTGGTGAGAACCGACAATGCATACAATTCGCTGGTAGGAATAACGGGGCGAGAAGAGTAATTCCCAGAACGCCTGTCGAGCAACTCCCACGTGACTGTTTCAGAGTTTATGATAATCAAGTTGATCCCAAATGTGCGGCAATAAACAATTTTCCCTATGGTCAGAGATGAATTAAGAGCTTGGTAAAGAGGCCATCGATTTGCCACAAACCATATGTCTTTCCCCATGCAGTATATGTGAGCCAAGGTCGTTTAGTATCTAATTGCAGCGCGTTACCAAGAAATGGTAATGCAGGGGGACCAGGCGGCAAAGGTAAAGGGTAGACACGTCTGCGAGTCAGACCTGGAATGACAACCAGGGCAATAATGCACAATAGTCCTAAATCGATATTATCACTGAAGAGCATGGGGAGGGATTATGGTCGAGCCCCAAGACATGTAGTTCGCCTCATAAATGGCGTCTTTGACCCGAATAGCATATTTCGAAGCTTCTGGGTTGAAGACGGGTGTGATGGTATCGCCATGTCAGTACTAGCCTATCGATAAGATTCCTGGGTCCGGATCGAGCACTGCACGAATTGTCCTAAAATCTCATATGAATCGGTTATGTACAGCGGCCACCGGTCACCTGTCACTGATCTGAGATGGCTATGACTGCCAGTTCGGCTCCTACTACAGCAAGGTACGAGCAAAAAGGTGAGGACCTCGTTCACCGCTCAGCAAGCATGGACCTTACATAATAAGTCCATCAATATTTTCGCTCTTTTCTTGTAAATGAGATACGATGCATTATAGCTAGTATGTACTCCCTCTGATATTGGTAGTACATATATAGTTATACAGGGAGGAGCAGGTAGGCTTGGGCTGGCTGACATGTTGGAATTACCAAATTAGGATATCTTTTGGGCGGTAGTGGCCGCTTCGGGCAACTTCAAATAAAATTATGTAACATGTTCATCTCGCAATTGAAATCATTGTTCAGAACTATAGTAGAGCTACTTGGAGGATATGCGAGTTGAGTATTTTCCAGAGGTGATCTAATTCTCAGAGCTGATGGAGTTTCTGAGGTCTTTTTAATATATTACACTAGTCTGGTACCTTGTTTTCGCCACGGCTTAGCTCCGGGAGTCCGGGTCACCACACTCCTCAAGTTGCTACTATCATTCCCTGTTATGTGTAACATTTTCATAAAATCTTTTCTAGCCCCTCGGCCACATCACTTTTTCTTTCGAAAATTTTACCTATCATAGATTTATATCTCTTCTACATGGATCTGATTTTTACTGATTTTTAGAATAATGTAGTGCGATGTCGAGCAAGTCCGAGAAAACTCAGGGTCACCCTTCAATCTGCACAATTTTGGTCACGGCCTGTCACGCCTAGGCATAGTAGCGGCACAATCAACTTTCACTCTCAGAAGTCTTCAAGTGTGCGTCGGAAAGGCTCGAAAACGCAGTATCATTGACGAGTTATCTAATATACTAACAATAATAATTACTCTGAATGTAGTATTGGTGCCCTCCTGCACATCCTCAGTTTACACCATGCTGCCAACTCAAAAATCTGTATTGCCGTAACTCGCTGGTGCAAAATAAGGGTGCTAAGTATGTTTGAGAGTGAGCCTGAGGTGCAGGATGCTTGAATGTGTTGCCTTCCTGCGGTGTGGTGCCATCAGAGAGAATGATATAACATAATGTGGAGACTCGGTAGATGCCGTGTGTGCCGAAGAGGAGATTGAATTATTTGTGCACCCCTCCTGTCTGGTGTCACGTTTTCAGACTTGTCGTTGATTACACCACTGTAGCACCTCAGTGCGGGAGAGTAACTATTATCGAATTGGTTTTATGACGTCCCAAGAAGGTGCCCTTTGTGTCCCAGGTAAATTTTTATAAGTAATTGTGCAGGATCTTTGGGATCTGGGTGATTTGTGTTGGACAAAGGTTGCAAATTGCCACAATTTCGTCTCTTGCAACTGCAACATTCAAGAATATTTTATTCTACTTGTGCGAAACATTATTTCTAGGTATTCTGCATATGCCTGAATTTTTTCGAAGCCAGTTGAGCATGATGTTGAATTGTTATAACATTTTGCACATTAGGAACCGTGGACATATTACAGGGAATGATAGTAGTACTATTCGGTTGCTTATTCTCACTAGCATAGCATCTACATCTAAAAGAGTCGAGTTGTCGAAAACGAGTTCGAACGTTGTTTTGAACAATTCGAATTCGGTCTAGCGCAGGGCGTGCATTCGTAAATGTTGTTTTCGCTGGACCAAGAGAAAAATACCATTCTGAGACCACTGTTGTAGTAAAAACGTTAGGACATGGTCCAAATATATAAAATCAAAATTTTCACGAGTGATACAACTATTAACTACTAGAATGTGAATATATTAGTGGTATAGTACATGCGTTTATTCGAAAACAAAATCAGATAGTTCGTCGTTAGTTTGTTGCGAGTGCCCGCAAACGACAATACTATCTGTAAACTCGTCAAAAACAGACTTTTCATTGTCATCGAGCCGATCCAGGCTCAGAACAATATTCGTGAATGTCGAAAATGTCATCTGGGGGGTGATCCTACCCTTCGTCAGTTGTATCAAGCCCTGCTCTATCAATGCAGACTCTGTAATGGCGCCGGCTGCGCCAATAGCGTAACGTAGTTGACGGCGTGGGGATTCGTCGAGAAATGTATGTAGCCCGAAGGGCGAACACCATATGAGTCTCGTTAGGACGTGAAGGACGAATGGATTGGTGAATTTCGAGTTAATGACAAGCGCACCATCCTGTCGAAATATAATAAAAAAGTGTTCTCGAAAATCAATAAAAACTTACTGCAGTGAACGTGTATTGATGCATGAACGCTAAGGCGTTATCTACGACGAGGCGGCGTATTCGATCGACACGAAAAGTATCTGGGGGGATAACACAGCCCGGTGGTGGGAAAAGGGAATATCCCATCACGACAGCATGTCGGATGATCGTTGCAAACGAAGTGCGAAACTTCGTCACTGCGCACCAAATATTTGCGACGTCCTTTTTGTTAGCCGTCCATCGAGTCGCAACTAGTAGGATCAAATAATTAGTATAAGTTAGTGTGCGCATGTTGATTCATACCGAGAAGCGCTGGTATTCCAAGTCTTACTTCAGAAATAACATTTCTGATGATGCGTTTTTTGTCAGATACCAGATATGCCAATGCATCCTCGGAAAATACGATGGATAATATGCGCTCTTTCGAGAGCGAGATCGCTTGTTTGCGTGTCTCGGGACTAATATTAATGGTGGAACCTTCGATGGATTCCGTAGGTGCCACTGTCCCCGTCATCGTTGGGGGCGTCACAGCAGGAATGAGAAGACGTGGTGTGGGGGGCAGGCGTCGAGTTGCACGACGACGTGCTTTCGATGTCCTTGCGGGCCCTGTGGTCTGGTAATATCAGGTCAATTTTCGATGATGCAGAAACTAACGATAACTCACATGTATCACATGGGAGTTGGGGATCTCTCCCGTCGACATTGGCCGTAAGTGTTCGAGATCCGGTGGCGGGACCGAAAGGGTCTGGAATTCCTCATCATCGCCGACCCAACTGGGCGCTATGGTGGAAGGTTAAGTGCTAGACGTAGATTATTAGCGCAGGCAGACTTACCTAATGACGGAGCAACATATCCGGTCGAGGATCCAGCGCCAGATGCGAAGTCCTGCTGAGGATACGCAAAGTCCTGCTGAGGATGCGCAAAGTCCTGCTGAGGAGGCGCAAAGTCCTGCTGAGGATACGCAAAGTCCTGCTGAGGATGCGCAAAGTCCTGCTGAGGAGGCGCAAAGTTCTGATGCGGATGGTATGCGAGATCTTCATGCTGAGGAGGCGCGAAGTCCTGATGTGGATGGTGCGCGAGATCTTCATGCTGATGGTAAGCGGGCTCGCGCTGGTGGGGAGTGGGCTGATGCTGATGGTGGGCAAAATCCTGATGCTGATGATGGGGGAGATCTTCATGCTGATGGTGGGCGAAATCTTCATGCTGATGGTAAGCGGGCTCGCGCTGGTGGGGAGCGGACTCGTGTTGGTGGTGCGCGGAGTCCTGTGGATGGTGGGTAGTGTGAGGATTGAACGGCAGCGGCTGATTTGAGGCGTGAGGGTTAAAATAAGACATTGGTTCGCGCGGCTGCTCATCAACGAGATTCAATTGACTGTCCGCGGGAGCATGAGAAGGGTTGAGGCCTGATCCACGCGCAGGTTTCGCAAAGTGAGCCTTACCTTTGCGGGGCGGTGCACGTTTGCTGGCCATAAAGTAGAGGGAGTTGAGGATGCATGGGCGCAGAGAGCAGTCCAATTTGAATTCTACAAGAAGCGACTGTACACAAACAACACCCAAATAAACTACACGTCTTGTGACATGGGGCTGCGAACAGGATAAGGGTTAAAATGAAGGGGCACGATGTAAAAAGAACAGCTGCAGATTGTTAAGACCGTGCACAAAGGGTAGGACTGATTCCGAGGGGCTTGGCTTCAGCTCGTGCGCTGCGCCCCTTACCCGAGTATGTGCCCTTAATTTCAGAATGATGTCCGAAGAAAGTCCAAGGACGTCCGAAGGACGTCCGAAGCGCGGGAAAGTTCGGAAGGACTTTCCGGACGAGTGCAAGTAACTTCCGGACGAGTGCGGGAAAGTTCCGGAGGAACTTCCGGAAATTACGATGAGGTTTCGCCCTGATACGGATACGTGTAATGGCTACTTATGACAAGTCCTAAGTAGAAGCAAACAGAGGAAAGGCTGCAAGGACAAAGTCCGAAGCAGAATAGGTCCGGAGGACCGTGGGAAAGTTTCGGACGAACGTCCGGAAACTTCGGAGGATCGGATGAGCGGATAAGCGGAGCTCTGGCCTAGGGAATTTCTCCCTAGGCCCGAGATGGATATTGACTAAGTCGATAGACTAGAACTGATGTGAGGACTTAGAGTGAGATCTAGTGTGAGGACTAATATGATATTCAGACTGAGGAACTACAGGACATATACAAGAGTTTATATACTAAGGAAATAACGGAAAGATCAGTAAGCAAGTGTCCGAGGCTATGTATGAAGCATAAGCAAAGTTATCAAGCGCGAGTCGGAAATGAAGCATAGGTTAACGGATCAGTAAGCATACCGGTAGTAAGTATAACCGAGATACCGAGGACAAGGAATACCGAATAGAGGAATAGGCTGTGTTAACGTTATATGCACAGGAATTGAATTAGGAAGCTTATCGTATATCGGATCGGATCGGACCGGACCGGACCGGACATCCGGATGAGACACGTGGATTGAGGTATGGAGGTAAATGTATGTGGATGTGGATGTGGATGTGCAGGGGTGCAGGGATCCGGATGGATAGAGGACTGGAGACATGAATAGGGTGTCCGAAGGTCCGGATGAGGCGTGGGAATATTGTCGGATGTAGGTCCGGAATACGGGATATGACACAGATGTGAAAAATGAATACAAATGAGAAAGGGGCCATGATGGATTTGCTAAACTGTAGCATGCACGTTACAATGCGTTCTTATCGATTGATCAGTGGAGCGCATAATGACCGGACACGTGTATAGCATACCTAAATTAGAAGCGCAGGGCTCATACAAATAACGGCGTACGGGAAGGGTGTGCGGACTGTGCTGCCAAATTGACCGAAACCTGTGAGCTATCTTCCAGATCTGCGGATACCAGATTATCTCTAACCGAAACCCCAGGCTCAGGCGATGGGGATCCCGATCCTCTGGCTCCAGGTTGCAAGAAATCCTTCTTGACACGTGCACCTAAGATCTTTGAGAACTGCTCAGCTTGTAGCGAGACAACGCGAAGAATCTCCATTTCATCCTCATACACAGCTTGAAGATAATCTCTGTCGTCATTGACATCAGAACGGTCACGCTCAGAAAATAGCTTCCTAAAGATGTTTAAGTCTTCTTGAGCGAATCCGAGCCGTTCTTCGTTGTCAACATGCAGAGCATCGAGGAATTCAAGGAAGCGCTCAGTTTCCTCGATTTCCCATGCGGTCACCAACATGCGCTGGCGTGCAGTCTCACGAGCAGCAAGCTTTGCTTGATACCCTTTGTACAAGGTTGCAGGACGCATTTGTGTGAGGCCATTTTCCAATGTTCCGGCATGCTTTCAATAATTTAGTCTCTACAATTAAATAAAAGAAATACACGATACCTCGAGAAGTGAGTCAGAGGATACGTATGGTTTGCATTCTCGCCCGGAGACACGAGCTGCATAACGGACCTCAATTGGAGCCGGAGAGGGGGGGTACGGAATGAACTTGTTGCTCATTCTCTCGCGGATAAAGCCACGTCGAGAAGCGCGCGCAGGGTTTGGAGGTGTAGACAGATTATAGAATAGGCTGTCCGTCTCCGATTTGGCAGCTGCAATCTGAGGTGTCTTTGCCAGTGAAGATATGCTTCTTAGTGAAGCACATATGTCAGAATGCCTCGTATTGGGAGAGCTTTCTGACTTGAGACTGGAATCAAAAAGAGATGATCCAGGAGTGGTAGCACGTCCGCCTGATAGAGGTGAAGGTGGGGGACTGCTTGATGGAGGAGGGCAACTACTGCCTCGAGATACGGGGGAGGAACTGACATGTGGAGAAGAGACTGTATGAATCATCATGTACAAAGGGTGGACTTGGGAGAACCTGCGGAAGGCTAACTGGGTATATGAGAGCGACCCGTTGGATTATCACAAGGTTGACATCAGCCGGCGGAGTCTAAAAGACTGAATCGATTTGCGCACTGCGTAACGCATAGCACTCAGCAAGGGGCAGCAAATGTGCGTATATCATTGTCACTCAATGGTGCTGATCAATGGACATACCTGTACCAGGTTTTGTCCCAACTGCAGTAGAGAGTTTCCTACAATCGAGGCCATTACCCTGCACTTGAATTCTCAGTCTACCTGTTGGCCACACGAGGAACGTCCGCATCAATTCCCTGTTCCCCCTGGGTTGCGAGGTTCCCAATCATCAAAACCTTCTACCACTACTGGTTATTGTCATCCGCACTCGGGATATGTCTTTGGTGTTGGCAAGAACCTGTTTGACAGGCTGCAAGACGATCAGTATAATTATCGGCGAGAAATAAATACGTATTACCCTTTCCATGATGAAGGAGAATGGGAGTTGGCGAAGTTCTTGGTTGAAAACTTAACTCAAGCTCAGATTGACAAGTTTTTAAAGTTAAAATGGGTAGGAGAAACTTTGAGTGCTGCTCGACAGGCCTGACTCCGTTGTTTCCAGTTTCACACTCGCCCAAAACCATCCTTCACCTCCAAGGAGCAACTTCTAGATTGGACCGATGCACTGCCCTCTTTCGTGCCATGGAAAGTTTCGAACCTAGAGTTTACGGGCTACAAGACGACTTATCCCGTGCAACTTATTTGGCGCGATGCTCTAGAGGTTGTCAAACAACTTTTCAGCGATCCGGTTTTCGCCAATCACATTACCTTCCAGCCACACGTAGTCAATACAGGAAGTCAACGCGAGTATGGAGATTATATGAGTGCCGATATGGCATGGAAAATCCAGGTTAGTTTGGCTCTTTTAGTCTACTACTTGAAGTTAATTCTATATACCTAGGACTATCTGCCAGTAGGTGCTACGCAAGTACCTATCATCTTGGGATCCGATAAGACTCCTGTCACGCGGATTACTGGAGGGCTCGAGATGCACCCACTTTTCATCACCATCGGTAACATCGATTCGGAGGTTCGCTCCAAGGCCACCCTACGAGCTTGGCGCTGTATCGCCTACATGCCTGTTAGTAAGTTTCGCGTGCATCCCGACTATCAGACCATTCTTCAGGCACGGCTATGGCATAAGTGCGTTGATCTCGTCTGCGCCAACCTGAAGGTTGCAGCGAGTGATGGCTGTTTTATGCCTGATCCTTCCCGACATATTCGATATGTCTTTACACCACTTATCGCCCATGTATGCGACCTTCCCGAGGCCTCCATGATCGCTGCAGTCAGCAAGAATGTCTCTCCTGTCACTATGGCGACACAAGACAATTTTGGTGATGGAATTCTCTATCCTCCTCGTACTGGGAAGCACACACTACAACTTATACACGGGATCGCCAAAGAGATTGATCCTTGGGATCTCGACAAATTTCAGAAGGCAGCAAAAGCTGCCCATCTGTCTGGGGTCCACATGCCATATTGGCTTGATTGGTCGTTTTCGTGTCCATCCGTCTTTCTCGCTGGCGAAGTTTTACATACCCTCCATAAGTTTTTTGCAGATCATCCACTCAAATGGATCAAGGAGATAGTAGGAAAAACTGAGCTCGACACCCGCTTCATTATTCAGCACAAACGGGTAGGGACGCACCACTTTACTAAAGGCATCACGCACGTCAACCAAATGACTGGGCGTGAGCATCGTGATATTCAACGCACCATTGTTGCTTCAATTGCAGGCGCTGCTCCACCTAGATTCGTTCGTGCAATCCGCGCTCTCATAGATTTCATCTATTATGCTCAAAATCCAGTCCATTCTCCCGAATCCTTACAGTCGATGGTGCAGGCACTCTCTGATTTTCATGCATTCAAGGATGCTATCATCGAGGCCAAGGCGAGGAGGGGGAAGAAGGGCGCCAAAGAAGACTTTTTCATCCCCAAGCTCGAGTTACTCCAAAGCTTCAGAGGCACGATTGAGAGACTGGGTACCTTGATGCAGTTTTCAGCCGATATGACGGAGCGCTTGCTCATCACTCACTGCAAGGATCTCTTTGCCCGAACAAGTCAACGAGTGAATGATTTCACGGAGCAGTGCGTACGGATTCTCAATCGCCAGGAGTCAATGGAATTGTTCAACCTGCGCGCTGATCACTTCCCATGGCGCATCGCTCGTCAACGCCATAAGCCTTGAAGATGAGGAAGTGACGACCGTCAACCCAGCACTCTCCTGGGTTTCTCGTATACTCCCCGATGAAGCATATTCTGTCCATGGACCTCGACGAGTCCGTAATCATTTTCACAAGGGCATTCTTTCTGGAGACGCTCTCACTGCCTTCCATTTAACTTCAACACCAGATCTCAAGTCCCTGTCGCCCGTCGATATTCTCACCAAATACGCACTCGTTGATTTTGATCACGCAGTCTCCCAGTTCATCCAGCGTTCTTCCCTCTCCAGTGGCGAGAATACTCGCTGGGACCACAAACATGGACGCTTTTACGCGTGGAACAAATTTCGATTGCAACTTCACTCTGCCTTCCGGCCTCGAGTGATCATGCCAAGCAGAGTGATCCAATCATACCCGCCCAGTGACATATTTCCCCTCGGGAACTGTGATACCGTCCTTGTCGATGTTACGGGTGATGACGGCCAAATTAGTACGTATATTTTTTGCTGTCATATTCTAACACTAACGAGGTGATATTCAGCAAGTCGCGTCGCCCAAGTTCGACTTATTTTTCAGCCCAAGGTTCCACGTGCTTCCAACCTGGTTCTTCCAACATACCTTTCCAGTCCGCTCCTCTACATACAATATTTCGACTTCGTCGCCAATCCCAATGATCGTCCTGAACTCGCGATGTGGACAGTAGAGCGGTCATATGTGGTGGACCAACATGGCAAACGCTATAGGCATGGTGGTGTGGTGTTATTGACAGATGTAACACATGCTGTTGAATTGATACCAGAATACGGTGAGAAGGTCAACAAGGACATTTCTGCGACGACGTGTTTGGAGTCCTATGACCGGTTTTTTCTGAATAACTTTGCAGATAAAGAAATTTATCATACATTTAGTACAGAGTTCGCGTAGTATTGATCGTTAATAGTAGTAGTAGCGCAGATGCAATGCATGCCAATCGATTGCTGTCATTCTGAACTTTCTGAATGGCCCAATGATTATTACAAATGACCCTACTCGGTGTTTGGAAATGCAATTCCCGAACCCTAGACTAGTATTTCAACTCAATCTCAATATAATATCATATGAGTATGTAGCGCCATCTAAAGTGGCAAAGCCCGCTACCCGACCTGCCGAGGTCTATCAGACTTCTGCATCATACGTTTCACGTCGTGCCTTTTCATACTCCGATGATTCGCACTGTGTTGTAATCAACCCTGGGGACCTATGGACCCGAGGAACCATCTGGCGATCTTAATCTTAATATTTGGTATGTGTTTAGTTAGATTTGGCTTTCTTTGTCTTAACTTTATTTTTGACATTGCATCAGATTCAGACTATTCGACATCGTATCGTACATTGCCTGCCGTTTGGTTCTTATCCCATACTGTCCCTCCGCCGCTCATTCTTGTCTTCCCCTTTTTCCCAATTGGACACTTGCCATCGCGTCCGATACTCGCGAATTGGAGGTCGACGAGCTTCCACCAATATCAAATCCATTGGGTTGCGAGCTCAATGGCTCCACCTCTAATTTGGAGGCATCCAATACGCGAATAGTATGTCCGTTTAGCTGATATACCTAGTTATCGTATAGTTCAGCTGATTTATTTGCGCTGTAATGTGTAACCTGACTTACTCGACGTTCTTTCCAATTGAAAGCGTGGAGGGTTGCCCTGATCATGACGAGCATTCCACGCTTGAGGCTTGTGTACCAGTTCTGAGGTGGGATCAATTGGTTCTCCACATCTCTGATATCGAGCTGACGGAGTTTCGCGTTGACATGTTGAAACAGGTCTCCTCCGTAGTCCGGGAGGATCGTCAAATCGTAGAATGTGTTCGTCGTGATCTCAGTCTCTTGCGTATTGTCTTTGCTCCCTCCGGCGACCGCATTATTTTTGGCTACTTTGCCTTCTCCATGCTCGATCGTGTCATTGATTGTCTTCTTCGCTACTCTCGCGCGTTTGCCTTGAACGGCCTGCTGCGTCCCTTTAGGAACCTTCAAAGCACATTAGCGGCACCATTCCCTTTTTTTTTAAACTGTACTCACTGCGTACAATTGGTCCGTGTTCACGATGATGTACTCAGGTGTACCACTCTGGTCTGTCCCTGCGTGCGCCGTCCATTCTTTAACGTTCATGTCCTTGTTCTGTCTCTTTAGCTCCTCCATGTCACTTTGTATGATGTCGTCCAAGGTGGCGATTTGGTTACCAAAAGTGACGTACATCATTTCGGTAGCTTGCGTTGGTTGTCCCAAGGCGAAGATACCTTTGACACGTGTTTTATCGTCAATAACGTTTGGCTGAGTTAAGTAGGTGGACGTTAGTTTGCCAGATCTATATGATTGGCTCTTACAGTGTTCACTGTTCCAAGGTAGTGATTGCCTATCGCGTTAAATTTGGTTCCACATGGACGAGGTAAGATTTCGCCAACCAGCACGGTTTCATACTCAACCCCGTTATCTTTGCATTTGTAGGCGAAATTCCCCGTATTAACGTTGGTCTCGCGAGTGAAGTCGTCCTTGTAGGTGGCGTCCCCTAAGGACATTCCTTTCGGTAGCGCCATAAGCTGTCTGACGACATCATCATAGAGTCCTCCCTCGACGCGATTGTCGTATCGTGCAGGATCAATTTCCATAATGAAGACTTTTTTCGAGGTAGTTGTTGTATGTGAGTGAGTTCTCGTCCTTGTCATTATTTTAAACACGTTTATAAGTATTTCCGACCTTATATAGGGGCTTGATTGAGTCATCAGTCTCCTATCTTTCGCTGACGTATTCCGGTTTTATATCGGTGCACAATTTTAGGTAGCGTCACTCAAACTACCCACAAATTATGTCTCTTCATAGGCTTGTGACTGGATGCCTTTGTTCTTGGGCCCGCGTTTCAGGATATATTGAGGTTCCTATCACGGATGTTCCTGGTGGTGGTTTCGATATTACTTTCGTCGAGAGATATTTCGGCGCTCATGCTGATGTGGGCGAGCACACTGTTGTTGTATCAGATCCCGATGCCGCACATAATTCACAGGCATTTTTGGTCTTTTTTGATCGCAATACCCATGCCAATGGTGCCCAACGTTGTTCCTATCTCGTTTTGAAGGTCTCTGAAGGTTCACGTGCTGAGAATTTGGCGAGATCAGATTATGTCGCCGTTGTTCTAGCAATTGATGAGTGCGCTGTGGTTTTTCATTCTACTTAGCGGTGCTTATATTGTCTACGGCAGGATTTTGCGCGTTGTCCCTCCCAGCGAAACTGCCGCGGCCTTTGCTCGCAAGAGAACTCTTTCTCGTCCATAATAGTCATGTTCCTTGATTTTAACGTTATTTTCCAAAGTACGTCTTTGATATACGACGTCCGTGTTTTTTATTAAGCAGCTATGTTTTTCTTAATAGGCTGTATTCGCTCTTGCTATTGTTGTAGTGGTCTTTATTATGCAACCTTACTCCCAATGGTGTTTCGTCATTTCGGTTTCGTAGGACCATCTTTAAAGTGTAATCCATTTTGTGTACCAATCAATCTTCAGTCGTTTCCCATGATGTTTATCTGTCATTACAGTATCGTATCTCTCATTATCCTGTTGGTCTTCGTAACAACGTTGTGAGCCCCTGATTCCACAGGTAACACGATGAGTTGAAGGTTGATAAGTTGATATTCCCGAAAAGGCTCATATGTCACGTTATCGTGCGAATTTTGTGGACCTCGCAATTTAAACCCAGTCTGTTTTTCCTTGGCTTTTTTCGTAGGTAACTTAGGCCTTAGGATTAGTCATGAGTCTAAGACGTAATGCATGTAATGTCTTTGCGCCATCGTCCATACTCAATCATACATATTCTTCTCGCGCGATGTTACATGTTGCATCCTACATTATACATATCACCCCAATGGCCATAGCGAGGATTCCTGCGGGTCGCTTTTCACGTTATACTTCTTGGCCTATTATGTAAGCAATGTAATTCCCCTCAGTTTTATTTAGAGACTTACTTGCGTCATGTTGCGAAAACAAACGATGGTGCTCCCGTGATCCTCTCATTGTTGCATTGGTCTCCTCCTAGACACCAGATGACTGCATTGGTGTCTGTATAGCGTACCTTGCCTTTAGCAGTGTCTCTCTCGGTGCGCTTGAATTCCCAGGCTAATTTGCCTTTGTCATTGGTGCTTCGCGACACGTGTGGGCAATAGTATGTTTTGACACAGCGGTTGTCATGAGGCGATAGTTCGCCAATGTCCGAGTACAGGGTAAACCCCCTTTGCATGTATTTTGCGAGACCTTGGATAGTTGCATAATTGGTCCCGTTTTGTTTGTATGTGCGTGGGTGTATCAAACCCAGCATGTCCAACGTCCATGCTGGGTAGGCACAGAAAATCACGTCCGCTGATATGAAATTCATCACGATTGTTGAATGAAATTGGAAAACAGGCGCAACGGCTGAGGCCAAATTCGTGACGATGATATCGACATTCTGCTTGCCCTTTTGAAACCTGAATAGTTTGGCAATGCCGGATGTGTTATATGGACCCGGGGGGGGCGATGGAAGTTCCTTATGAGGTTATAGTGTTCTGTCTCTGTAAAAAAACAGACCAAGTCCTCGAACTTCTGAAGAGTAGTGTAAATATCCAGATCATTGATTTCGGTAGCACCTTCTTTGGCTTGCACGATATTGAGAGCGCATGAGCCTGATACCACAGCATCTGTGCGGCGGAGTAACGTGATGAAATGTTCGGTGTCGCTTACAAAGCGAGCGAATATGACGAGTTTTCGTCCATTGATATACTCTTCGACCCCCATGTAACAGAGGGAGCTCACACTAGCAAATACTGACAGTTCTGCGAGATTTAAAAAGTCGCAAATGTTCTCTTGAAGCTCTTGGCACAAGGTAGTTAGAATTGGCGCTTTTGACATAGTGGTAATGATGGATCAGAGGATTGTTAGGGGAGGCTTATATATTAGATTTTATATACGTCTTATAGGGGTTTTCTGTCCCTCGTATACGTGATGTCATCATTGGAACGTGTGTTGTTGCTTCTCCCAATTTTCTCTGGTCGTCACTTGCTCTGTGTCCGATCTCATGGCAACCCAGGAGTAGGCGTTCATTCTTTTCTTCTTTGTCTAACAGAAGAAACAGCTAATTAATTTTTAGTCTGGCAATATCGTACATCACATCTCGAAAATATAATACAGCCTGTCTTCTGTGTAGTATCAACATGTTAGAACAGATTTTACCATGCTGATTCGATTTCGACTCTGGCTCCTTGTAATGCTTTGGTACGATATGCGCTAAATCATGATTACTCAATTCCTTCCTCACACGCTGGTCATTGCAAATCGCTCACCTTAGTACGACATCCGTAATAAGATCAATGTCTGATGAGTTGACGTCGATGATATTCGTAGGATTGTCCGTCTTTGTCTTGAGTACCAAGATATTGCCATATGGCACGAATATGTTCCCGAATCCAGCGATATCACTCCCCAGAGCTGATAATAGGTAGTTCTTGCGGCTTCGATCGTGATTTTCGTGGCATACGACAAGACGGAACGGTAGAGGTGTTTGGTTTTTGGGGTGGGTCGTAAATGTGTTTCTATACACAGCTGGTTGCATCATTATAGCATCCCGTCCGAATTCATTCACCCATGGCTCCGTGAAGAGGTGATCCGTTGTCGTTAGCTCATGTGTATCGATCATGAGCGGAATGGGTATTAAAATAGGACAGCCATGACTAGTGGCATAAAGAACCCCTCGACGTCCACCTCCGAGTAGCTGTTACAGTTCTTGATTAATAAACAAAATCTCCTTCTCATAATATTGAGTGACGTACGGGATTGATCGCCATACTAACTTTAGCGCGTAGAATATCCTCATAGTCCGCTGGACTATCAAGCGGAAGTTCAGGAGTATGTAGTCGGAAAGAGCAGCGTGAATTATGACAAGTCCGACTTAGTCGCCAGTAATGGTGTTGGCCATACGTATGCCATAAAGGGTTACGTCCGTCGAAGGCGTTTCGACTGATGGTCCAGTCGATGAGGAGAACTTGTTGTGTGTCTTTGATATTGCGCCAAAGGGTTGGACAATCACGCCGACATTCATCTTCCCATACCGCTGTAGAGACTCGCGCCTCTCGATGCCGGATATGCGGCCTTCTTACCCATTTAATTCCCTATCTGTATCAGCTCACATCCTAAGGACCAGTCATTCGCGCTCTCGCGCGCGCGCCCTACGTACGCGCCTCACTCGCACATCGCACACGCACGCGCGCCCTTCGCGTGCGCGCTCCATAGGCCTTCGCGCTCCTACCGTCCGTCCCTCTGTCCTTTGTCCTTGCTGATTCACTGGTGCGTTATTTTTATCTCTCTCATTGAATTAACGAACCTTCGGTCCGACCTCCGTGCTTACATACAGAGAGTCTATTTAAACTTAGAATATATTTAGAAGTTGATATGGTTACTCGGTTCGGGAGCGTGCTCGGAAGCGCGCCGCATAGCGTAATCTCCCTTCTTAAATAGAGGGAGGATTCCTTCGGTTCTGGTACTTACTTTCCCCTTATCTTGATATACTGCAAAGTGTAGAGTTCTCCCTCCAATACTAGAAATCTGATTATACTCCTCCACTGTTGACACCTGTGCCCTTGCTACTCTCTTAAGGACTCCTCTCCTTCATCGTTCAAGCGCGCGCCCGCTTACGCGCGTACCCTCCGCATCTCTCGCTCACGCGCGCATCTCGCGCGCCTTCGCATCGCCTACGCGCGCCTTCGCGCGCGTTACTTTCCCGCGTCTACCAGCGCCCGTCTAGTTGACATAGTTTCCCTCCACCTTATTCGCGAGGAACTTCTCTCAGTAGCTGTCCTTTGGGTCGAGTTGTATTCTCGTATCCAGGTCTTGCTGTAGAGCCCCCTTTCTTTTAGTGTTTTCACCCACAGTCAAGATTCCTCACCTTCACCGCGGTTGTTTCGGCGTACAATAAACCCATATGCGTGTACCGCTCGATTTCAGCTTGTGTCATCTTCTCGTCATTCGACAGAAACGCAGGGCATACGACACGATCCAACGTGAGACGTGGATGAGGACAGAAAATGCCACCTGGAGTCACATATGACATCTCCGCGGTGCTGCGACCTGCTAAGACCACACTGAGTACCGTGTCGTCCACACTTTCTGTTAGACTGATCTTGAGATTAGGCGTTGAGCGTTTATAAAATGTCTGGTGAGAGTTGATAAAGTGCTGCATGGAGGGAGTGATGGATGTCATCTGAAGCGGCTGAGTGTCGAAATCATGGTGAATTAACCAGTGTTGCAATTCGGTGACGGCGCCTCTAGGGAGCGCAACGTTTAGGTTGTTCACATGGCAGGAGTTAGGACGTAGAATCAATGAGAGGGCTCCCAATCCCATGATCACTGCGCCGCTACGGATGATGGTGGATTCAAAATCATCTACCATGTCACCAGCGTATGGCCTAAGTAGATCAAGATAGGCTTCATTGTGTATAGTTGCCACAACATGTCGCATTGCCTTGCAAGTCTTCGAGAGATTGTGTAAGTCTAAAAGACTGAGATCGATAGCTATCTGTTTGCGCGAATTCGGCGAATTGAGTACTAAACAAAGATGACCATCAGTCGAGACAATGTACTATATTAAGCTCGGAACCACAAACGTTTGTTTATACCTCGAAGGTTTTGCAAGTTGTCCATGATGACAGTGATGATGACGACTAGGCGATTACAGGAGCGTCCGTTAGGAGTAGTTGAGCCGTATAAATGAGCTTACATCAGACATCATCTTCAAACGTCATAAACTTTATAAAGTGACACGTGATGATGTTGTCTGCCTAGTGCATCGTATGCGTCTGAGATGTTCATTTTGAGTTCTATCAGACCAGAACTAACCTTTTCACTGCCAATAATCACCGGTTTGGTTTGACCAGGAAATTATCCATATCTGCGTATCCTTGCGACACAGCAATTGTACCATCTTAGATCAAACTGTTTGACATTGATAATCGTCAATTCAGACACAACCGGTTACAATTGTATAAAAGGATACAATACAGGTGATAACAACAGTCATAGCTTATTCTGTCAAGTTTAATGACGTTGCCGCATGACTGAACGAAATAATGCATTTTTGCGGTCAACCCTATCATTAGGTTAGCGTCTGGATGAATAACCCATCGAGGAAAGTAAAGCGACGTACTCAATTATGCCTTGAGTCACTTTTTCGATCTCTGCTTTCAAGATGTCGCGTGGCAAATGTTCTTTGTCAAGATCATGCATAACGACGAGCATATTCCCACGTAGTGGTGTGAGCGGAAAGTATTTCCACGGACCACGATAAAATGGACCGCCTCCACACAATGAAGGCACGGTGTCCAGCACATGGTCATGATCTCGAATGATTATGAAGGCACAATCACTCATCACGACCACCTGTCGCGTGACGCTGCAGTCAATGATATTGGGTGGCTCCATTCCCCTCTCGCGAATAAATGGACGAACGTCTAAGTCGTTGATGCTGAATATACCTTTCCGTCCTTTATCGATGTAGAGCGGGACTGCGTATGGCTCTATCATGTCTACGCCGAACAATAGTCCTGTGATACAAGGTAGTCCGGCCTATGCGCAGTCCATGAGTAATATTTCTATGTATTGACAATTACGAGGGCGTTATTAAAACTCACATTCTGGCTTATGCTTATCGCAATTCGAAGATCAATGCTCTCCTTGTCACATACGACAGAACTGGAGTCAGGGCGTTTGAAAATGTTATTCCAACACAAAGTGTTAGCACAATGACTTGTGAGCGTCCATTGTAGATCTTGTCCATCGGTGATATTCGATGGGACAAGGCCATTATGCCACGTGACGAGAAGACCATTATCCATACGACGCCAAAGTGTAGGACACTTATTTTCGCATGGCAATGTCCAACAATTACGAGTCTGGACCTTGTATTCGCGTTGCGTGAATTGGCGTACAAGGAATGAACGAGGATGAACTAGTGGTAATAATGTGGTTTGGCTGTCCATGAGTTCAGGATAACCAAAAAAGAGGCCACCTGATGCCAAGAACATGCAGTCCGTAGATGAGCGGTGGGCCAACACGACTGGCATAACAGAATCCGTTGGACTGTTGATCAATACTACTTTCTTGCCACGTCTTTGAATGTAGTCGTGGTCATACATGCACGCGACCGAGGGAGGGCTGTAAAAAGTAGGCGATTGGTCTACGATGAAACCCAGTTTTCTGAAAAATTGGGCGAGTACTTCTTTGGCATAGTTAGGAGTTGCGATACGTAGTTCGTGTTGAAGAATTGGTGATGTACCATATAACAAGATATCGAGTGCCGAACTGCCAAGGATAACGGAGCGTGTAGCATCGAGAGTGTCACGAAGACGTCGGCTTTCAGAACCAACCACATGAGTTAGGATGTAATTGAGTCTTCCGTTAATGACTTCACGACCGAGTGTCGAAAAAAAGGAGTTAACCATGAAACATCGGACGATATCCATAATGTCCATGAATTGAATGATCCTTAGCCAAATATCGGGCACCAGAATTACTGTATGCTAAGTCAGTGGTGCAGTAATGTTGAGTTTAAACGACTTACCCATAGTTTGAGAAAGTAGTCAGTCAGACACGCGTACATGGGTGGTCCGAAAGGGGTGGTGGCAAAGGGTTCACTCTCTGCTTAGTTAATAGGAGTGAACCCAAAACGGACATATGTTGACGTGTCTAACTGTGTCAGTTTTGTGTAAGTTGCAAGAAATATACGAAATAAGGAGGGAGCACCACACCTAGCTCTGGTTCAATTGACTGTTTTGTGATCAATGTGCAGCTGGACTTACTTAATGCCTTTCCAATTAAGAACATGCAGAAGCGCCTTGATCATGACGAACGTCCTAAGCCTGAAGTTTGAGTACTTGTTTGTCGATGACATTGGTGCGTTCCCTACGTCTCGGATATTGAGTAGATGAAGTTTCGCATCCACATGTTGAAATAAGCTACTTCTATAATCTGACGGAAGCCCGTACCCGGCGACGACATGGATGATTTTAATATAGTATGTGACACACTGGAAAGCACAATATCAGGTTTAGTATACGGATCTCAGCTGACTGAAAACCCTTACTTAGATAGTGATTCTAACCTTCGAATGTCCGCGAACGCGAATGTCATGCGAATGAGATGTGAGAACATATGAATATCGAACGAATTTGCCTGTGATAGAGACAAGGACAATTTGAGACCAGGAACATGGATTCTTCAAAGTCACGCAGAAACCCAGAGGATGGGCAAAAGTAAGTGCGTGATCATGTGACCCAAAAAGAAATCATAATAACGACTCACCCAACATAGACCATCCTCATACTCGGTCTTTAGACGGATTTGAAACACCTCATTCTTATTAGATTTGGTATTAATCCAATCGCCTTTTTTTACAAATCTTTCGCTTTGCTATTGCCGAACTATTTGCCACTTTACCCTCATGGTATGTAACGCCTGATGTTTCGTTGTATTTTCTCTTATGTATACGGTTAGAGCCAATGATCTCGATCTCTGCTTGTACATTATGGACCCGACTGGAAAGTTGTTTCGTATCTCGATATGATGATGAAGATACATCCGCAATTATCTTGATTTTGGACATTTTCGCAGAGCCTAACATCTTTTCCAGTGTTGATTCTGCTTCCACTCGCTCATCTTGATTTGTCACGAGGTCAAGGATAGTTTGTTGTGCAAGCACACCCTGTCTCTTTTCTTCCATACGCGTATCTTCACTCTGCCGACAACATATCTTCTTCTTATTAAAAGGTCGCAACACCAATAATCCTTCTAACGAAGTCACACGAGATAGCATGACATATGGCGCTTCAGTTCCAGTACACCCTTCGAAATCTATAATTGCGCGCTCCATCGTCTGTCCTTGTGCTTTGTGAATGGTCATAGCGAAACCGGGAGAAATAGGGATTTGAGTACGTTTAATATGACATCTTTTTCCACTGAAAGGATTTTCAAATGACATATTGACAGTGTCTGGTAGGACGACCGAGCGATGGGCAGCTAAATGAGGCAGAGGGTCACCTGAAGTCGATGGAGTATGAACTATACAAGATGTAACATGCCGCTGATTATTGTTGTCCAGAACAAATCGAATGCTCTCAAGTTTGCCTATACAGCCATTCACAATACCTGCACCGACATCGAAATTCTGACCGATCATCACTGGCATCCCGATCACCAATGGAATTTTTCCCATACGCTGCGAAGTTGAGCCAGAGTGTAAACCATTAAGGTGATCCCGCAGTTCAATTGAATTGATCTCCCGACCATTATGCTTATCCAAACAATAATACCAATGTACAGGTTGATTAGTTCGGCTTGCATATGTTAATGTAGCTCGTTCGTTGATGATGTCCTTCACTTCGTTTGTGGGTACGATCACCGGTGCATCGAGCCACTCTCCAAACTGCCAAGTAGGCTTTACTCTAGATATGATTCGAGAGGACAAAAGCTCAAAATCATCATCAGAACAACTACCAGTCCGCAAACGCGACAGAATCTCCACGAAACCTTTGTTGTGAGTCCCACTTTGGCGCATAACTGCTTTTAATAATACAACTGTAGTGATAGATAACCACAGTAATTTGCCAAACATACTGTTCTGTCCCTTGATGGTACCCATTGCATTCGTATTTAATTTACGATGTAGGCCTCGCTGGCCCACAGGTGGGAGCTGCGCAAAATCGCCTGCAAATACAATACTGATACCTCCAAATGGAGCAGAATTCTCTTTCGCTTTACAAAGAGCTTCATGAATTTCAACAAGGAAGTTACAGCTGATCATCGAGACTTCATCGATTAGTAGGTAATCGACGCTTTGCCACATAGCAATGAGATCCCGTTTGCCCTTTCCTTGATTGGCTGTCCTTCTATGTTGATTGAGATTTAACGCAGAGTGCAACGTCATGCCAGCGATGTTGCGAGCAGCAACTCCCATAAACGAAGTTAATCGTAAACGCTTCTCCTGCCCACGTCGACTGAAAAATTCTGTGACGGCAGCGATGACGCGCGACTTCCCTGTTCCTCCCGGACCTCCTAGATACATACGAAGTGGTTCACAATTTTCTCCCAAAGAATGACTCGCTATCAAGCTAAATGCACGCGCTTGCTCGGTATTTAACCCGAATTCGGATATCATAGACGGTATATCAACCTCTACAGGTTCGTTCACATTTGTTTCGATTTGCTGGATAATTAATGGACCAATTTCCGGTGCCATCGTTGACGATGAAACATCAATTGCATGGCGAAAATCAGTTCCAGAAGAGATCTGAACATCTGATATAGAACTTGAAACGGTCGACGATAACGGAGCGAGACCATGTTGGATAGCACGATGTTTCCACGCTTCTTTCCTTACATCGTAAGCATGTTGCCATTCATTTTCCATTGCGAGATTATCGCCATCTACTTCATTCACATAGGCATGTTGAGGATTGACATTACTTGGTGATATAGAACTTGGAGCGCAACTGAAACGGCCCGCCATCTCCATATGATGCAAACAATCTAACGTGACATCCCGTTGCTGCGACCTCTTTATCGACAAGCTCTGTTCAATGTGCGCCATATGAGAAAGGATATCTGCTTCATTCAAGTCATGATCCACAAATTCCTCTGCAGAAACGGTGCGCTCAAGGACCTCACTGCATACGCGATTGGAACGATTCAATGAACGCTGACGACGATTAGCAAAATGATCATCCCGACTGTCTTTGCATTCATGTAGAATCTGCATATTTTTCATAATCCAAAGTTTTGCAGGTGAGCAAGTCTTCACAAAGTCTTCAAATGCGTCAGACCACGTACTAAATGTACTACGCAAGTCCAAAACAGTAGTCCAAGGCTTGAATAAGATAAGCATGGTACGACAATATCGCTCTCTCAGTTCCAAACGATCACGTCGCGGCAACGATGGACCAATAGGCACGGGAACACATCTCCTGTCTGGATGGCGTATGATGAGATGATGAGTCTGGCTCTCAATATGAGTATCGTGTAAACCGAATGACGGGCGTGAATGAGATCTAATCTTCATTATTTCCTCTATCGTAGTCTGGCGATTAAGCCTCCCATTGTTGTCTGAGCCTATCAAATTATCTTCAGAATCAAATGACTCGTCATCTGAACCTTCCAAAAGTTCGTCTTCGAACACCTCATCGTCACGTAAATCAGCATTGTCATGAGCTCGAGATCGCCTGATTTTCTGTTTGTCCACTTGCGCGACAAAATCCCATACGCACATCATGCGAAGTGCGGGTGATCTCAATTGATAGTCTTGTACTTGATTTGCTCTGGGCACCAAATTTCCACCATCGTCAATAGACAAACCGACTTCATCACTACTCAAGGCAGTATCAGCAATATCTTGCAAGATCTCATCTTCTTCTGGCGGCCGTGAACCACGGTATTGAACATTCTCAAGTTCTTCCGATGAGTCACCATCATCATGTTCACGACCCTGTCTTTCATCTCATTCTTCAGGAAGCGATTGCTGTCGCAGGGGAAGAATACTGTCAACATAATTCTCAAAGGAAGTCCAAAAAAGATTTTTGAACTCATGACTGGTATAATGATCACCAGATTCCATCAGATAGGCCGCAACTTGTTGAGATGACAACTCTTGATGAGATATCATAGCGTGCGCACTTTTCCTTATCAATTCTTTTGCTCGAACAGTGAGGTCGTCATCTGTAGGATCGAATTCAGATAATTTGCGTCTTGCCAAGTCTAAGGCAGCATAAGCGACATGAGCTTTCAACTGGGACTTCGTGATATAATCGGTAATATAATACAAAATCGCTTTTGCCGATGCACCTGATCCGATGAACTTGATATCCATGTTACAGCGTACAGCTTCCAACATAGACGCGTTGAAATTGTTCACCATACCATCCAAACAACGTAGACAAATCTCGCCTGTCTCATAATCAACATGACTTTTCTCGCAGTAATGGTTTTCGTCTAAATCAAATCTACACTCTCGTGGGTTGGGCGGACCCTTCCAGTATTTGAAACAGGTAAGGTTATGCTTATGGACCTGACAAGTTTGCACTAAATGATGTAAATCTTTTTGACGAGCAGTTTTAGTCTGAAGGTCATCGCGATCAGGATATGGAGCAACACCACGTACAGCGCAAGGATGGTGTACGGTTGACGGCACACTGATCCGAGGATCTGGATCAGGAGGGACATTGTTTGATATTGTGTCATCCAAAAAAGCCAGCAATCGATCTCGGAAATCAGTATCATTTGCTTCCAGTATACGCTGCTTGATCTCATTAGGATCGTGTCCCCCCTCTAACCATACCATCATATGACAATGCAGAGTCCCTCGTCCCTGAGACTCAACACATCCATAATACGCTTTGACGTTGCCCAAGATACCTTCGGAGACCACACCATTCACTTTATCATAACCCAGAATAGCGCTTAAGAACGACTTCATGTACAGGTCGAAAAATTTTGCAGCCACTATAGGATTGCGAGCAACTAAAATGGACTGTCGCCAAAAGTCAGGTACCTCGTTAGGCAACATATCATTGACATCGATTTCATTACCCGCCAAGAACTTGACAATAGGATTGTATACATCCGCAGGATTGATTGTGATATAAAAATTCGGCAAGCCTTTATCAAACATCAACCCTCTGATTTGACTACGCATTACAGCACGTGCGGAACCAGATCCCGGTACATGCGATGTCACACTATTGACTTCTTTCAACAATCAACGTACTTTCTGTTCTTCCGGTGTATAAACTGTAGCAAAATCACCCTTTGCAACACGTTCAGCAACCGTATGGACCGCTGTGGATGAAACAGATGCGAAACTTTGTGATACTGTGCCGAATGAAGTACATTTGACTTTCAAACTGGTGTGTAAGAGCGATTTTCTTCGTTGCAAGATGTTAAACACAATAAACAAGAAGGAGTAATGCTCCTGAAAACGTCTATCAGCTAAGCTAAAAAGAAGCTTCACATGGCGCTTAAACGATATTGGACTTGTGCGACGAGGATGCTCAAAACCCCCAACTCCATACGGAAACAGAGTAGGATAGACCTTTGGGAGTAATTCAGGATTAACATATTCATTCATAGGACTCAGCCCATGCGGCACTTGTATGAAGCCACCACTTTTTTCCTTCACATGACGAAGTGCGGCTGCACGCAATTCATGACCCGGAGCATTGCTGTCGACATCAGTCACAACAACATGTTGAAAAACATCCTCGGCGGATGAAACTGTGTCCAAACCTCCAACTGTATCACCAAGGCAGGGCTCTTTATCAAACAATGAATCTGGATCGCAATCATGGTTGCCATCGTATCGCGAGGTCAATGCATCTTGGGCGCGCATGTCATCCTCAGGTACGGTTTCAATGTGGACAGGCAAAATATCTTCTTCACTCAACGAATCCAAAAAGTCGTGGTCGATAAGCACGTCACTATAGAGTACGTTATGTTCACGCAACCACAATAAAGCTGACCGGACCTTTTCTCTACGCACAATCAACGGTTTGGCGTGCCTGCGCAACCAATCAATTGTTGGAGGAGATGAACCAACGAATAAAACACATATTGGTGTTAATACATCTTCAATTGACGGAGGAAGGACTTCCAAGATTTTCGAAGGACGTTGCGGAAAGATAATGACATTCCCTTTCAAACCTCTCTGGGCATTCGGTACATTGCACGACTCTTCGCGTAAATGTAGGATAAAACATTTAGCTCTGCACAGCGCAATCATCATCTCTTCAGCAACGCTGAGGTCCCGCAATTCAACAGGGAGGGGCCCTATGAAATTATGATTGGCCAAAGCCAGAGCAGGTGTCTTGTTCCTCTTCAACGACGAAGTACACCCTTTACAACAAAATACACCAGTCGGACGTTCGCAATGAGTACGATCAAATATTAACCCTCGGCTCTCATACATCACATCGTCAAGAAACTCCATGCCAATAGTTGAATCTATCGAGGCTTTATTGATATAACCCTCGTCGACAACACGCCCTTTATGCACACGCACATCAGGACGATTTAAAAGAGTAACGTCAAAATCATTAAAGGATAGCTCTTGCCTCTCTTTGCGATTATACTCAGCAGCACAAGCAAAACAGACAAAAGTAGCCAGCGCTTCAGAACTAGTTTGTTCGCGAAAGATCTCGATCACGCGCTTCTTCCGTTCTTCAGACACCATACGAGGCCATTGCGAAACACATTGGGTCTTTGCTGCCTCCATCGCAATATACTGATTCTGTTTACGAATACGAAAAACTTGCGCGCGTTTCCCTTTCTTGAGAACACCGATGTATGATTTCAGGCATTTTCTCAGCTGCGAAAGACTATCGCTGTCGTCATGATCTACCCCATGGCAACGCAATAAACGCAGCAACGGCTTACGTGCGATGTTTTTCCTCAACGAACTTAAAAGATTGATTTGCACATCTGTCATCTGCGAGCTTAGATCACAGGAAATACCGCTGTTGTCCATCGCACCACTAGTGCTGACATCACATTGTCCTCCACTGTCAACAGAGCACTCATCAACAATATGAGAACATGCCAATCGATGATCCTGTGCATTCAACGCACACGTTCCCTTCGAGGTGTGATCGAAAATCCTATCGAGCAACTGATCTTTCGTACCCACATAGCATAAACCATGCCAAGACGCTATGGCCTCCAATGAAGACTTAGACATACGTTCAACTTCAGCAAATAGTGACTGCGAAGACTTAGAGACAGCCTCGTGGACAAAACGGTTACGAAAAGAATTCAATATACAAATGGCTTTTCGCCTACGATGTTCTTCCGGTACACGGACATGGTCCAAATCACTACAAATACTCTGAGCGACAGTCCAAAGATGATCACCTGATATTGCAGATGCACGCGTCTCTGTCAGCTCATCCAGTATACAATCAACCATATCCGAAGGCCCACCAAATCCTGCAGCAATTTCACGACAAGCAGTATAATCATAACACCGTAAACGAGCGTCCGGAACGACACACTCTCCATTAAGAAGATGCCGCAACAGCAAATAGCGCAACTCAGCCACCGTATGAAACTTCGTAAGATCTAAACCATGCAAGACGCATGCATCAGAAAGCAACGAGACTTCAACCGAAAAAGGACTGATACGAATACCAGCACGATATGACCCCAAAAAGATGTCACGAATTATCGACTGTGAACGTCTACGAGACGATGAAACCGCCCCGGCGAGGGACGAAGACTGACATGATTCAGACAGCATATCAACAGGCGCAATACAATTGGCGCGAGCCGCAACCATACACGGAGATTCTTAAAAAAAAAAAGTCAACCCAGTAGACTTCAAGATCGAAATTTCATCACCTTGTAAATAAGTACAGGAGCGCGATTCAGGATCAGAAATCACGTCTTCAAGTCCAACACTGCGCCAAGCAGCGATCCAATTCATCCCAACAACAACATCAGAATCGAGAGCGCGCGTGACCACAAACTCGGCATCGGTAGTGAGCGAGCGGCCTTCATAGGATGCCGTGAGAACTTCGGAAAAAAGAGACCCTACACCCGAATGACCAAGCGAGCGTGCAATCGAAGCAGAAACAAGACAACGACGCGATTCAAGGTTGAAAACAACAGATACAGGCAAGCGACCAAGAAACGACATGATGATGAGGGAGTTGAAAACAATATGGAATAGCGAACAACGAGAATAACAAAAGCAAGGTTTATGATCGATCGATCAGCACAGCCCATTATATATCAAGGGAAAAAGATAGGGTCGCCAGGATCGGACAAATCTACCGCCAAAACGTGAAAATCAAAACCGACATAACCCACTCCCTAAAGGTAGCGGGAATAATGCAATACATACACCCGTTTAAAAATTATAACACTATCAATATCGAGTATTTACAGTGTACTACGGAAAAGTTTGTTCCACCAATCGCGTTGCTCCATCACCAGCGCCGTAAGCTCACCGTAAGCATCAAACTTCCTTTTGACAAGCGAAATTTCAAGGTCTTTTGCTGATGCTACATCTGCAAAACGACTGAAATGAACGCTTAACCTACGCGCGTTACGAACACTTACGAACACTTACGACTTCAGTAGCGAACTCAGGCGATTGGTGGAGGACTCGGACGTCGAATTTACGTCGTAAACTTTACGGAATTCGATGTGATTAGATGTGAAAGATTATTATTATCAGCGCGTCGTACTACTGAGCTAATGGTTGGCCACTCGGAGGCCAACCTGTTGCTGTACCCCATCAAACCTCGCACTCAAGACATCCGAAGCACGAATAGTTCGAACGATCGCCATGATATCTTGGTATGCATCGTCGAACGTGGCCGAATTCACTGACACGTCAGTGAATCGGCCTGTGCGATGTGCATATAGCACACAATAGATCGCAGCGCCGCAGGATGCGAACACTCGGTCCATTGGGCCTTCCAAGTTGGCGTCCCAACCTCCGATCAACACGTCGATAACCATGTTGACGAGGACCTCGTTTTCGAGTAGCCGTTCGATATCCACGTCGTCGACAGTCTGCAGGTGTGAGTGAGAAACAGTCCCGCTGATGATAAAAAAACGGGTACCTGCTCATACAAATGTAGGTACCTCCCTCCGTCTAGCAGCGTTTGGATTGTGTCCCGTTTGTGCGCCGCCTCGTCGAGCAGGGAAAATAAAGGTAGGCGGAGGCTGTAGCCTAGCGGAACGGTATTGAGCGCATGTACTTTGAGAGCGCGTCGCATGTCTGCTAATGAAGCCACCATGTAGTTATGTATACCTTTGATGTTCTCGATATCCACTAGTAACTTATCAGTAGTAGATGATTTCGAAACAAATAAAACATACCTTGACCGTAGAGCTCAATTCGTGCGTTTTGCAGCGCGGTTTCGATCATCGTGTTGCGCATTGCGTCATTCGGAGCACCGTCAGTATTAGCAGCCACCGTAACGATCAAGCCCCGAAGTTTCTCTTTAGCGAGCTCCTTATACTGTCGCACCTCTTTTGAATCGAGTGCGATGCGCGTCGAAATAGGTGCTGCAGGCTCCTCGGGCGCATTGGCTACTGGTATCATGGGTGTGGGAGGTAGGTTCGTCTTTTGTCGTCGTCTCCCGCTGTCCGAAACGTGTTTTGTGCGCTGTATAGTCACTAAGTTAGTATTCAAGCTCGGAGGAATGATCACTTACACGAATAACGCCTTGGGTTTGCTCCCCACGGACGTTCTCTCCCACATGGTAGGGTGCAAGGGCAATGAGTCGCGAAACCCCCCATGGGGCCATAGACCCGCTCCCGAGATCTGGTTGTGACGGCAGCCTTGATCCTTCACCCTGGAGAAGTGCGAATGCGCCTGCATACGCCTGCGACTGCGCCGTACCCGTGTTCCATTCGTGGCGTTGATGCTGCTGGGGCTCATACCGCTGGTGAGCTTGATACTGCTGGGGAGGTTGGTACTGGGGCTGCGGCGGCGGCTCATACTGCTGGGGAGGTTGGTACTGGGGCTGCGGCGGTGGCTCATACTGCTGGAGAGGTTGGTACTGGGGCTGCGGCAGCGGCTCATACTGCTGGAGAGGTTGGTACTGGGGCTGCGGCGGCGGCTCATACTGCTGGGGAGGTTGGTACTGGGGCGGCGGCGGAGGCTCATACTGCTGGGGAGGTTGGTGCTGGGGTTGGTGCTGATGGGGTGGGGGCGGCAGATATTGTGGTACCGGTAGTTGATACTGTTGGGGCTGAGGTGCCGTTGACGCTTGATGGGAATGCGTGGGATGCTGCATGGAGGGATTCATCTGAACCTGGTATTGTTCAGGCGTTTGTACGCGATCACCGAGTAGGTTGAGTTGAGTGATGACTGGCTGCCCACTGGGGTTGAGTTCTGAATTGACTCCAGGCCGGAAACCTTTCTACACGGCAGTCAGGAAAGAAGAGCGAACAGAATTTAGATCGTACGTACTCTTGCGGGGTTGGGCTTTCGCCTGCTGGTAGTGGAATTGGCTGGAGGATTGCTCATCGATGCTCGTGGTGTGAATCCACGTTAGTTATCTGATCTTACCCAATGCGAACGTACTCATCGATCGCCAATCAAACGAAAGCTTCTGTTATTCAGAGCGCTAAAATACAACGTATAGAATTGAAAAAGATCATGATCAGGGGTCTCGTGATAGGAACTCAGAACCTGCCAGGAAAGTAGTGAATTGAGTCAAAAAAGGATTGTAATTGACGCCGCCGGCCCATCTGTCCGCACTCCGTCCTCGTGGACAACGTTCAACCTGAAAGGGTAAGTTTGTAAGTTGTTTCATTTTAGGGTAGAGACGTGGCTACCTTCCGCCTCGTCATTGTCCGAGTTGCTACTGTTGTCGCTATGATTATACTTGTCATATTGTTCCTCCTCACCAGGTTCGTACTCCGTATCGCTACTGTTCTGGGGGAACCTGTGGGAGACGTATTTGGTAGCAAGCGATGATATGGACGACATTTGGAACAGCTGTTCGTCGGCTGTAGCTAAGTCTTCGAGTTCGCTATCATGTGACTCCGCAAGGCATTCGACATCCTGGTCTAGGGCCGGAATATCCCGGTCCACCAGGAGCTTCTTGAAGAGGTGATAATCCGAGTCTGCCATTTTCAAGCGCTGCTTCTCCTCGTCCTCAAATGCTATGAGGACTAGCTTGTTGAGTTTCGCCTCTTCGATCTCCCAACCGAGTTGCAGGAGTTTTTGACGGCTATTTTCTCGTGCAGCGTGCTTAGCATTTGCTACTAATTTGATTGTATCATCTGAGAAGGATGAGAGACCGCTCAAAAAAAGGTCTCGCCCCTGTAACAGTCAAATACACCATAAATAATCAGTTATTCAGTGGCTTCAATACTTGCTCGCCTTAATGACATCATTAAGAGTGATGTCAGAGTGATGATTTCTTCGGACTGCCTTCATGGCAAAACGCAGCCCGACTTGGGTGGGACGACGTGTGAAAGGGTGGCTTCTGTTTGCAGAACGCACTCCCCGCCGGGAGCTGCGAGAGCTGCCAATAGGGGACTCGTGACCAGAGCGAATTGAGTTTGAGGAGGAGGTCGCTGAGCGCGAGAAGGGGACAGAGTCTGAATGTGGGAGGTCTGTGGTCAAAGCAATGACCTTCTCTTCCGCTGATTTGGAAGGGTTGGAATTACAGAGGGACTCAACACGAGTCCATCCGCTAGATCCTGACATAGTAGATACAGATGACGAAATATGAAGGGATGGGGGAACCATAAGTACAGCTGGATGTGTATCTGCTACTATCTTAGCAAGCAGTGAGGCAACAAACCAAGTGGGTCGGAGTTTGAAGAAAGTTGAACGTTGAATCCTGGCAGGAGCACGATGGAACAGGCTGACTCGGGCTGCACTGCAGCTGGACTAGAAATACTACACGATCACAACGGGTGAGTTAGGCCGCATCAAATAGTAGCAGTGACTGACTGACTTCATCACGCTGACTTCATCACGATCAGTAGTTCCTCTGCAAGATGCCCGAATTGCAGACTAGAATTCGTCTCAAATCTCGCTGTTTTGGATCATCTCAATGATCCGGTGCATTCTTGTTGGAGCAACGAACCCACTTACCGCTTACCAGTTCCTCCAGCTTTCCAACGAGGCGATAGCGGCCAGGAAGAGGTAACTGGCCAGTATCATTCAAAATCAGGGTACCTTTTTGGTCGGGGACACAATATCTTGCAGACAATGGAGGATCATGATCCTGACCAAAAGCGCCGCAGAGCAATAAATCCCTCATACCCATTCGTCGATCAGGCTGAATGGCAGCTAGCAGAATTCATCGTGCAGCGGCTGACCAAAACCGACATTAACAAGTTTCTGAAACTAGACTGGGTGAGTAGCATCCGCCTTTGCAGTTCCACACTGTGGCTAACAGCCTGAACTTCACCTAAGTTTAAAACTAGTAGATCCCGACCATCCTTCAAGAGCGCAGATCAACTATTTGGCTGGATTGATGTATTGCCAAGTGGCCCTCAGTGGCAATCAACGACATTCGAGTTTATCGACTACACAACTGCGAGGCCAATGGAACTCATCTGGCGTGACGGTCTTGAAGTCGTTAAAGATCTCTTTGCAAACCCGATATTTTCCAATCACATGATGTACGATCCCCACCTTGTTATGACTGGCTCAGAGCGTGAATACGGCGAATTCTTCACTAGTGAGAGGGCTTTCACCATTCAAGTATGGATCTTTGAATAAACGAAATTGCTCGCTAATCTTTAACAGAATGACCTTCCAGAAGGCGCCACTATAGTACCAATCATTCTTGCATCTGACAAAACGCCCGTAACCAGGATGACAGGAGGATTAGAAATGCACCCAATATTCCTTACGATTGGCAATATTCAATCCGAAGTTCGAATGAAGGCCACCGCTCATGCATGGCGTTGTATCGCATTTATCCCAATTCCGAAGTTCGATGCTCACGCAGACTATCAAACGCTCCTCCATGCCCGTCTCTTCCACAAATGTATGGACACGATATTCGCCAGATGCAAAGTTGCCACAAAGATTGGTGAATACATGGCAGATCCCATGGGTTATATCCGGCACTGTTTTACTCCGCTTGTCGCCTACACAGCCGACCTTCCTGAAGCACAGCTTGTTGCTTGTGTCTCGAAGAACGCATCACCAGTCACGATGGCCACTCAAAGTGACTTCGGTAGTGCTCATATCTATCCCCCTCGAACAGGCCAACACACGCTCACGCTCATCTACGACCTATCCAAACGCATTGATCCATGGAGTGTACCGCGCTTCCAAGTCGAAGCTAAATCGTTGATGCTTAGTGGCGTCCATCAACCGTTTTGGAGAGATTGGAGGTTTGCGGATCCTGGTTATATGTTGCCTGGCGAACTCCTTCACACCTGTCATAAGTTTTTTGGTGACCATGCTCTAAAATGGTGCAAGGAAGTTGTTGGGGAGGAGGAACTCGATGCGTGTTACAAGGCTCACCATAAACGAGTCGGAACACGTCATTTTGGCTCTGGCGTCTCCCACATCAGCCAGATGACTTGCCGGGAACATCGCGACATTGAACGCACCATGATTGCCACTATCGCTGGCGCGACAAATGCAACCCCCGATTTCGTTCATGCTATACGTGCCCTCACCGAGTTCTTTTATCAGGCACAGAGCCCCGTGCACACCGACTCATCCATCGCTTCTATGGTTCAGTCCCTCGACGAGTTTCATCGCTTAAAACAAGGCATCCTCGATGCCGGTGCTCGGAGAGGCAAGCGTGGAACCATCGACAACTTTCTCATCCCAAAGTTGGAGTTGTTTCACAGCTTTGCTGGATCTATCAGAGCTCTCGGTGGTTTGATACAGTACTCAGCAGACGTCAGCGAACGGCTGTTGATTACTCACTGCAAGTTTCCATTCGAAAGGACCAGCCGGCAAGCCAAGAGTTTTACTTTACAGGTTGTTCAAATTCTCAATCGCGACGAAACCATGCAGCGTTTCAATCTTTACACGCTCCTGCAGACGCATGGCGCACCGCTCGTTAATGCCATTGCTGCTGAAGATGATATCGTCGCAGAGACAGATCCTACCTTGGCATGGATAGCCCGCACGCTCCCAAGTCAGCAGAAGCGCTTCCATGGTCCACGTCCAGTCCGCAACCACTTCATAACAGGACTTCTTTCTGCAGAAGCTACTGCTGCATTCCATGTCACGGTCGCACCTGATCGAAAATCATTTACCGTCCCCGATCTGCAGTACACCTACGCCCTTCCTGACTTTGCTGTGGCGCTCACTGAGTATATTAGTAAGTCATCCCAGGGTGCCCCAACAACATCGTGGACCTGTCGGGGAGGTTCGGTTAGGACGTGGAACAAGTTCCGCATACAACTCCTCTCCAACTTCCAGTCACGAGTTGTCATGCCAAGTCAAATCGTCCAGTCGTATCCGCCCTCAGAGGCATTCCCTTTTGGGAATTGTGACGCAGTTCTCGTACAATTAACTGAGAGTAATGGTAAGATTTTTACTGCGGTGCCATTCAGGTGCTTACTACTACAACCTCTGCAGACGTCTACATCGCACAAGTGCGTTGCGTTTTCCAACCTACCGCCAAGAAAGGCCGTACTTTGCCTCGCTATCTTGAAGCTGCACCTCTCTTATACGTTCAATACTTCCAGATCAAAGCCACGCCTGCTGACGAGCCAAGCGTTGGGATGTACAGGGTGAAACGAATCTTTCATCAGGATGAGACAGGTCGGATCTTCCGACCTGGCAGCATCATTCCACTGACGGCTGTTACTTGTGCCGTCGAGCTCGTCCCTGTGTATGGTTCGAAGATGAATCGCACGATAACTGCTGCAAACTCGTTAGAGGTCTGTGATGATTACTACCTGAATAAATTTTCAGACAAGGAGGTTTTCCATACGATGCACACAGATCTAATGTAGATTTTTTGCGTATTGCCTGTAGTACTAGTTCTGCAATTCATTATCTGCACACCTGATCAAGTTTAGATATGATAATCTTGCACCGCTTGTGTCATTCAGTTGTCATTCAGTTCCCCGTTCGCATTTTGGCCTAGTTAGTTACTTAATGCAACTCGTCCGAGACTAGGCCAAATAGGGATCGTTGAACGATGCTTTCGCGACGGTTTCAGATATCAGATGCTAGCTGCATTCGTTCCTTGTTCTCCCCACCGCTTTTGTTGGTGCGACGGCTATCTTTACATGTCTATCATTTATGTAATATCATTTTCACAATGCGTCACACTAAGATCGCTGTTCGTTTGCCCGCCCACCCGGCAGCTCAATCCTTCAACGTCCAGCCCGAGCTAAGGCTAGGACACAGCCAACCTCACGACGCCTTCGCACTCGACCTTCTCGCCTTCACAGCAACAGAGACATTCCTGCTGACCATCATGGCGCTCTATCCTGACATCCAAGCACGGGCTCGTGCAGAAATCGACCAAGCTGTAAAGCATGATAAAATGCCATGCCCTGACGACAGGGCATCAATGCCCTACCTTGATGCCATCCTCTGCGAGGTCCTGAGATGGTATCATATGACCTGTTGTTTAGGATCAAAAATTCTATCGAGTGCGAGAGAGTGCCTTGCCCTGGTGTTCAATCTGCCATTTGTACTTCCGATTTGGAGTTGTGCTTCTAGTGAAATTCAGCATATTCTGTACTGCAGCATTGTTTATTGTGATTTCCCTCATTATCGCTTGGGCTGCCATAACCACTCTTGCGATGCGGCTCACTGGGTGCCCACATTAGCACCCTGAATAATTGGACAATATGTCAGACCATACATCTGAACCGGTCTCTGTGGATCAGGTGATTGCATCTTACATCTAATAGTACGACGTTCTATAGCATTTACAATTGCATCACCCAATCTCAAACGAGTGCATGGGTCGACCGATATTCAGGTAGGCCAATGTTGCACCGGGGAGGGACCTGTGAGCCGATCAACGGTGTTCAGCCTAGTTGCGCCGCGTTACAAGATTTTAGAAACGTTTTTGAAGACTCAACGAATTCGAAGCAATTACCTCGTTCACCAGAGACAGAAGTCGCAAGACCGTGCCATCCAGCTCACTTTACGCCGTAGTACTATTACATGACACACCGCCTCAAGTACAAACGAAGTCTAATTCGAATTCATCATCGCTCGGAGGTGTCTTTCTCGCGCTCCGTTCACAATCTCAAACGAACACTGAAATGGTTCAGGGTGACTTCGGTAGAGTTAGCTGCAGGTTCTCGAGTACATACTAGGTCACTTACATCGTCAAGCCGGTGGTGAACTCCGGCTTCACCTCAATCTTGTTTCCGTTCGAGTCTTTGGCATGATCAATGCGCAAGACGGCGAGTATGGCAACAGCTGCGGTCCACAGACTATTCTCTGCGAACCAACGACCTGCCAAGCAAATTTGACATCCTCAGCACAGCCAGATCAACCACGAATAATCCTACCAGGACAAATACGCCTTGGAATAAGGGTCGGTGAATGATTGAAAATGATAGCAAGTGCGGAATGTTCACCTGCCATGACCAAAGGCAAAATGGTTGACGAAAGGGTCCTTCAGCTTCCCGTCGACTGTCAGATGGCGACTTGGATCGAAGCGCGATGCATCGGGAAATACGTCTTCATCCCGAGAGAGTGCCCTGAGCCCCGCTCAGCTCAAGCTGCCGTTACATGCACTTCACCATGACATACCACTGATTAACCATTACCATCGCACCTGAACGAACTACAGATGAGTCAACGACAACCTCGGCACATACGACTTCGAACCTTTGGGTATGAAGTACCCGTCGTAAACATCATCATTTGATGTCGCATGTGGAATTCCTGTGCAAGGGGTCGAACATTCAAACAGAGTTGTATTACTGCGGACTGACCTAGGGGGGCGATAGGATACCATCTCAGGACCTCGCGGAGAATGGCATCAAGGTAGGGCATTGACGCCCTGTCGTCAGGGCACGGCATTTTATCATGCTTTAGAGCTTGGTCGATTTCTGCACGAGCCCGGGCTTGGACGTCAGGATAGAGCACCATGGTCAGCAGGAATATCTGCAATGCGGCTGCACTCTGCGGAACATCAAAGTAAGAATCAGGACTGCTCGAGTAGCGACTCACAGTGTCCATGCCAACTAAGATGCCGAATTCCCGTCAATGGATAAACTTGGTCCTCGTAAAAAAACTCTTACCCATGTACCCCGTCAGCGCAACAGCCTTCATGGTGTCTTCATCAGCGTCGTCGTGAGCTTGACTGAGAAAGTCAGCGACCAATGAGTATGAAGCAATACCATTTGCCTTCACGTAATCAGATCAGGCAAAATTTCCATCCACAGCTCTGCGCAAACGCACCATCTGTGCCTTCACTTCATTGAAGGGCTCGTTCAAAAGCTGTTGAACTAATTCTCTACAGCGTCCTAATGCTCCACCGAAGCACCAGAGCGGTAACTTTTCGACTGCAACCTTGTGTTGGATGTTCAAAATTATGTCGTCGATAAAGGCACTCACGGAAAGGAAAGGCTGTGAACATGGCAGCCTTCTCGGGAGAAATAACATAATTGCCAATATCAAAGACTTCGCGCGCGCGGGAAAGAAATGGGTCTTCATGTCCGTGAGCATTGTATCCGTAAGTCACAGCCATGATTAGGGACGCCGCGTATCTGTCACAAAGATTTATTGTCAACCGGACCATACATCACAACGACAACATTGGACTAGGTACATACGCTTCAGTGTGATGCTGTAGTAGGCCGCTAGTGGCACCTAAGAGATTGATGACTAGTTCATTTGCGTGGCGAGAGTACAACTCGCGGTATGAGACCGAGACTTCGGCCCTGAGGACTTGATAGAAGATCTTGCGATGTTGTCGTAAGGTTTCTCCATAGGGAAGGAATGCAGTATTGAAAGACCCTCCAGCTCTGCATTGTCAGTTGATAAAGAACAAAATGAAGGAACCCCGGCAATATATACAATTCGTTGGTGCGCATAACAGGGCGAGTAGAGTAAGTCCCAGAACGCCTGTCCAACAACTCCCGCGCGATCGTTTCAGAGTTTATGATAATCAAGTCGATCCCAAATATGTAGGAGTGAATGATTTTTCCTATGATCAAAGATGAAATTGAATCTGAGAGCTTGGCAAAGAGGCCATTGGTCTGCCACCAACCATATGTTTTTCCCCACGCGGTGTATGTGAGCCAAGGTCGTTTAGTATCCAATTGCAACGCGTTACCGAAAAATGGTAACGGAGGAGGGCCAGGCGGCAAAGGTAAAGGGTAGACACGTCTGCGAGTCAGACGCGAAATGACAACCAGGGCAACAATGCACGATATCCCTGAAGCTAGAATATGAGTGGAGAGCATGGCGAGGGAATATGGTCGGGCCCAAGACATGTTTGATGGGAGTTCGCCTCATAAAAGGCGTCTTTGACCCGGATAGCATGCTTGAGTTGAAGACCGGTGTGATGGTACCTGTGACAAATGTCAAGTACTAGTACTACTTACATATGTAACCAGTACCATCATGCACAATCCACAGAACACCAATATGGGAGATCTGCTTTGTACTTTCTGGAATCTGCATGCATCCTCCTGGTTACCCCATATCTTGCTCGTCGACGTCCTCGAGCCAATTTTCGGAAAAAGGGTACCATATTTAGACATCATGAAGAACCGCAATGCATCCGAGATAGCATGCCGCAGTCAAGCTTCCAGCTTTCGAGGGATAGTTCATAGTTTTATTCCAGGCTCCTTCCCACTAGGGGTCGGCGTTGCCGACGTGGACCTTGCTCAGGTTTGTGGTTATTTATTGTTTGTTCCGAAATTCGTAACGCCAACAAACCAAATGGCTTAGGTCGAGTTCACGCGCTGTACTATTTTCACTTTGGTCCATGTAGCACTGCAATGCCATCCTCTAAATGCCTTTGGTGTACCGGGTGGCGAACGGTGTCAAAAGGTGGAGCATCAATGTGACCTGTCGCTTCGCATCATAGCTAAATATCAGTTTCACCTCACACGTCCTGCTGATCACGAGCTTGCGGCGGATTATCAAGCGGGGATTGCAGTTCTGGAAGCGTGGCAGAGTCAAGTTGGGAATTCAGCTAAGAATATGGTTATTGACGACGTGACTGGTAAGATGCTTCGTATGGTGAGAAATGTATTTGACAAACGGGTGAGTCCTGACTCGTTTTTATATCTATTATTTTGATGTCAGAGATAGGATGTTGCTGTTCCTGACTCTCCTCATGGCCGGAATGTCGAGGGTGCACCGAAAATGGATCACGAAACACAGGAATGGCCAATTCCTGAAGAGTTCGTCAGTGAACTGGATGAGTTGAAGTACCATTACCAAGCAGATCCTCTTCCTCTTTATCACGACGGTCATCTCGTCGAACCATCACACGCGAATGAAGTTACTATCAACGGTGCCATTGTCGAAGTTCATTTCGGGGTTCTCCATTGGCGAATCCGTGACTTCGACACATTCCAGGCTGATGTTGACAAAGTGGTCATCTTGAAGCCTGGCTACGGTCACCATACGAGCAACTACAAACGTCCGCACGATAGTGAAAAACTTCCAGAACGTGACACGAAAAAATCTCGTCAGGAGGCGTCCTCGAGTTCATCAGAAGTTTAAAGGTGAGAATTGTTTGGGGCAAACTGCGAGCGAAGTTGAACATTGTGAAGATTATATTAGGTATGAAGATCGTGGTTATCTAAGGGTCCTGGGTACGATTTTTGCATCGCAGCTTATTTTTGCGTGGTTACGATTCTTGATGCAGAGCGGCGGGTTGTTTTCGTTCGTTTGGTCAATTTGCACGTGTTTTGATGTTATTTATGTATCTTATCTTATTGTATCACGTTTTAATGCGTCACTATGTTTACTATTATTTGGAAATCACATAAAATTGTCCATGTAGAACTGACCTTGCTTCGCAAGGTAATCCGCTGGTTCGAGTGTGGGGAAGCGCAGTCGGATCACGTGCTACAACAACAATTCAAACCCAGCCCAACTTTTTCCCCCCACACTCAAACCCGCGGATGGTAAGTACTTAAGTTCCGAAGGAGCCTGGTTTTATTCCCGCAATTGAAATTATTGTTCGTTTATCGAAGAATTATAGTACTAGAGCTACTTGGAGGATATGCGAGCTGAGAGGTGATACTTACTAATTTTCAGAGCTGATGAGTCTTTTTATACCTTGTTTTCGCCACGGCTAGCGCTTAGCTCCGGGAGTGGTTGGCACCACAGAGCTTCAGCGTCCAGCCCGAGCTAACGCTTGGACACACGGCTTCGCACTTCTCGCCTTCCGAACAGCAACAGTCGAAGTCGGCTCGTCACACACGCCACTAGTGGAGTACAATGAACAAAGGATGCACCCGAGTCCACAGCTGAGCGCTGACCTTCCACACCGATCCACTCTGACACTGTGGACGGTGGTCCAAGCCTTCTGCAGTACTCGGGTATAAAGATGCACCTCACAGCGTCCGTCGAGGCCACCACAAATCGTTCGCTCTTCCTTGACCCCAATCGTACTCTGCATTATCATGGAAAAGATGTCCAACACCACAGCCATGACGTGCTGCAATAGCGCTACTTCGATGAGCATCACCAATGCTCCGGTCATGTCCCCTAACAACAGACTCACCCCCGCCGAACGAAAGGCCTTCGCTAGATCAGATCATAAAGCTGGCAAGGTCCTCGGCGTCACACTCACGCGTAACCACGTGGGACAGGATAATCGACAAGATCAAGAGAATTTCCAAGGTGATAACGAGGAAGGTGCGGTTATAGGTACAAAGCGTTCATTTAGCCGCAATGCAAGCACCGCCACCATCATTGGGCCACTCAAGGACAGGCTTGGCCGTATACTCGCTTCAGGTATGAAGATGGTAGAGAAGCGGAACAAGGGGCGCATGGCCACTGGGGGATATCCGCCACGCATTGTCTTGGGCCTCTTGCGGTACAATGAATCAGTACCTGGCAAGGACGGTATGGGAGAACTACCGACTGGCGTTAGCGACCAAATTTGTCCCCGTTCGCTTGCGGAGCTAGACGAGAATGAAAATACAGAAGCGCCTCTTGGAGCCGAGTTTCTAGAGCGAAATGAAGAGGAGGAAGACGATCTATTCGGCGGTTCCCCGACGGGCCTTGTTCGGGACGTCGAAAACCCGTTGGCGAGTCCGGCCCTTGATCGACGTGTTTCACCGGTTGCATCTCCAGAGGTATCATCCGAGGAAGAAAGTCTGGCACTCTCCTCCGATGACTCGTTTGACTACATGCTTCGTCCGGCGGAACGAGCTTACGTCGATTTTTTGATTGCACAGGACGAAGCCGAAGGGCAAACAGTGGAGAAGATAGCATTGCGATCCAGGAACAAGGTGCTGGATGTGTTGGGAGCAGAGGCGCGACAAGCGGTCAATGAACACTGCTAGTTGAAATCATATGCCTATGGGACGCGTGTTAGTCAGACTCATAAGTGGCTTGGGCACAAGCTTTCGAGATCGTGGACGTTTAGGTTCAACAACTAGCATCAGAGAACTGGTGGACAGATTAGAACGATATAGATAGCAATATATAGTACACAATCACAAGCGCCAGCAAAATTCTGCTATCGATCGTCACATGGTCATATTTGACTTTAAATAGGGATGAGGAGTTGCTGATTTTCTTACACAGTTCTGCGATCCGGGAAAGACACTTACACTACTCGACCTCAGACTCAGCAAGAAGGTGGAGCAACAGCTAATGGTCAACCTAGAGGCATTAATAGCCGCCACGTCGAAGTAAAGTTCGTGATTTTGAAGCCAAGAGGAAAAGACGCGATCTTCCAGCGAACGACGACTGTCCACCAAATGGGCGAGACTAGACTGATGTCGGGCAAAGCTAATGGTTGAGCCAGATGAATCATAAACGCAACTTCAAGAAGACATGTTCTTGACTTCGAAGCCAACAGGAAAAGACGCGATCTTCCAGCGAACGATGACTATCCACCGAGTGAGCAAGACTGCATTGATGTTCAGCAAAGCTAATGGTCGAGCTGAATGAATCATAACCACAACGTCAGGAAGTAACGTTTGCGACCTCGAAGCTAAGGGTCAAATGCAGCATCTTCCGAAGATCGACGATGTGTTCAACAAGCGAGTGAGAACAAATATCTATACCCTTCTCAATGTTAATGCTCTATGTTTTAGATATCGACACCCCACCTTATGTGACACAATACCCGAGCTAAGACTAAAAGTCCGTATCTTTCAGGAGCACTAAGACGCGTTACCCTTGGCGGGAGACATACATGTGCGTCCTCTATTGAACCTCGATACATTTCCCTGACAAACCAAATTTTCATCACTTTTATGTCAATTTTCCATGTAAAAGTAAAAGCCCATATCTTCCCAACTACGAGGATATATTTTACCCGAATGCGTGACACGAAAAATTTCTTCGTGCCTCGACTTCGAACGCTATCTTTTGGATATGTCTAATGTTTGTTAGCTATGTATCAATTTGGAATCCGTGTGAAGATGCTATACCTTTGCGCAGCGGCTGGGTTACGTTCAACAACTGGGCGACAATCAATTTGTGTCGTGGGCTCGAACCTCGAGGCAACTTTCTTTGGGTAGCTAATGGCTAGCAGTGGTATGTCACTTGCGACTGCATCTAAAGAAGTTAGACTACGTACGGACAATGTGTTGTTGTAGCAATGTACCTCGACCTCGAATTCGGCAGCCGGGACACATGTTCGTCAACTATTTATCAACTGGGAACCCTTGCGAACAAGCCTTACCTACCTACAACAGTCGGGATCTGTTCGCCAGGTCACCGAGAGATTGTTTATATCTTGCTTTGAGTTTACACACAACCTTCTGTGTTTATTCAAAGACTGGCAATTGTATTCTGCTTTGGATACTGTGGGCATAATGGATAACTGTCTTTCAACCACGTCGATCTCGCAAGTCCATACTTTCTGTCTCGTGATCACCATGATCATGCCGTATTTCCTCACTGCAACAGACCTTCCTGAGCGTGCGGATGCATGAACTGGAGTTTGATTTATGTGATTAGCACGATGGCCAGATAATACAGAGTTAACCATGGTCGCTCCGTATTTCCTCCACGAAACTTACAAACAACTCAGTGAGCGAAGTCAAGTCGTCTTACAATCGCGTTGCTCTTGCATGTCAATACTGTTTGTCCTGCAATCACCATGATCACGCTGTATTTCCTCACTGTAGCACAGCTTCCCGAGCAGGAGGATGCGTGAACTGGACTTTGATTTGTGCTATTAGCACGACGGTTACACATTATAGATATTGCCATGGTCGCGCGGTATTTCCTCGATAAAACTCGATAGCGATCCAGTGTGCCAGATGCAGCTTGTTTAAACGGGTGGGTGGATGGCCGAACTGTCGCTCGATTGACGCTGTTAGCACGACATCGAAACAATACAGATATCACCATTGTCGCTCCATACTTCCTCGTTGGAACTTACAAACAACCCGGCGGGTGGGTGCACGAACTGTAGCTTAATTGATGCTATTAACGTGACGTTCAGATGATGTAGAATTTCAAACCGAGAAATTATCATGAAGGCAAATCATTAAAAACAAAGTAATACCGACTACAATCGTAAGAGAAAGTTTAAGCAATATACTTCTTAGGGTGCATCCAAATCCGCATCATCACGCTGTGCCCTCTGCCTTGTGAGAGCATTAACAGACATGTTGGCCTTTACCGTGTTGCTAATGTCATCACGGTGACTTCTTCCAAAAACCTTCCTACGCGGCAGAATTCAGTCGAGAGCCGTTGAGAATGAGAATGTACACGACCCACCTGGTCCACCACTCGAGGAGCTTATCGATCCTGAGACGCGCTCCTCGACCGGGGGGCTTTTCGAAAAAATCGACAATTGTTCGCCAGAATTGCACGTAGTCGAAGTCTCCATCAACAGACCGCCAAGAGGTAATAGAAGAAAGTGCAAATCGCACCTGCCAGTGTGCACTTATCAGTCATCATCGCTCTCGGGCTTTCCAAACGTTACTTACTTGGCATACTATATACGCAATCGAGCGAGGTGTAACTTTTTTCATTTTGATGATCTGCGCCACGTGTTTCTTGACCTTGAGGCCGGAGGAAGACCTCCTAGCGCGCCTGTTGTTCTCAATGATATCTGCGCCATCACCGTCGCCTTCTACGTGCTTTGCCGAGGAAGGCGATGTGAACACCGCTTTGTAACTCTGAATAAACTGGTGAGATTAACATCGAGATAGGTGGCTGGTGCAGCAGACCTGAAGAAGGATTTTGCTCTTGAAAAGGCCCTCTTCCAGATCGTCAGGGTTGGTGGTATACCCCTCATACAGGTAGGCCGGGAAGGAAAGATCTGTCACGATGTAACCTTCTGAGCGGTCTCGTATACCTGCCCTTACCCTACCAAATGGTGAGTGTTTTTCTGAGGATTCTGTGTACCACTTACACCGGGTCTTTCCAATCAAGCTCAGCTGGGCAGAGCAGCATGCCGCACGCATAATTTGTGAACCCACGGGAATGCTTGTCATCGGAGTCGACCGGGGGATCTGGCTTAAATTCGCGATTTACCCAATCGGAAACGAGAGCCTTGAGTTTCGAAGTGTCGTCACCTCGAGCACTGTCAGCCCCCTGCCGAAGCTTGTTAAACGGTTAGCACGGTCGAGACGATCGAAGTGGCGAATACCAACTATTTTCAATAGCTGTGCATAGTCGTCATACTCCATATCTGAAGCCTCCTTATGGAACCAAGGTAACGTACTTGTGAGTGCGTGATACCCTATCTGCAACCTATCTTGGCTATATAAACAAGCTGAACAGTTAGCTCTTACAGACAGACTTAAGGGCGAAAAACAAACGGACTCGAGAGTATTTTCCTGGTCGTCGTCCGAATCGTCATATCTTCAGTCATTTTCAGCGACGAGGTCCTCGACGTTATCGAATAGAGCGACAACGCGCCTGATGGCCCTTCCTTGAGCCATGTAATAGTTGGCTTGCCTGACGGTCAGACTGTGAGAAAAGCCTGCGATTCATTTGCTTGCCGTCATACCTTTCTTTCACCGTGCGCGTCGACTCGAGAGTCAGCAGTTTCTCCTCCAGCTGCGCAATTCTCCGTCTTTGTCGCGCCTCCACAGATGGTGCCATAGTGTTGGACTGTTTGGGGAAATCGTCCTGGTTCTCATCGTTACCGTCCGAGTCGACGTGTGGCATAGAGGTGTCCTCAACGTGCGACATGGAGACGGAGAGATATAAAATAGGTTAAATAGAGAAGAGCGTTACCCAACGGTGGAGGGAAAAAGGGAAGGGGGAAGGAACAATGAATAGTACTGACTAGTTGGCACCTTATATGCTGGTGACGACCAGCCGCGGCGCCAATAGGGTAACAAGCGCCTACCTATCTTGGGTTGGCCAGGGATGAAGTCTCGCTTAAATAGATACCTAGTTAGGAAATCATTAACGTTATAAAAACTTTGAATATGATGACGGGTTTACCCTGGCCTCGGACTCAGTCGTCGTGAATGGTGGGTGACACATCATCCAATCCAGCTCCAAAGTACCACAGCGTGACATCTCGACCTGTAATATCCAAGCGTGGGTGACTCGGAAATGAGGGAGAGAAAATCCTTCGTATACAGGTAGGACGTGCATGACTCCATCACCCGTGCTCGGGGAAGTTCGGTCCTGCGTACTACGGGTGGAATTTGTTGAAGCCGAAGGACTCCATAACGGGGAAGTAGTAAGCCTTGGGGTTGAACGTGGATGTTCCTAGCCTCTGAGTCTGCTGTTCGCCGAAGGCCTGGCCTCTTCCTTGCATCAGTAGTAACAATCTGAGAGAGGGTATCAGCAAAAATACGCCGTTAAAAGCACCAGCTTCGATAGCCTTGGTGAGCCCTTCATCGAGAATCGTTGCCCCTACCTTCTGAGTCTGCGGGACCACTGCTCGTCGGAGAATTCACATGTGTAGACGTGTCCAACATCGGTGCCGCAGGAGGCGCAGACCCTTGCAATAGTATCGCGTGGGCCGAATGACCTTGAAATCCGTATCGAAGAAGAAGACGTCCCAAATTGCAATCTAAATCATGTTTATTAGTAGCAGGATTGTCAGTGAAATGGCACTTGGCTTGCCTCTCCTAGATTCTCCACATCTTCATCAAAAGGTACCTTCAAAGCGCATTGAGTCATCAAACGCGCGTAGACCAGACAACAGACTACATCCCAGTTGAAATACAAGCGCCAAGGCACTGACTGGCAAAAATCCAAATCCAAAGCTTACCGGTGTTCCCGAGATACTACGCACAATGCTCAGATCGAGCGCATCAACATCACAGCTCAGGTGATCAAGGCGTCTCATTGATTGGTATCATCAAGAGCTCGTTCAACTTGAACCACCTTGCCGGAGCTATAGCTGCATCAAGTAGTCACGATATAGTCAATGTCTGCGCCCTTGGGTCCTACCCACAAAAACTCGACTCACCGATCAATCGTGCATACCAAATATCTCAATACAGTCTTGCTTTTATATCGTCTCATTCGTTTCCAGAAAATTGATGTAGACGAGACCTATGATGTCGTGTCCGACTCGTGAGCCGTCGAGCACAAAATTTCCCACAGTCGGGCCTGGGAAGCAACCCGGGCCAGAACGTCCTCCTCCAACAGGTGCTGAAAATTTCCCGGTACGAGTAGTTAATTTTATCATTGGATGAATGGATGGCTAACGAGTGAATAGCTCACCACGTACACCGCATTTTTGTGTCCAGTCTCTATGAGATTCAGACCTTCGACTGGTTTGCCGGTCTTCGCATCGCGATAGCAGCTCATTGAATATTGTTTGGGTTAGAATCGGTTGTATTGTGGCGGTAATGGTAGATTGGAGGTGAGCTCATGTCAATAGAAGTACCTCTGAAGGCTGGAGGGATTGCTCACGAGAGGTCCCACCCAGGCAAATTCAATCCTGACTCGGACTGTGACAGGACAGCTTCAGGACGCCGTAACCAGGAGATCGATTGGCCGGTGGGTGGTCCTATCTTTTTCTCCCTTCAGCTTTTTCTACTCAAAACAACCGGAGTATCCCTCAACAATCTGATACAGATAGTATACTGCTCCATGCAGGAATCCAGCCAACTGCCAAGCTTAGTATGCGACATCGTTACGGCACTAGCCCTGACTGTCCACCGTCCGAGTCACAGGCACGGGTGATGATCAGCATTTAACTTCAGTTTGTACGAACTTCGGAACTTCATCTGTCATGGAACCGATTTTTTTCATGTTACTAAAGTTCATTGGCCCTCCTTCAAGCCCACAGTGCAACAAGTTTACCGAATGTTCTGTAGTAACTACTCGTTTTCAGTTACTGTAAGTATTTTCTTTTGTTGCTCCTCGCCATGCTTGATTATGTCAAGAACTGTCTGCCAGTCAGTGCCTGTTTTCTCCCGACAGATGCGTTTGGTAGCTGGAGCAGTACAATCCGGACTCGGAGATGATAGCCGCACTTTCTCCTTGTCAGTGCAATGATTTGGGTCGATGTTGTCGATCTTCCTCTTGGGATGAGTGCTACAGGCTACCTTGGCGCAAGAAACTTCAAGTTGAGCTCGTAGTATGACTTCACAACTTTTTGCTGAGCCAGCTTCCTGATCTCATCAGCACAACGAAACCCACGCCTGTTGGAATACACCTACTACCGTCTTCCGAGCCGGACTCGGCGCAGTCGTGATGGCAGCAGATAGTCTCTGATTTTCCTTCTCTCTCAAACTTGAATGACTCGGAGAGGCAGCAATAACAATCTCCTGCGAGAGACATGTACGTGAGCATGATGTTTCAAATGAAGGAACCAAGAGTCGCAGTAGCCACTTACTACTACTTCTTGATACCTGGCAGGCTTCAGAGGTTCCCGTGTAGGGTTGAGCGTCGCACCACCTCCAGATTCCGAGCAATACCCCGGCCCGTTCGAGTTAGTGCCAGAACAAGTACCACTAGTAGGACCAAATACTACGGACGTCGTAGAAAATTCAGACACGAGTTTGCGACTGGGTTCGAACGGGATACCATCATGATAATCATGCGGCACACTTGTATCCCCATTGACCCGAGTGGTCACAGCCGCTGGATCGCCGTGACTGGCAGGACGGCCTTGGTCATATTCCAACATACGGCTACCGTCCATGTCAGGCTAGTAGTAAGTACTAGTTGTTAGGAAGTTGGCTTGAGGTCAACCTGTGAGTTCTTATAGTTCGGTCTATCTCTGGTGACGTACAATCACCAGAGCCATGACAGCATCAATGGTAGGGTCGTGGGCCTGACATAGGCTATATGCATATGTGCAGCCAGGCTCACTGGCAGGTGCCTAATGATAGGGCTGTGCTTCACGGCGTAGTAGCAAGATCCTTTTGGCAAAGATCCAATCAGTCCTTCTTAGAAAACATAAATTGGTTCCCTTTTTTGGTATGTGCTGAGTTCTCCGATCATATCACGAAGTTCTTCGGGACACCTTATCCTCCGAAATAAGTTTGCTTCATTTCCTCTCCAGGCAACTAACTGACGAGCAGGCAGCATATCATCCTGCACAGTGCTGTGAGTTGGTCAGTGAAATGCAAGAACCAAGTCCGATCAGCGAATATTACTTTCAAACTCCGAAGACTTATTTACCAATCGCTTACACCCCGAAATCCCCGAAGCCCACCTTTGAACAATCATGTTGCACTTAAACTTGGCTCTGTCTTGTAGTGATGAACCTGAACCTAAGGTTTCATCCGGCCGCAACCGTAACATGAGTGAAGTCTCAGAACTTCACATCCCACAGATTGCATCCCTACCCCTTCAACAAGTTGAACACCCGCAGCTTGGGGATATTTCTCCCAGTCCCGCTCCCAGCCGGTATTCAAGCTCTCCTCCAAGCTCTCCTCCAAGCTTTGGCTCGTCCGCCGTGCCAGCATCAGGTATTAATAACCCATTGTATGCCAATGGTGGATAATCTCAAATATAAAATTGACAGCTGCTACTAGTAGCTCTAATAATATCTCAGACGCAGAGGACGATAACTTCCCTTGGACACCTCATTCTAAGCAATCCGGTGGTCCCTTATATCCTGTCAATTCATGCGGGTCTGCTCGGGCTGGAGTAGGATCGCCGACTCCAAATCGTTCTCCTCAGATTGACAGCACCGACGCTTTCTATCCTCATCCCATGATCACCTCCTTCGAAGACCAACATTATTTTGACAGATTTTTAGGCAGACCTGTCAACGACGAGCATTCATTGGAAGATATTAGCCAGAAAGTACGTTATATTTTCAACAAAATACCACAGCTCTCAAGATAGATGCCATTACAGATTCAGGATATCTATTTTAGCCATATAGAGCGGCTTAGCGCGCATTCTGTCCGCTGTGCTGTTCATTACAAAGAAGCGGTTCGTGAACGCAAACGCATGCGTTGGTACACCGCACGCTGGGAGGTTGCGGAGATCCAAAGGCTACACACCCTTGTTCGTTCCTTGTGTGACGAATCGGAGACGGAATTCATTATGGCGGACCGAGAATCACGGTGGTTATTGGATGTCCTTGTCAAACGACAGACACCACCTACTTTGGCCACACATGCCCAATATGCCAGTGCAACCTGTGACAACGACAAAAAATCTCTTCGTTTGGCTGACGCTGAACTCGCCCTTTTCGCCAATCGCTCTTAGTCTATCGAGCTGTAACGAATTATTAGTACGTATGGCTTTACCTGACAAATATCCTTAATCACCATGTTTCCAGACATTATCACCCTTCCTACAAATTATGTTGTATTTCCACATGAATCATGGTGGATACACCGGTTGCTTGTTTTTTGATGCTAGTATGTATAAACTACGCTCCGGCTCCACCTCACAAGTTAGTTCAAGATAGCGTTGGTAGTAGAACCATTGAATGTATCTCATCTGTCTTTCAAGTTTCTGGTGGAGTCCCTCACGGTAGCCTGCAAGGAAACATAGTTATGGTTATTCACCTTCCCTCTATGGGGCTGCAACACAACTTCGACATGTGACGCTTACCAAGCATGAACGCTAACCCGTAACTACCGTGAGTCCAAGACAGTTATGTTAGTTGCAACTTCCTTTCAGGATTGCTAGCTCGAAATCGGCATGCATTTTTCTGAAACGCTCAGTTGGATCTGTCTTTTCTTGTTTATTCTAATGGTTTCATGCGATGCTCCGGGTTGCTCTTGGGTGAGGCCAACAGACAACCGAGGACTCAGTAGGCACCGATTACACTGTCAATTCTATAAGAAAGACAGCAGTCTTGCGAGTAGGAAGAGACGTGATCGCGCAAAGGACGCAGTTCGTTCAAGTTTGGCTCCAAATCCTTCGTCAAGCACCTCAGTGAGTGACTTCCTGCTTTGACACGAGGATAGAACCTCCAGCTATGGCTAGTACTGAAATCAACGTTAGAGAATTTTAGCCGTCCGATTTGTGAAGGACCGTCCGAGTCTGAAACCAATTGCTCCTCACAAATTACACGGGCCAATGTCTATGGCTTGTGGATTGCACGGCAAAGAGTCGGGCAGTCTTACAGTCTCGCAAAACCGTGGCAACTACGACTCAGAAAGACGAGAAAACGATCAAATTGATGTTGAGATGGGGAGCGATTCTAGGACCGTGATGGACGACTTTGATTCAGGTTCGTGTCTCCTTGGGCAACTTTCAAGGAGTCCATCCTCTGATATATTTACAAATCTGCCGAACCTTTCAGAGGGAACCGCGTTCCCAATGAGACGAATCCCGAGACCTCTCGATGATATCGAGCCCTCGCACAGTGATCTCAACTATTCCGATAGTGCTGGAATCCAAACGGCCTCACTGCCCGCCCAATCCAGGATTCGACGGGTTCTCTTAACACTAAGAGATACCCTCCAGACCGCCTTCAACTCGTTTGGACTTTGCCGGCTATACCCTCGCCGTCCTTCCTTTGAGCCGGACCAATTTATTCCATCCGCGTTACTTGCAAAAACCTCCCCAATACCTACCCAACTTGAAGGAGCCGATTCTCCAGTGAAGGTCTTTGCGCCACCTTACCCATTTCCAAACATGACTACCTATCGCCTCATGTCCTGGATGCATTCCGGTAGCAATCTAATATCTGAAACTAAAGTCTCGCACCTTGTCAGGGACGTGATGATGGCAGAGGATTTCGACCGCAAGCACCTTGAGAACTTCTCAGTGAAGCGGAGCTTGCGAGAGCTGGATAGGGATGAGAGTGGAAAAGGGGTTACCTTTCCAGATGACTGGATTCAGACCAGCGTCGCCATTAGCATTCCGACGAGATCAAGGGAAGATGGCCCTCAGCCTTATACGGTTCCAGGGTTTCATTACCGCCCTCTTGTTGAAGTCATACGTGCTGCGTTCTCCAACGTCCAAGCAAAGGCGTTCCATCTCTTGCCCTTCCAACGATTGTGGAAAGATCCCTTAGACGGTCATCAAGAGCGGATCTACGATGAACTCTACACCTCCGATGCCTGGCTGGAAGCTCAGGATAGTGTCCAGAGGCTGCCAAAGGAACCAGGGTGTTCACTGGAGCGTGTCATCGCGGGTTTGATGTTTTTTTCCGACGCTACTCACTTGGCAAATTTCGGGACTGCAAAGGCCTGGCCCCTTTACATGTATTTCGGGAACTTGACGAAATACGCAAGATCATCGCCCCAATCTGGAGCATGTCACCTGGTAGGATTCTTACCTTCGGTAAGTCCTCCTGAACTCTGCACACTGGTCCACCGCCTTTGACAGTGTCAGGTCCCTGACAGCATCAAAGATATTATCAGCAATCTGCCTCGTATATCAAAAACTGGTATGGCATCTCTTCTTACCCACTGTCGCAGGGAGTTGTTCCATTCTTGTTGGGAAATCCTGCTAGATGAAGACTTTCTTGCCGCATATCGCCACGGTATAGTTCTGAAATGTCCCGACGGAGTGATGCGAAGGGTCTTCCCCAAAATCTTCACTTATTCCGCCGACTATCCTAAAAAGTAGAGTTCTTCCACGATATTTTCAAAACGCTGACTCACTCATTGATTTACAGAGTTTTAATCGCAACTATGAAGGATATGGGTCTATGTCCATGCCCTCGCTGTGTCACACCAAAAAGTATGTTTGGCTTTCTCGGGCTCGCAAGAGACATGAAAAGTCGTATCAACAACCTTCGAGCATACGTGACGACAAATGTCGTCAAAGCTCGCGATTTCATCTACACATGGGGAAATACCGTAGATGGTGTGAAGGTAGAGAATACGCTTGGAGAGGGATCATGGGTACCTGTTCTGGTAGGTGAAATTACCTTCGCATTTTTTGATCGCCTCACACCATCTACTCACAGAATCAATTTGTTACAAAGCTCGGACCTTTCGGCCTCGACACATTCCGCATGCTTGTCATCGACTTCATGCACGAATGCGAGTTGGGTACCTGGAAGGCGCTTTTCACCCATCTCATCAGGCTTCTCTATGCCCTTCCTCGAGGTAGTGAGCTTGTCGCAGCCCTGGACGGCAGGTATGAGGAATGTGTAAAGAGCAGTGTCGTATGCTAAAAGGTCGTCGACTCTCAAATTTGTTGTAGGTTTCGACAAGTGCCGACTTTCGGTAACGGCGTAATTCGGAAATTTTCTAACAATACTTCTGAAATGAAAAGATTAGCAGCCCATGACTTTGAAGATATCTTACAGGTATTTTCCGGCCGCCGTTTTCTGTACTCAACCTGCTGACTACTCTCCATCGCTAGTGTGCCATTCCGGTCTTCGAAGGGCTTTTCCCCACTGACCATGATGCGGCCATACAGTCTCTACTGTATCAATTTTCGCAGTGGCATGCTCTTGCCAAACTTCGGATTCACTCGGAGTCCACAGTCGAGTTTCTCGAAGAAACGTTCAAGAAGGTATCTCAGAAGTTGCGCAAGTTTCGAAACTACACCTGCGCTACTTTCAACACTGTCGAATTACCCAAGGAGAAAGCAGCCCGTCACCGTAGGATGGCTCAACAATCTGCAATGAACGGTACCTTTCCAGGATCAAACGGGGCGAAGACAAAGAGGTTTAATTTGGGTACGTATAAATTTCATGCGATGGGAGACTATGCGAGAACCATCAGGTTCTTCGGTACTACGGATTCTTTCAGCACTCAAATTGTACGTCTTTTTTTCAAGTCCATACTAGTATGCAGCTCATGTTAAGTTAAACCAGGGCGAGCTTGCTCACAGAGCCCTGAAGGCCTTTTATCCACTGACCAGTAAGAAAGACACTCCGGCCCAGTTAGCCAAGCACGAGCGTAGGCGCCGTGTACTACGGCGGGTGGCCGAAGTGGCCTCCTCTGGCGGCCAACCAGGAGCCAATGCCCCCCCATCGACATTATCTGAAATGCATCACAGTATTGCGGCCACTCGGAACAATCCGCTTAATTTATTTGTATTTCTTCGAGAACACAGCGACGACCCTGCCATTAAGGTAGAAGTCCATTTCTGAGGCACCTTACCTCTTACTCACAGCGGCTGTCAGAATTTTCTACCAAGACTGAAGGACCATATTCTCTACAGGTTGAAGGGGTTAGACGTTAGCCATTGTGACCACACATTTACAGACGAGGAACGCACCTCCATCATAATCCCCAACAACACTATCTACTCGGTCCAGACCATGCAGATACATTATACTACCTACGACTTCAGGCGAGAATACGACACCATAAGCCTCAGAACCCACGGCGACGTTATGGTACTTTCGGGCGAGACAAAGCCAACCCATCCTTACTGGTATGCCCGTGTATTGGGCATATACCACGTGGACGTATTGTTCAATCAAGGCGGCCGGCTCATGAAGCGACACGTTGAATTTCTCTGGGTCAGGTGGCTAGCGGTTGTGCAGGGCCATAAATCAGGCATGAAATACGCCCGTCTACCCAAGATCGCGTTTGTGGAAGAGTCGGACCTAGATGCCTTTGGGTTTCTTGATCCAGGGCAGGTAATCCGAGGCGCACATGTGATTCCAGCGTTTGCTTCTGGACGAGGTGTCAGCTCACTTCGATATGGGAAATCATTGGCACGCCCTTGCGGGCAGCAGGATGACTGGGAACAGTTTTATGTCGGGATGTAAGTACAAATATACCTTCTGGTAGTACTTGAATTCTCAAGTTTGAGACAGATTCGTAGATCGGGATATGTTCATGCGTTATACCGACCTTGGTGTTGGACATTCTGCGATGCTTCGGAGGATTACCCGAGACTGTCTGGGCTCTCAGGCTGCGTTGGCAGCACAGGCCAATGGCACGGGTGATGTAACCACCACTGACGAGGATGCGGACGAGGAGACAGGGGATGGTGAGGGTTGCGAGGAATGCGACGATGGGCAGGAGGACAGCGATGTCGAAGATTCTGACTCAGAAGGGTTGAATGAGCTTAGCGATGGGGAACTGGGTGATGACGACGACGACGACGATGACCATATCTCTTTCTGAAGCCCCTCGAGTCCCTCCAAATCTCAGTTATGCCTTAGTCACTACTAGTATTACGCCAAGGATCATTGTTTCCACGCCATTGCTATAATCATCATACAATACTACTGCTGCTACTAGTATGCTACTGTTGTCTACCGGTGAGACAGTTTTTGTTTTATTTTGCGTTGGTTGAGGATCTCGACGTGAATCAGTTCACCTGACTCGGCGTATCCCCGGACGGTCCGCCCTGTGCGGCGTTTTCGAGAATTCACAAGCACATTTTTCATTTGATCAAACATCGCCTAACGAGGGTTCTCGAAGGTACAAACGTTAGTATCTATCACTCTTGCCTACTCTCGAGTTAACTTTGCTTTAGATATTATGATGCAGCCCTGATTTCGTGCTTCTTGTTTGGATTTGTCGACGCAGCGGTGTTCCGTTTCCCGGGGTAGGTCCTTGGTATAGTCGCTATATGCCCTCCTAATTCTATATATTGAAGTCTCTCTAGGTACAAGCGAAACGACCTAGGGTTATGCACAGCGATTCTTGTGGGAGAGTCAGTCAGTCATGCTTGTAGTGCCCTTATCATGATGCAGCCAACATCAGGAATTTTAGCAGGCCTAGACGGTACACTGGGTTCACAGCTTGTAGGTCTAAAGCAATATTTGCACGCTCCCAAAAGTAACGCTGACTTTGATGCAGGTGACCGTGCCTGGTAGAGGGCACTTTAACCATCATACTAGTTGCAGTGTGCGATCTGGATTTTACCAGACTTTCTTTCAACTCCGAGCGTCTGGCTTTCGAACGCTGGCGAAACGATGGATGGAGGAGGACGCTGCAGCCAAAAAGGAGGATCGATGCAAGCGTGTAGAGGGTTTTCCTGTGGGAACTGCAACCTCATTTTTTTGTGGCCAGGTTAGTCTTTGACAGGCTCGAAAAGTCAGATTAACGATAGATAAGGCACTCAGATGTTACTGGCGATCGCTTCTGGCCTATCACTGGTCCGCTACTTGTCGGCGTCGTCGGGTTTATGATTGCCACATCTACCATGAATACGGTCGTCCGATATCTGTCGCTGTACGAACCTTTCAATCATCTTTCAGCAATTTTACGATTCTTTGCGACTCAGTCCTCAGTTACCTATGTTACCTTTTTGACTTGGGTATTTAATAGTATTTTTTCCCAATCGTGGTCGAAACACGCTGCAGCCATCGCACTGGTGAACTCGGTGTCAACATCTGGCAACATTGATGCACTGTGAGTTTACGGTGACCCCGTACTCTATGGTCTCTCACTCACGCCATCACAGGTACTTCCGGTCATCTAGTTTGGGACCTTCATACGTAAATCTGTATATCATTTGCATCCTGACAAGCGCCATGTCTATTGCGATGTGCTGGACGTTTAGGTGACATCTTTCTCGGTGCAATGAAGCTGCTGAAGCTGAAGAGTACGCTCTAGGGTTGCCCAAAGGCTTTAAATATGTCCTGTAGTACTCGCTCTTCAACTGGGGCTGCTGGGAAGCAGTGGGCGGTGCATCTATAGACTCGGATGTAGCATGGTCCACGCCATAGTCACATAAATGAACTCCACTGCAACTGCCCTATCTACTGCCCTATCTACTGCCCTACCAAGTCCCGACACCTCAGGCTGGTGCTCTATACTGTCAGCTCCCGCCTCCTACCACTTCCAACCATTTTTGTTCTATCATCCGAGCTTAAAGTTCAGTGCGGTGAACTACTAGGCTAGCTCGCAAAATCACTCTTACGTTACAGGCCGCTCGAGGACTATCAGGATAGGAAGGCGGAACGAACGGGGAGCTCAACTTTCACGTTTCCTAGCATGGAACGCAAGTGCAGTGGGCCGGTGTCTGTTGGCACACCAACGAAGACGATCTATGACGAACTACCTACTCCAACTGCTTCCATAGCGAATGTTGCGCGCCTTCCTGCGCTCATGGGCTCTGGACTACCTACTGGAGCAATGTTGCCACACATGCGCACGAAGAGTTCATCTCCCAAGGATTCTGGAAAGTTGTTCGTCGTTATTCGGGCACGGAAGCCTCAATCATCACAACCCGATACTCATCCACACATTCACAAGGTTGGATACTCAATGGACGAAACTGGAGCAGGACCTTCTTCGCAAGCAAAATCTCTGAAGCCATGAATTGACATTATAATGTGCATACACGCCTTTTACGCTTTGTTCTTACCTTGTCCTACTTTGCATTTATGATGTACCACCTCGTGATTCTTACGGTACGCATCATCTTGCATATGTAATATTTACTGCACTCGTGCATCTGAACCACACTCTGGAACGAGCAGGCCGGAATCAGGAGTCGGGGACTGGTGCGCAAGCACCGTTACGATCTGCTACTGCTACTTGCTAATGTGTCTCGCAGAACCATCGTGAATGTCACCCACACGCGCATCGCGAGGGCACTCCGCAGGAATGTTGCATCGTCAAAATCAAACACTCCGGAGCAAGATGCTTACATGGAGGAGCAGCGTATGACATACAAGTGTGAAGGCAAGAAGGAGCCGGGGCCCGCTAGCGTGAGTGCTCTGGTGTTTGCTTCAAGGAATCCACAGACTGATGACGAACCATCCCATCACATAGGCAACGAGTACCCTAACAGACGGTGTACAAAGACGGACCATATCACAAGGGAGGTTTGGCGGATGCCCCTAGACAAGAACCCTTGTAGCTGAAAAATTGTGAATGGGATGGCTACGTGGATTCGCCGGGGATAGCCTGGCATATTCAATTATGATCATTGCCGCTACGCATAGTCAAAACGTGCCTTACCGTGACCGTGACTATCATAGGTCTCTGGAGTTCAGACTCAGACTCGGAGTGAGTTGCTGTTTTGCACCGAAGGAAAACTTTACTGATCAAACGGTCACGAGATCAAAGGCAGATTTTATGCTGGTGACAAGGGTCTTTCATCTTAGCACTTTACTCTCAGGCTATGATGGTGCACGTACTACGACTTCTTCAAGTTACCCGCTGCACGTGCAATTCGATTCCAGCTGCTTCTAGTAGATTCGAACCTCGCGGCCGCAATATGGAAAAGTCAATGCTTCAACCTAATCCGTACGATGTTACCAAGTGGGGCTCCTCTCTTTCAATTGTGCCGATACTAAAAGCCAAATTAGGAATGTCTGATTTGACGCCCATGCCTCGTTGTCGGCAATGAAGTCAAAAATCAGCAGACGCATTTACATCAGAAGGGCCGCTTCCTATCACAGACTCATCTGAACTTTTAGTCGAGATGACCACAATAAAAGTTCGCAGTAGTCAGACTCCGCTACCTCAGCGTCTGCTGTCAGCTGGCCGCCACGATGTACTCTGGTGCTGGCAATCCGCATTTCAACTTTACTGATCATAATGCTAGCTTTAGTAGTGATCAGCAGCGTGACTCGGAGCAGGAGCTACTAGAGTCCTTCTCTATTCAAACTCCTGATCTGTTCTCAGAATCTGACTTCTCGAACTTGTTTGATACACAGGTTGGCAATCATCATGACCCTTACACCACGAGCCCCAGAAACTCATACCCCAATCTCGATGCGCACACAAGCCATCCTGATTACCGTAATGCTACCAGTGTGACTGGTTTTGGGGAAGACTCGCTTGCCAATAGCTCGTCTACTCAGTTCACCTCCTTCGACCTGAACGCGGGCAATATTCCAGTCGAGCCGGGTCCCACTATGACGCCTCACATGGCCTCTATGCCATCACACTATTATGCATCAATTGCTTCGTACTTTCCCGAATTCTATGCTCCTATCCTATCTAATGATGGCATCTCTACGATGCCTGATCCAGAAGATCTGCTACCTTTGGACTTTGGCCAACCTTTACCTCTACCTATCAACGAGCCCTCGCACTCCAACGCACCATCACAATTGCGTCTAGAAGATCCGTTGCCTGCTCAACCTTCAAGAAAACGCCGTCAAGGTACCTTTATTCCCTTTGATCCGCGTCAAAAGCGGGTGAGGGGTTGGGCGGCTGCCGAGGTAGGCATTTCTTGTTATGAACAAACAACTAATGACTAACGGATCGACAGGATGTTGCGCCATCCACGGCACCCTTGCAGCCCATTGTTACTGCCAGTGATTCTGGGCAGTCTACATCCCAGAAGCCTGGTGTAGGGCCTGCGGAGTATGACGAGAACCATACGATCCACAAGGAAATCGTTCGGATGGCGCTGGACACAATTATCAGATCCGTGCTTGCCGAAACCCCTTTCTTATTCGAGGACGAGCGAAAGCAACAAGTTCATTCAGCATTAGTCGAAGCAGCGTGTGCCTTCGCCGAAGAAGGTGGGGTTGTACCTTTTTTAAAATGATTGATAGTTCAATTTTACACCAACAGATTCTGCCAAACGTTGGACTTTGGATAACGAATCGAGGCTCTACAGAATTCTATCGGCGCCATCTGTGAACGTGATGTCCGTTGCTAAAAAGCATGCACACAATCTCGTTCCGCGCGGCTACGATCTACGTCTTCCCCTTTCTTCTGTCGAATCGGAACCCAAGCACCAGGTCAAAATGGTCAAAAATCTCATCAAGCAGCCACCGTTTCCCCCGAGATATGTTTTCAAGACCGATGGGGTGAATGTGTTTGAAAATGACGTGCTTCGGGACATTGTCCAGAACACTGTCGTAGAACTCGGCTACCTGCGATACATCACTCAACAGTCTCAACTCGACGGCTTGTATTGTACAGCCACCGTCGCTGTTCATTGCGTCCTGCTCGGGCTAAAGGGAGGAGGAAATGAAAATGTCGAGTTCTCAGTCAAAGTATTCAAACCCATGCACACCGAACTGATGAAATTCATCAAAGAGTATATCAACCCCCACAAACAACGATCGGACTGGTGGGAGAATCACAAGTTACTTACCCTTCGTAGATTAGCAGACATATGTGCATTCCAATCGCTCCGTGGCTGACCATACTACTTACATCTATCCTGTGACCATGATCGTCGATAACTTAGAGCGCTCTGTTTTGTATATACATTTGTAACTTGCGTAGTACTGAGTTGCGGCAGCGTGTCAACATCCTATGCTATCTAAATCGTAGCGGCGGCGAGTGAAAGTCGGACATAGCCATAAAACATCTGGTCTGGTGGTAGTTGGTTCGTGGTTGACGAGCCTGACTGGTTATTGCTATCGTGGGAAGAGATAATACCGGATATCGAGAAGCGGCGTGGAGAGGCGCCCCAGATGATCATTGGCAAAGGCCACAATTATCTACGAATCAGCACTTGTCAGTACATATATTGAATACTACTTTTTCCTTGATGTCTGGTCAGGAAGTACATCGGAGTCACATCACAATGAAGGGCACTTCTGAATTCGGTCCCTCGCAGGCTACTATGGTGCGATGTAACCACATTTTTCATGAATTCCATGGTGTTCTAGATCCGGTGACAATTTTCAAAGCTATCTTTCAAGGGAAAGCCTTGAATGACCTTATAACCAAAACATATATGGGGGACATTAAGAACACTCGACAAGATTGACATGATTCCCCTACTATAACTCACAGGCTGCGACGGTGCCATGTCGCAGCATTGTCACAAATTCCCATACTAATTTACATATGATATTCAGTGCTAATGCCACCTGCCAGGAAAAAGCCTTGAATAGTGATATAATTCAAAATATAAATATGGGGAAATGAGAACACTCAACAAGCGGAACTCAATTACACTACCATCCGTTGCGGGTCACAATGTAAGATAGTAACAACTTTGTTACGAACTCCTCATGGTAGTCTAAATTTACAAACATCCATGCCTATGTATTGACGACTCAAATATCTTGTAGTATAAATTGACATATTTAGTTGAAGCATAATTATATCCTTCTATAACTCACACGACTACAATATCAAGGACTCCTGAATTCACTGATGTATGTCTTTGGCGCCTGTTAATGTGAATCTATATATGACGTAGTATCTACTCAGAGTTGTACAATTATGTAAGAGCGATAATAAATTAGATCATGATACGATCGAAGGGCCTTCCGAGTTCAAATGTAACGAATGACATCGATGCATGATGCAAAGCTCTATACTCTGAATCTCAGGTATGCCATTAGAAGCGCAGAACAACCAGTCACTAAAAGCAAAACATCAGCATCCTAGCCTAAATCTAAGCATTTAAATCTGCACATACCGAATCCAACAAGATACTGCAGCGTCGTTGCCTAAACACCCAAGGGTTCAGTAGTCGCTTCGTCGAAAAGAATTAAGAAACATACCTTCGATTGCTGAATCGTCGTCCTCAAGTTCGCAATCTCCTGTTCGATTCTCGCATCCACCTCCTTGATCTTGAGCTCCTGCCCGCTGCTCTCATCCCGCATCCGTCCCTTCTCCAAATTAAGATCCAGTCGAACGCCAGCCTGCGTACGCGTGATCTCCTCACGCAGTCGCTGCTTCAGCTTCTCCATATCCGCAACCAAGCGGTCATTATCAGACTTCAAAGAAGCGAGGTCATTCTTCTCAATAAGCTGCAGCTCGGATTTCAGCTGTGCGAAATCGACTTGTTGGGTGTATTGATGCTGGAATGGAAATTGTATGATATGAAGAGTGAGAAATGGGCAGTTTATTTGTTGAGTCTCGCAGCACTGCGAAAGGCGGCAGGAGCGCTCACCTTCTCCTGTTGAGCTTTCGTGACCATGTTGCTTGTCATGTTCCGGATGCTCTCATCGATGACCTCTGCCATGGCACCCATTATGCCTTCTGCTTGCGCACGGTTGAGACCTTCGCGCTCGAGCCGCTGCACGAAGTGGTGGGTGTCGAAATGGAAGTCATGCACAGCGTGCGATGCATGGAAGGATCGGGCAAAGGCGGATGACTCGGCGCGAGAGAACCTGGACTTCGACGGACCAGATGCATTAATGCGAAAAAAGAGCGTAGAGTTGTATGATGGAGCCGAGCGATTAGCAGGTCTGAATGTTCCTGCACGAAGAGAGTGGGCGAAGCGGGTGGTGGTAGTGCTCATAGATATGTGGACCCGCGTGGGAAAACTAGCATTACAAGAGCCGAACCCGAACTTGTGCTCAAAATTCAAATTGTTTACCCTTGCTCTCCTGCTAGCATCCTAATTCGTGTTATAACTGTTGTTAAGAGAATTTGGAAAAGTGATCATGTCAACGAGCACAAGCCCCCATGCTCACCAACACCAGCATGCTCAAAGCACGAGTCATAATCCTTGGGGAAGCACAAGTGGCACAGGCCCCCTCGGTACGTCTCTTACTGACACCTTCGGGCAGTCCAGGACGCATTACCAGCCAGGCTACATGATGGTACGCTTGTCCTACCTCCTACCATCTTAAATTCTCAATATGATTCATGTAGTCCGTGGCGCAACATAATGTAGGTGGCCGTTCACAGTGTTCAGAAACAAGACTGACGCGTTAGGCGCATAGGTCATGTCCCCCAGCGCACAAAATGCAGACGAAATTCCCGTCGTGCAGACCAAGGCAAAAATAAACAAGGGTCTGTCCCGTGGAGCCTCGCATTTTGGTGCCGAGTCGATGTTTGAGAGTTCGAGCACGTACGTTTACGTTTTATTCTTATTCTATTATGTTAAAGTCGATTTGTCGCAAGGCAAAGGCAAGCGTTCACGGACATGGACGCGCCACCGACCAGTTCAGTCAATGATATATTCCGTGAGGGATCTTCTTTTGGCGAGTCCCAACGGGCAGTTCTTCCCCCTTCGCGCGTACGTCCCGTCCTTATTTATGATTCCCTTTAATTGATTGCTCTCGTATTCACAGCCCTTCTCCCTCTCAAACTCTTCCTCTACATTGAATATCTCCCAGTCTAAAACCCATACCCAATCAAGCACCCCAAACCAACCGACCTATATAATTGTTTTTGGCTATCCACCAGACAGATATTCCCTCACTGTAGAATATTTTCGCTCGCTTGGCGCAAGCACCGAACCAGAGCCTAATACGGAGATTGTGAACGCGTTCAGAATCGGATTTCGTGACCCTGGAGAAGCTATGCGTGCAGTCAGGAGAAATGGGGAGGTCTTGGGGGGAACTTGGATGGTGGGCGTTAAATGGGCTGTAAGATGTTTTTTTTCGATGTCGAACGGCGTGCTGACTCTTACGATGCATGAAGGACTCTACTCAGGACCCCCGCGGACCTGATTTCTCGGCGTCTACTTCTCCACCACGGGCGCAAATCCAGACTTCACAAGTACAAGCGCATACGGACGGAAATGCGATGGTGGTGGATAGCGCTGCTACTGTTGGGACGCCGATCAAGCTTGCGCCGTCTGTAGCTGCGTTCCGTAAAGCTCCTGCGCCGGCACCCCAGAAATCTGCGCACGCCATGCCTGTACCAATTGTTAATGCGCAACAGAGTCCTGCGAAAGGCGTGCTTGGGCAGGTTGGGGATCTATTATTTGGGTGGTAGTCATATTCGTACTCTGGTATGAGTGCGCTTTTGTTTTTGTGATGTCTGCAGATGCATATATATGGATGCGTCTTTGAATTTCGTGGATGTGTGATCAACTTGCGGGGTGTTTCACTGAGATAGACTAACATAGGTGCTACTACTACTAAGTACAACCGAAATGTGCTCCCCACTATGCATGACCAGCATGCAGAAGGTGCGATCGACATCAAGTTACATACACACTATTTACGATTAGCTTATTTGTATATAAAGCTGCAAGCCTGCTGAACCCATCGTCCGACTGTGGGAAGATATGAGCAAAGGTCCAACACGCATGCGGCAAATCCGCATATTCAGGAAGAGCGATGATGTTCACCTGGCCGCGTGAAATCACGTACGGAAACTCACGTCTGGGTTCTTGAGGCTGATTCAGAATGCCGACCTATCACTTATTGGGCCGCTATGCGGGGGGCTCTCCTGCCCCATGGGATGCGATGAGAGATGGGAAATCAATGAAAGGTCAAAGAGTGCATACATCATTCCACGGTCGGGAGTGTTGTGCAGTAGTGGCATGCTATTTGAGAACAATGTCCTGATGTTGATGAAGCCATAGAATCTCTTGTAGCTGTCGTGACTTTTCTCGACCGGAATGGGTTGGTGTCATCGTGTGTTCGGGCCAGTTCTGACAGGTACCTAACATTGTTGTAAGTGTAATATTGAAGGGAACGTCAAACGTAGTGTACAAGCCCATCTCTTATTGTAATTCACGGTAGAAGACGTCCGAAGGTGAGCGGACCGCTTGTACATTAGAATATAAAGTAATATACGACCATGTAAAAGGATGGCAATCAGCATAATCACCAGCAAGAACTCGCCGGTTCATTGATTTGAATGCATCTGACGCTGTGTAGTCAAGTGTGTAGCGTGAAGTCAGCATGACACCTCAAGGCCTCACACCCTATAGATGCAAAGACTCAGGGGCAAAAAACTCGTGCATTGTAAGAGACTGTTTACAAAGAAGTCCACTTTATGACAGCGAGGTATGTGTTGGAGGAATCCTGCGTACTATGTACTGAATGCGACGTGCCCAGTGGGCTAAGAAATCAAAAAGAGATCTCCCGCCATCAGGGGCCACCCGGGAACGTAATTTCCAGTTACTGAAGCCTTGGCGTATAACCTGAAATCGAGAAAAAACTTCGTCCATGTTCGGACGCTGTGCTGGATCCGAATCCATCATGTCCGATACTAGACCGCCCAGAAATTCTACGCCTGAGTAGTGCTGTTTTATACAAATCAGAGTATGAAAAATGAGAAGCCGCTGTTACACCTTACGTCGAGAAACGTTTCCTGGATGGCATGTCCAAGATACCAAACATCAGTTGGGAAAGGGTTTCGAGGTTTAAAATTGTCTTCCTTGAATTCAGGTACTTCCTTATCCCCACCGAATATGGGATCTTCCAATGGGTTGGTGTTGGATGCCTCATATTTGCGGGAGATACCAAAGTCTATGTAGTAGTATTTTGGTGGTGATTGCATGCGCGTGCGATACCTGGCTGGGCGTTTGAGGTCCTCTGACATATATTGTTCGCTTGGATGCCATGCATCTATGAACATGCAGCCGTCCATCAGCATGTTCAGTTGCATACAGTCACTACGTCCAGGTCGTGAGACAAGTCACTCAATCAACTGGGATACGCACCGGTGAGCGACATGATGCCTGTGCATAAAGCGCAGCCCCTTCGAACGTAAGAAAGAAGTCATTATGAATTGGTGCATGAAAAGCATACCTCAAACAGCTGGTGAACGCAATCAACAACTTCTCCAACCGTGTCAAAAGAGGGATTCATAATATCTCGAAGTAACGGCATGACAATTATCACAGTATGATTGTCGACGGGCACCTCCAAAACATCGTAAATTGGCACGCAATGGTTGGCTGGGTCAATGCTAAGAGGATGGGTAGAGAAATAGCGACCGATCTCTATCTCATAAGGGTGACGGGATATGTTTATGCGTTTCAGTGATACTCGAGCGCCGTCTTGAATACGCCGTGCATCTAGCACAAGATAGTGCTAAAGAACGCATGGTAATCGATAGACACCGCTATTATCAAAACACCTACTGGTGGCACAATCCCATCCTCACAGTTTATATCAACTTTGTTGGTGTTCGTCCAAGAGGGGACCCAATCTGGACTGTAGCGACTTCGTAGCTTGTAACCCTTTTCTTCGAGGAATTTGTAGTGGCCACTCCACCAAATCTCATATTCAGAAAGGTGGGAATGAGCAGCGGAGGTCGAGGCCATCCTCAAAAACACTGCCTGCGTTGTTGTGTGGACTAAAAGTAAAAGGTTGTCAAAGCAAACATGGACCCATAATTCGGACCCCGGCACTTCGCGGACTTCAGAACCAACTTACCGCTTAATTATATATGTAGGTCATTCGCCGTGACCCATGCCAAGTTACGTCTCAACAATTCATATACCCAGCTGAATATACGTATCTACAAAGCACCCTGATATATATATAGGGAACTTTTATCCGAATGACGAAAATGTTCTGCTGTATTGTTCTATTTCGAGGATTACACGATTTCTTATCGACTTCAGGCTCAAGCGCCAAGCATATAACTTACTATGGTATAGCAACAGCTAGTTGCTATATCTGCATAATTTTCCTGTGAAGGAAACAAGCTTGTTATCTTTGCCCTCTGGACTCATCATCATCAATCGCTTGCACAGGTCGTATATAACCAAGGAGATCAGCGCGACAGATTACGACAGCTTCCGTCGATTTTTAGTTACATACCATGCGTCCCCCAAAGGCCAGTACAACAATTCGAATATCCGCGAACTTTGGACCTGCGAGCCAATTCGCAAACTTGCCCGCGACCTTCATTCAGCTCAAGGGCCGGACAGATCTTGAAGAAGGCGACCTCTATCTACAATTATCGCTGGCAACCCTGCGAGAGCTGGCCGACTTGTTGGAACACGATCGTCTCTCAGAAACTGATAAATCCACCTACAGTCGAGCTTACACCGCTGGCAAACTTCAATATGACCAGTAGGCTTTTCCACCTAGCCAAAATGCCTTACTCACTCGCCTTCACAGGGCGGTAAAACTCAGAGACCAACTTCAGACGCAGAAAAAATCCTTTCGCAAGTTCATTGTAAACCTTTTCGTCCGCAAGTCGGATGCCGAGCGCTTTCTCAAGGTCACATATCGGGCTTATACGAGTATCAGAGTAAGTCAACTAGTCGCACAAGAGACATCTTTGAATTGCAGTTAAATGGGAATACTACAGAGGACTTCGGATGACCTGGCCAGACGGTTGCTACCAGAAAAAGATAACACCCTTGGTATGTCAGAACAACAGGGCGACTCAGTTCCTTACTAACTCCAATCTGTTGACTAGTATTTGGAACCCCCGAGAAGTCCGCACAAGACCAAGCCTCTGATTGTGAGGAGAGTCCGCGTGATGTGGTAGAAGGTATGTATGATCTCCACATTCCATAGCACAATACTGAGCACAAATCTTTTTTACAAAGACAGTCTTTCAGGTTGGTGTGATAGCTCTTTCTTTCTCTCCGTCCATATCTCACATGTAGTGGATTAGTCACCGATCTTCCTCCAAACAAAACCATCCGAGGCCTTAATGTAGATGTACATAATAAACAGGAAGAACATGAGCTCTTTGCGACGATTAGTCGAATAGTGAAAGCCAGGAATGCGGACGAATATGAACAGGCAGAAGAAGCAGAAGAAGAAGAAGATGATGATGGTAGTGCCACTGGTATGATTTCAAAATCATCACCCATGATATAACTCAACAGGATCTTTGATAACTCAGTCATACCCTTGAACTCGCAAAGTAGAGCGCCATCCCCTAGCTCCAGCTGCTCATTGATCAATATTTACATCAACCAAAGCGTGGTGTCTTTTGATTCAGAATCGACAGGACCAACATTGAATGTCGGGGCGAATGAAGGTTTGTCATGTTCGCTGCCGATGTCAACCCATGTGATGTTTAATGACGATGATAGGGGACCTGTCAGCGCTAGCCCTGGATATCAATAAGCCAACGTCTCAGTTGACTTGATTTGATGATTGTAACGCGTTCGATATTATACTATGTCTAGTCGACAGTGTATCAGTAATATATTATTGATTGGGCATTCGTGGGTCTCAAGTAGCTAAAAGCACCGCAATTACGTATGTACTTCCAACGTCAGTTCAAACTCCGGCAATGATGTATCACACAAGTTGTCACAATCCCAGTTTCTATTCCGCGAGGTTGGGAAACAGTTTCATGTGTTGGGGTTCTACGTACTCTTTGTCGATCGATCGGATTTGAAATGGCACATTGTCCTTGGCGATCCTCATGTAACAGGTGTCAGGTATTTGTATTTGGACTGGGTAGTACCGGTGTTGGAAAACAAAGCGTCACGGCATCACAATCTGTTCCTTGTTTTATGGTCACTTCCACTTCTGGGTATTATTGTTCTCCAATGGAGTTTGCGTTGGCCAGTTATTAATATCAATTAATGGTCGGGCCTCCAGCTGCCAGACTTATAAGTGTCTTTTGCGAGCAACAACTTGAATTCAATATTCCTGCACACACACGTGCCATATGTCAGACGCAGATGAATAGTGCTAGTGAACAGGTATTGGGCTTCCGATGCAGGGACAGGTGAATCACAAATTGACCTACGTATCCTATCGCTCGCTCAATAGGGCAGAGTATGATACTACTATAGCATCCACGTTCACATTTTCGTTCTAATCCTCTAATATTCAGCATTCCTTTCTCGCAGTCTTTCCAACTAAGACTGAGTTGTCTCTTCCTCGTTTCTAGTCTGAGCCTCTTCGTTCCTTAATTATGATCTTGTCGAATCCTGGGCAATGGACGGGTTCAATGAATATTCAGACCAAAATGTGGGGCAGTCTGTAACATTTGCAAAAGGACATGGGGAGTATGGAACACATGATGTAGCATTGGAGACAACACTTATACATCAGAGATAGGTCTCTGGCTCAAGGTTACCACGCGGAAGCACACGAGGAAGTATCCATAGAGTATACACGATATCTTGAAGATAACTCACATATGAATATGTTATAAGTGAGTCGAGAAATGCCGTTCAGGTTGGAAATCGAACCAGTGCGTTGGTCGACGGAAGGGGAGGGCCGAATGTTCGTGGATACATCGCAATTCTGGACATCCGAGTCAAAGGAGAAAAACGACAAGGACAAAATAAAATGGACTCTGGATAATTATGGGATCCCTTCGTTTGGGTATAGGAAAGCCTCGATAGAACTGCGGAAGATGCAGGATGCACTTGTTCGTCTAGCACCACCAGTGGCGATAGTACTTGGAGGACAAAAAGACAAGTAAAAACGAAATGGACGAATGAATGAAAGAGTCACGTATCCTCCGCCCATGCGCGCGCAGGCTTCAGCCTTGCGTTTCAATATTTGCTGTCATAATAATGGAGGCCCTCGGCCGGTAATTGACAAATTGGTCTCCCGTTTTGTTCATAACTGAGTCACCTTCATGACCCTTTTCGGCTGGTCACCTGACGTCATTGTCAGCATATTGCTAGACGACGTACGTCCATCATGATATGCGTAGTCTACTACGGTATCACAAGTCTATTGCGTCTTTCACCAGCATCAGAAAAGCCTCTCCTCTGACTTTCAAATCTCGTTTTCATCGATCCGCCTTCGTCATGGGAACTAACTCCAAGTCTGAAGATGAATGGCGTGCCATTTTGTCTCCACAGCAGGTGTGTTCTTCAATCTACACCTTGGACGTATGCTCACTCTTTGCGTCGGAGATAGTTTAGAATCCTCCGTCAGAAGGGAACAGAGGGACCCAACACAGGGGAATACAATCACCATGACACGTCAGGCGTGTACAGCTGTGCTGGCTGTGGCACACCACTATACAAGAGCAGCACGAAGTTTAACAGCAGCTGCGGATGGCCTGCTTTCTTTGATGGTAACTTATCATTTTCGGAAATCCAACTTCTCTCTCATGGTTCATCGTAGCGATCCCTGGTGCCGTTAGTAGGCACGAAGATCGGTCGATGTTTATGACGAGGACAGAGATTACCTGTACCGCATGCGGTGGTCACCTCGGGCATGTGTTCAAAGGAGAAGGATACGATACGCCAAGTACGCTCCTTTCTATCTTGCATATTTTTGGTCTGGGTCTTACAACCTCTACAGCCGATGAACGACACTGCGTGAATTCGGTCTCGCTGAACTTTAAGGGGGAATAAAGTTTTGGTTGCGTGAACATCATTAGAACGCAGATACAACGTGTACCGTTAATGGCCGGTGATGCACTGTCGATTCCGAAATTGAGCTTATTCAGTATCTTACCTGAGGAGACAATAGTCGAATCTCCTCAAGGACGGCTTAATCTCGATAACATGGCTGAATAACGATCAGTTGGGTTATGACATACTTTGATAATAAGAATACATGGATAAGCACAGGAGCTGCACACCTCGATAAGAACGTCCACACGGTCCCAAATACAACCTGAAGATGATAGGCCAATCTCGGAGTACTGCTGCAAATGGACGAATGAGACCCTAGATGAAGACCTAAGTATAGAGTCAGCCACAGGAAACAGAAAGGGTATACGGGATCGAGCGGTGTATAAATGATGCGATTGAGAATCGAGAAACACAAGGAACGATAACTGGTAAGGCGAGTGATCAAGCTAGTACCGGCTTCATCTTGTCGATGAAATTCTGCGGGAAACGAGGGGAAAGGGTTTGTCATCAAAGGGAGTGACTTAGAATCAGTGGACACCGACTGCCTAGTATTGCTTCACGCGATTGTCACGCGGTTGATGAAAATAAGTAGCAAACAATACATCTGTTCCTGCATCGTGGTCCTGTTTGTCGAGCTAAAGAAAAACATGATGTCCATTTGTGAATGTCGACTGCATGAGCAGCCCCACACAGTAGTGTCAGCTGATGATGCCATTGACTCGGATGGATCAGTGCATGAGGCGTGTACTAGTCAGGTGCCAAACTTACAACTTATGTAATCATGATGACTACGAACCCCCTAACGCTTCAGCATGCAGGAACTTACGAAGAACAAAGAATGTCGGATCGCGAGATCAGCCAATGGATTTGGGACAAGAATTTATTCGGTTAAATAATCAGACAATATTCCTGGTAAGAGAATTATGAGAATGTCGTGTAGGAAGGTCGTGACCACGCAGTGCTGGCTGTGGTATGAGATAGTCAAGATCAAAGCTCTATATGGAGAGCGCACGAGACATGAAGAAACCAGATCACAGTGACTCCATGTTAGCAACCATGTTGTCCAGTTCTGCTTGCGACTGCTTGTACTTCTGTTGCATTTCCTGTGCAAAAGCGTCAGTTGGCATTTCAACAGCATAGAACAAATCGAGATACCTCGAACTTCTTCTCCCATTGATCACGCTCTTGCTCGATCCGTTGAACTTGACGTTCGAAGTGTTCTGCCTTGACGTCCACTTGTCGCAGCCTGAACAGGTAATCAGTCGTTGATAACAGAGAAAGATGGTAGCCACAACGTACTTCTCCATCGTTTCTTTCACGTTCTTCTCAGCGGCATCAAGTTCCTCCTCCAGCAGCGCAATCTTTCTCGTAAGGTTCTCGTTCGTGCTCTTCAGCGATTCTCCCTCTTCCTGTGAAGCCTTGGCTTCTGCAAGTTTCGCGTCTACCTTGTCAAGCTCCGCCTCAAGAACAGAGATCTTGTGAGACATCGAAGTAATCTCCTGGTCCTTTTCAAGGATCAGTTGATCATATTTCTTGTTCTTAGCTTCTGCATCTTCGGCGCGAGTAACCGCATTGTCTGCCTCAAACCGCAGCTGGTTCATTTTCTACAAGCGCATGTTCAGTGAGATCGTATATACGCAAACGATCGCTGCCAACCTCTTTAATCTTCTCCATTGTGTTTGATGGATGTGCCGATGGTATAGACGATGGTAGTGGTGAACGAAGAGGAAAACCGACTTGAACGGGCACTCTGCTGGGCACTGCCGATAGCCACAGAGTCAGCTTAAATGGGATGATACCGTGGGAAACATGAATTCGACCATAAGCACTTGCCTTTTCCAATCATGATAGGACAATTCTTGGCAATTGGAAACCAAGCTGGTTTGCTGGCGTCTCTGTTCCTTGAAGAAATACAATCAGTATCTCACGTACTCCACGACGAGCAAGAACTGTGAATCTTACAGATGAGCGCACCGGTCGCGCAAGAGGGCAAGTGGCAGGTGCTACTTTTGATCCTGAGCTTCACTGATCTCTTATATCTCAGAACTGCCGATCCTCGAGGCCGTGATAAAGTGAGTCTAGTGCGCGCTCTTATTGCTACCCGTCCAACAAACCCTTGCCCACCGCAGCATACGGAACCGGCTTACTGCCCTGAAGAGGGACCGTGCCGAGTTTATCAAGCCGTCAGATGTGAATGCCCTTTACCAGGCCGTCGTTAAACAAGGTGGATATAATTCTTTCTTTCTTCCAAAGTATTGTTTATCTCATTTTGGACACTTATCTTCCATAGTCACAAAACTCAACGATGTCCGTGATGATAACACGACCTACAACAATCGAGTGGATACAACACTGGCCGATGTGTTCAGCCTCCTTTCCTTGTGTTATCTTACATTGGGGCGAACGAAGGAATGTCCCGCTGTATACTCACAGCTGGCCTCCATGAGGGTCAGTACTCCATCTCTCCATATCTCATTACGGGTGGTGTGCGCCCTGTGTTGTGGAGATCCAGCCGGCTATTGTCTACCGCATTCCATTCTGTCTCCATATCATCACACATGCATCTACTGTATGAAGATCCGTACTGATTGTTATTTGTCACGCACAGCAATTACTCAGTCATATGGAAGAATCAGGAGTCTACAATGAATCAGACCTGGCCCCTTTCCAGCGGAGACTAAGCGAGCTACGTCACATAGTACAACAAGATGCTGAGAGTAGTAAACACCCCGAAGCTATGATAAAGCTCCTGGAGCGCCAGTTTAATGAATGTGGTGCGCCTTCATTTCCGAATATCCTTTCTGAAGTCGCTTAATGAATGCTGCGGCTCTAAAGATGTTATCATGCGATCCCTCGAAAGTTCTCTGTCGGTGCTCTCAGTAGAACTGGTTCCCATTCATGAACGCCTCGTCACGATTCGGAGACAATTAGTTGCGCTGGCTGCCAAAGAGGGTTCACACAAAGCCGAAATAAAGTCCCTGGCTGAGGAACTGCGTAAGATCGATTCGTGAGTGCGCCATCAACTAGACTACATCTTTTGTCTTTATCACCTTCACAGAAAACGTGTCGACGGGAAATTCCTTGGCCCGGGAGGAATTATGCCAGCTTCTCAAGCACTTTGCACCTCCCTCATCGAGGAATGCTTCGACATCCTCCAGCAAATTAAAGCGCAGGACGAGTCGAAGAACGTAGCATCTTCTCTGAAGCCCATTCATGACCGCCTGAACCAGCTGCGTGCGGAACTGGAGAACCTTGTCCTCACGCACAGATGGAGTCTCCGTGAGACAGATCTTTATAATTATTCGATGAGCCTGCACGAGATCGACAAGATGCGTATCGATGGCAAGTTTGTCGATACAGAGGGTAATAGGCCACCAGGACAGTATGTGAGTGGTGTTTGTACCTGTTGACGTGCAACTATTCATACATGTGCAGGTCCTACTGTACTTGCTGAGACGGTGTTATGGTCTTATCTACCGTCTATTATCGTCGAGCGAGCCGGTATCGGAGGAACTCATCCCCATCGTGCGTCTTTCTTCCATCTGCCCTCGATTCTGATTCTCATACATTGCATGCAGGCCAATAAACTCTCCACAGTGAAGAAGTGTCTTAATGAAGTATACAAATTCGGTGGTCCGTTTACGCCCCGGGACCTCTACCCCGTGAGTTTCCGGTCCTTTGATTCTTTTGATGTCAGGGAGTTCATTTTTCATAGTATCAACTGGCACTGCACCAGATCGACTCCATGCGGAAAGACGGCAGATTCGTGGGCGTAGGTGGAAATATTCCCGAAGGACAGGGTATCGTCATGGCACACCTGAACGAGTGTCATGAACTACTAGAGATGGTGCGTCTTGGTCTTGTTGTACTTCCTAGAACAGTAATACTGACGAAGCACGTAATATAGCTCAAGGAGTCCATGGGGGAAAACGAGGATGATCAAGATTATGACGATGAAGATGAGACCGAGGCGCAAGTCGCAGAATGAGGTTAATTACATGTTGCGAACTCTGCCGAATTCGATGTACCCCACTTATAGGCCTTGTATCTCACCATGCTGCTGACTTATATACAATATTACAATCGCGCTGCGAAAATAATCATGGTATTCGCGATAGGACTTTAGTGCGTGTCCGTTACAACGGAAAAAACCGGGGTAGATACACAAGAATATCTAGTCTACGAGGAGGTAAACGACGAGACGTGGTCCTCAACGACCTTCTTAATTTTAGCCTCCATCTCGGGGGTAACATTGCCAGTCTCAATTTCTTCCAGAAGTGCACTCTGGGTAGCAGTCAGATGTGAACGGAATTCAGCTTCCCATGAAGTGATTTTGTCGACGGGGATGGAGTCAAGCTACATGATAGAGATTAGCGAGCGGCAGGTGAGGCTTGGAAGATAGGTTACGCACGAGACCGTTGACACCAGCATAGATGATGGGCACCTGGATCTCAGTAGGCAAGGGCTGGTATTGGCCTTGCTCTTTTAGAAAGCATTAGCTATATTTTTAGATCATTGAACGCAGTTGCTTACTAAGGAGCTCGGTCAAACGAGCACCACGGGAGAGGAGGAAACGTGTTGAAGCATCGAGATCTGAACCGAATTGGGCGAAGGCAGCGACTTCACGGTATTGAGCAAGGTACAACTTAAGAGAACCAGCGAACTTCTTCATGATCTTCCTATAGGCGGAGAGAATTGGGTTAAGGATGATATACGAAAACCGTAAAAGGTACGAACGTTTGGGCAGCAGAACCAACACGAGACACGGAGAGACCAACGTTAATGGCGGGACGGACACCACGGAAGAACAGCTCAGCCTCCAAGAAGATTTGGCCATCAGTGATCGAGATGACCTATATGCGAGATGGGGATCAATAAATGTGCAAGACTGGGCAATCACGCACGTTGGTAGGAATGTAAGCGGAGACATCACCACCTTGAGTCTCAATAATGGGGAGTGCAGTGAGGGATCCACCACCGAATTTGTCGCTCATCTTGGCAGCGCGCTCAAGGAGACGGGAGTGGAGGTAGAAGACATCACCAGGGTAAGCCTCACGACCGGGGGGACGACGGAGGAGGAGAGACATTTGACGGTAAGCAACGGCCTGCTTCGACAAGTCATCATAGATAATGAGGGCTAACATAACACTCAGTACCGAGTTCGCCCGAAGAAGCGAATAATAGCATACCGTGTTTGCCATTGTCACGGAACCACTCGCCCATTGCACAGCCAGAGAAGGGCGCAAGGTACTGCAGGGGAGCAGCCTCTGAGGCGGTAGCAGCAACAATAATAGTGTACTTCATTGCGTCGTTTTCCTCGAGGGTCTTGACTAGCTGGGCGACAGTGGAACGCTTCTGGCCGACAGCAACGTAAACACAGTAGAGCTTTTTGTCCTCATCCTTGCCATCATTCCATCGCTTCTGGTTGAGAATGGTGTCGATTGCTACGGCAGTCTTTCCGGTTTGACGGTCACCAATGATAAGCTCACGCTGACCACGACCAATGGGCACCATGGCGTCAATAGGCTTGAGACCGGTCATCATAGGCTGGTTGACCGAACGACGGGGCAAGATACCGGGGGCCTTAAGAGAGGCACGTCTCCGCTCGGCAGCCTCAATGGGACCCTTTCCGTCAATTGGGTTACCGAGAGCATCGACGACACGACCAAGAAGACCTGGGCCAACGGGAACATCGACAATCTGACCAGTACGCTTGACGGTGTCGCCCTCCTTGATGAGACGATCGTTACCGAAGATGGAGACACCGACGTTGTCAGCTTCCAAGTTGAGACACATGCCCCGGACACCGGACGAGAATTCCACCATCTCCTCGGCTGCGAACAAGGTTATTTGCACGGAATGAATGGTGGAGAATCACGGCTTACCCTGGACATTTTTAAGACCCCAGACACGTCCAATACCGTCACCGACGCCTGCGGATATTATGAGACCAACAGACTGGAAATGACCACCGCGACTACGCACTCAAGACACGGCCAGTCTCCTCAACGTTACCACTGATAGCAGTACCAGCAATACGGGACTCCAGTATTGAAGAAACCTCGGATGCGGCTGTTTAAGATACGCAATGTGACAACGAACCGGAAAGTTCCAATACACGTCAAACACAGTAGGATACGCCGCACAGGAGTACGCACCAGGCTTTGCGGTAGCATATGACCGAGAGGCAAGTGCAGCAACATTCTGAACATAAAAAAGTTGTATGAGCATGAAATTGAGTAGGAAAAAGCGGCAAAAGCAGGACCTTGGGGGCAGCAGCAAAGGCAGCTCTGCGCGCCGAGTTCTGGAGAGCGATTCTGTGCATTGTCGCGACAGGAATGAGTTGGATGGGAAGGAATGAGCAGAGTCGATGTTAAAGGAATTTCTCGGAACAGACTTAATTTAAATCTCCGACTAAACCGGCTCTCCGTGTCACGGTGTCACACGGTCACGTAGTCTTTACTTGAAGAGAACTGCTGGTTGCCTGCTGGTCTTCATTTCGCCATGGCGAGTTGGCAAATTCGCAGCTGGCTATCAAATAATCTAAGACGCGGTCAGTCATTTTTTTTACATATTGGTAGTGCTTTCTGATACGATTTCTAGTGGCGTCATGCTCAGTATCAACACAGGCAGCGCTCCCGAAAAATACTAGTGCCGCGTTTTCTCTTATCCGTTCCCAACCTTCGCAATACATTGTCGCATCTCTCGCAGGACGTAAATATCTCCTCGCACCCAAGGACTTACTCACAGTCCCACATCTGAAAGACGTACGCGTTGGCGACGTGTTGGCGTTGCAGGATATACATGAAGTTGGCTCACGGGATTACACCCTTCGCGGTGATCCTGTAATATCCTCAAGTCGCGTTAAGGTTGATGCTACCGTCGTCGAGCATACCAGGGGTAAAATGGAGGTGGTGTTCAAGAAGAAGCGTAGAAAAGGTTACCAGAAGACGATCAAGAACAAGCATCCATACACTCGTCTGCGCATAGGCTCTATTGAGTTCCCTGATCCTTCGAATCCATAGCATTGGTCCGAGCATTATAATATTTTTGTTTTCTAATCAGCCAAACCATCACGCACGAGAAAACTGAAGTTAGTCAATATTAAGACCAGTGGATAAGTATCATATCTCCCCTTCTTCAGGCGTTTCCGCCCTCCGGGATCGTTCTCCGCGCTCCTCTCTAAAATCTACATCAGGATCGTAGCGAGCACGCTTTTCAGCACGTTCACTATGTGCCCTATCAGAGCCCCGCTTCCGTTCTCTGCTCTGTTCCGGTTTTTCCCCTGCAACATCTTCCTCATCCCCGTATGGCGGCGCATCAGTCCGACTATAACCACGTTCCCTTGAACCTTTCCTACGCTTGCGCTCGTCCCTTCCGTCCCGCTCGTCTCGGGTATGCCGTTTGTGCTCGCGATCCCTGTCCCTGTCCCTGTCTCTTTCCCTGTCCTTCTCCCTATCACGTTCACGTTCACGGTCCTTTTCCCGCTCACGCTCGCCATGCCCATCCTTGTCACGGCCATGGTACCCATCGTGGTCTTCACGGTGGTGGTGTCTGGAGCTCCTGTCGCGCTCACGATCTCGCTCGCGGTCTCGTTCTCTGTCACGGTCATCGCGGCGGTCACGGTCACGATCCCGCTCACGTTCGCGCTCAGGCTCCTTACGACGTCTACTCGTCGTTGAAGCACCATCCTCCGACGGAGCCTCGCGTAGTCGTTCCTTCTGCCTCTTCACAAACTTGGCAAACGCTGAACGTCGACTCTCATCATCGTCTAGGGCCTTGTACTCTGGGAGGTTCTCAATGAAGGGGACAGCCTGCATAAGGATTAAATTGATATCTGATGTCAAGGGAGGGCCAAGAAAGACGCACAGCTTCATAGGACAATGTGATGTCAAGAGGCTCGGGAAGCTTCTTCATCGCGTAGCGAAGATCATCTTGCAGATGCCTCTGCCTTCTCTCTGTGCGGCGCTTCTCTTCATTCTGCTTCTTCACGACTTGATCGTGGATCTACCAGACTCATAAGCATTCTCGTCATTTACACACAGAAAAGTAACACACCGTGTCGTACACCTCGCGCAAATCATCCTCGCCGAGCTTGCCTACGCTGTCAGGGTCCCTCCTTACGCGAGCCTTGAACTCTTCGAATGTCGTCTGTACGGTCACCACGCTCACGGATTCTTTATCCTTATCGTTCTTCACTACGTCCATGACATTGGGGTCATCGCCACGCCTGGCACACTCCTCAGCAATAGCGATCTTAGCATCGAGCCTCTGGTCAAGTGCGTCGACAGCATCCCAGAAAAGTTCCAAGGGATTCGATCCAGGCTTGCCGAGCATATTGAGGTATCGCTGATCAGAAGCAAAAGTTGGGTAAACATGACGCCATTTGCTGCGCGCCTTGATTTTTCCAGTAGCCACAAGATCTTGCAGCAATCCCCTGAACGCCTCCCTGGCTTTGCGCTCCTCACGTGTCTTCTCAACTTGTGCGCGGCGCATGTGCTCCTCAAACTCACGTTCTTTGACACGCGAGTAATCTTCGAATGCAAGGAGGATGTCTAGCGTAGGAAGCTTGCGCAGCTCAGAATCAGCTTGCCAGTCGGGGGACTCTGTAACCATTTCGTGGGCCTTGCGCCAACGTGTGAGGACATTCACATCGAGTTCTTTGAAAAGAGACACGACTTTGGAGATTGCGCGCGTACGCGCAGCACGGGTTTCTTGCTGTGGATGTGAGTGTGAGTCAGGTTGTATTCATGATCAGGAGAATGAACAAGAACGCACCACTTCGCGCTGCTTGAGCTCTGCAACGTACTCCTCAAATATGAGCTTTCGCTCAGCCTCGATACGAGCTAGTTGCCAGATGGGATGCTGCGAGAACAATTTATCCGCAGTAGCGAATGTAGTGTAATGAAACACATTCGGATTGCCCTTGAGCATGTTACGTATAGCTGGGCGGAGCTTTGAAAGCCGTGCTTCACGCTCTTCTTCTTCCTTCTGACGCAAACCGTCTGTGTACTGGGCATGCCACAACAATTAAGTAATACAATATACCGTGAACGAAGGAAACGCACCTTCTGCCAAGTTGCTTTCTTCTCAGCTAAAGAGTTCAAAGCCTTGTACAATGGATCCGTGATGATGGTACGCATAGTCTGGTCCCATGTCCAGTCCGCATCGACACCCGCCTTGCGCAAGAGATGCATAAAAGCTTTCTCACCCTCCTCAAAGGTGGCGAAACCATTGTGAGGAATGGTAGGGTCATCCGGAAGGTTCGGCCTTGCGGGAAGAACGCCTGTGTTACTGAAGGGGAGCGAGGCAGAGCCTGCAGTGGCTACGGTGCCGTCAGGCTGCGCTGGGGCTGTCGCAGCATGAATCGAAGCAGACGCAGTGCTGTGATTAAATGGTCAGGAGAAAGGGTAGGGAAATAGGCTAGGGACATACGGAATGGAACCAGCGACGACAAGTTGGCTGTTTTGTTTCTCCTTCTCGACTTTTTCAAGGAGCAGAAGCAGCTCGTCTGGCATGTCCCATTTTGATTCTTTGGATTCGGTCTGTTCAAGTAGATTAAACACTGATGAGAAAGATCTTTATCGTTGGACGTACATTGTAGTAATACTTTCTGCCTCCGGAGAAGTATTCTTTCCATTTTGTCTCCCCGAGAGCTTTCTGGAGGAGACAGGTTAGGATGAGTACACAGCTAGAGGGGGGGAAATGTTAAATCACCTCAAATGGAGTCTTCAAATCTAAACAATTCACAATTAGCGCAGGACAGGACAGACAAAACTTCGATGCGCACCGTCTGGCTTCTCCCAGACACTTTCACGAGTGCCAGTATTGAACCAGTATGTCCTTCCTTCTGGATTTCGATGTTCAGTCTATCCCACCTAGTCAGTATCCTTTCTGTGAGAAGCGATGGCGACGAAACTTACCCACATACTTTGCAAAATGGCAAGCTATCGACCAAAGTAATATTTGATCTCATACCAAGTTCTTCAAAGTCCGACTCGCGTGATTAGTCATCACCCAGGCGCTTTGGCTATTCGGCCACCTGGACCACACGTATTACCTAAGTGACCAACCATGGTGCGCCCATTCACTCAATCCCAATATAGCCCTCCCACCCATTCACATCCAGTCATCCCGTATCGAACTACTTAATGCTGGTCTTCTTCGCAGCGACGGTCGCAGACCTTATGAACTACGAACACTAACCATCAACTTCGCACCGCAAGGAACAGCAGATGGCAGCGTCACCTACTCACACGGCCTCACTCAAGTACGCGTCTCAGTCCTCGGTCCACACGAACCAAAATCAGGAACAAGACGCGAAACATTCCACGATCGTGCAACACTAAACGTCGAAGTCCAACTCGCTTCTTTTGGCGTCGGTGAACGAAGAAAAAGAGGCAGAGGCGACAAGTAAATATCATCTACACCAACTTTATTACATCGCTAATACCACTCAGGCGTCTCCTCGAACTCGCAGCATCAATCAAAAGCACATTTGAACCAGTCGTCCAAACTCATCTCTATCCACGCAGCACAATCGATATCTTTGTACACGTCCTCCAGCTCGATGGTGGCCTCCTCCCCGCTTGCATAAATGCCTCCACCCTCGCTCTAGCAGCCGCAGGCATCCCCCTCTTTGACTTTGTCTGCGCCATCGGCGGCGGCGTGCATGGCACCCAACCCTTACTTGATCTAACTACAGTCGAAGAAAATGATGTTCCGAGCGTCGTGGTAGGGGTGATGCCTCGTACAGGACGGGTGACGCTCGTCCAGATGGAGACCAGGTTGCATATGGATCGCTTTGAGGAGGTGTTTAAAGTTGCGTGTGATGCAGGTAAGGTATTATGGAGTGAGATGAGGGATGCTCTCAGGGAACGGACGGGTGATTTGGTGGATAAACTCGGGGCTGGACCCGGAATGGTTGTGGCGAAGGAGACTGAAGGGGCGTAGGATTGATGCTAACTGTAGCTAGCGGCTTCGGTTATGTACGAAGGCTCCTGATAGGTACCGGTGATTTGCAGCAACACCACTCTCTCTAATACCATCGATCATCATCATGACCAACACTAACGTTCAGTCTGAATTCAAGGTCGTGTGGATCCTCGACACCGACTTGTACAAGGCCTGTATCATAGTAGCCTGTTTTTGACAGCTCAAGTTCACGCGCGATCCTCGTCCGTGAATTACAGCTAACCGCAAAGAATGCCAACGTTACAAATAACTATACGACGACTATCTGTAAGTAGGATCCGGAGCTTGTGATTAGAGATACTTGATTTCAGATAAGTAGGCCCACTAGTCCTGACACGGACGTTCACAGCACGGAGCATGGAACCAATTCGCGTCCACCCCACGTGCGTGCCACCTGCACGCAGATTCATGTCGCACGCTAGCCTGTAAAGTACCACTATGGATTCAATATCATATAATATCAGATGTGCATCAATGGAAGCCCACAATCCCCTAGAATTGTACTATCAGATCAAACGCGGATACTTCAATTCTTTATCTGCTGTAGGAAGACCACTTCGTTCCGCAAATTAATACCTCATGCTCATGTGGTCACGAATTCGAAGTAAGTACCAATTTCATTATTCATACGCCGCTTGATTATGGTCAGGCGAGCTCACAGAAGGCGGCCAGGCCTTATTGGGTGTGCAGTATAAAGACCCTTCATACAGCTTCATGCGTGATCATTTTCCCTAACGTTGAACCTGTCGCGATCATATATCATGTCCAGGTAAGATTATCTAGAAATGTTGCATGAAACGGAAGCTGAAATTTCCCATAGTTCCCAATAGCTCAATCTGCGTCTCCTCTCGGTAAACTCGGTGTCGAGGCTGCCCTCGAGGCTGCTGCAGACCCATCCATCACACCAAAGCCCAAGATCTTCGATGAGTTCGCGCTAACCGACCGCGTTGGGCTTGTCTCCGGCGGAAATAGGGGCCTTGGCTTGGAGATGGCTCTTGCATGTTGCGAGGCTGGTGCACGTGTCGTATACTGCTTCGATCTTCCAGAAAAGCCATCAGATGAATGGATCGCAAGCAGAGATTATGTCGCGAAGCTAGGGAATAACTCGCGGCTGGAGTATTTCAGCGAGACCGTCACTGATCAGCAGGCTCTTTGGAAAAAGACAGAGGAGATTGGTGATAAAGAGGGAAGAATGGACTTTTGCATCGCTGCGGCTGGTATTCTCAGGTCACCCATAGACTGTCTGGAATACCCCGCAGAGGAGTACAGAGAGGTGGGTGATTATTGACTAGTTGCTTTCCACCGACAGTTTTTGAAATCAACCCCGATGTGAAGGTCCTGGATGTCAACGCCAGTGGTGTCCTCTTCACTGCGCAGGCTGCTGGCAGACAGATGTCGCGATTCGGACGCGGTGGCAGTATTATTCTTATCGCATCAATGTCGGGCAGTGTCACTAACAGGGTGCGCATCTCCCAAAAACTGTTATGGCCATGTTTGCATGCTGACCCTGTATAGGGCCACGCCTGGATATCGTACAACACCTCCAAATCAGCTGTCCTGCAGATGGCTCGTAGCATGGCTTGCGAGCTTGGCGAAAAAAAGATTCGCGTCAACTCGTTGTCTCCAGGATATATGTACACCAGGTTTGTCTCGCGATTAATTGCATTGCAATGCTAAATCATGATGGCTGTGATAGTATGACTAAAGCATATCTGGACAAACAACCGCACCTTCTCGATGTGTGGTCTAATATGAACCCTATGGGTCGACTCGGACGCCCTAACGAGGTGCGCGGTGTAGTGACGTGGTTGGCATCTGATGCATCGACATTCTGTACGGGTAGCGAGTGCGTCGACTTCCTTGTATTTCTTTGCTTAGCAGTGAAGCTAACTGTAAAATTCGCAGTATTGTCGTCAGCGGTGGTCTTCACTCCTGGTAATGGAGCACTCGAGGAGGAAGGGCGAGTCCGTCCAATTATGAGGTCCATCACGACCCGCCTCGCATGTGGCCCATAAAAGCCCGTGGCTATTACATAAGGCAAGAGCGGGATTAACAGTGCTTTGAATGTTGTACAAGATGCGAAGATGCATATACTTCAAAACTTAGCTTGAGAAATTGTATACATCCGCAGGGATTTTCATGCAAGTCTAGGACAACGTTCTAAATCAAGTGAAGTACATCGGCCGAGACAATGGTATCAGATTTATTTTTTGACTTGCCTTGAAACACTTATTACTAAGGAGCGATACTTGTGGGATAGTTCGGCGACACACATGCACACTCATGCTAGTAGTATCCATTTAGGTTTCACATCGCATGCAACATAATTCATAACCAGTTCGGCTGCCTCAAGGTGGTAACCTCGCTCTAATTGAGGAGTATTTAGACGACCACATGATGTGCCCATGCAAGGCATTATCATCCCTACCCACTGTATTTGTACCTGACAAAAAAAAATAAGTTCTGCCGTGTGATGAACTAACTTGCATAGAAACTGACCAGTTCGTTCTGTTTGATTCATGATGAGTAGGTGAATGACCGAAAATATTATTATGCCATACCTTGCAACAACTGCCTCTTTCCTCACCGCACGCTTAGGGTCATCCAAAACCTTTGCTAATTCCTTCAATACACGCGTCTTGTAAGGGTGCAGTAAATCATATCGCACAGTGCCTGGCAGCAATGCCAGGTATTTGAGCGCCGCTACGCGTACTCCCTTTGGCCATTCAGTATTCCGAGCAAAATCAATGGACACGTGAACGACGCACAGGATCAGGCATTTCCGAATACATGCAATTTTTAAGCATGGCAAGCACGAGAGTCGACGCATACATCGAGACAGCGTCCTTATCAGCGGATGTAACATCGATATTGTTAGACAACGTGTTAATAATGTGTGAACGAATGGATGGGTCAACAAGGTCGAGTCCGCGTAGTAGAATAGGCATCAGCTAGGGGAACACCATCAGCAAACCAACCATTATGCTCTAGTCAAATAAAATGATGACTAACTGAGGGCATCTGACTAGCGTAGATTGCCTTCGGTACAGCATTGATTAGGTACGCCAAAGCAACCAAATATGCTGTCTCTCTTCGCGATCCTTGCGAATAGGAAGTGTGTTAGATTATATGGAGTATGAACACCTTACACACCCTTGGCTCCTTCTAACAACCGCGGCATCACTACATTGAAATACTTCTGCACGTGTAGAATCTAAAAATACGCAGTTTTTTAGGGGGATTCTGCGAGGTTTCCTTTGCATACCTTGAGAACGGCATCATTGCGTTTCGTCAATACGACATCCTCGCTTGCAAGCAAACCGATCGCTCGCGCTGCATCCCAGTCGACTGTGTTGTCATCCAAAAGCTCGAACAAGTGATTAATGAATGCGTTTGCAGAGGGGTGAGAGCGAACAAGAAGCGCCCTTGTAATCTGGAGAGAAAAATCAGCGCAAATAAGGTGCGAGCTAGAAGGCGAGTACAGATATCCAGGTACTGATCGCGTTCTTGCGTGCTTCTGCCGGGATGCTTGTGTTTTTGAGGGCTGATGACGAGTAACCCTCCAGCTGGGATGTGAGAAAGTCAGATACATCTGAAGAGAAGTGATCAGTCCGATTACAATAAAAATATGTGATGAATCACCATCAACATGCTTATTAACATTGGATGCAAGAACGTGGGATGCAGCTTCTCGTTGTATTATTGTACTAGATGGGCTATCACTCCACGCGACCAGTTCGGAGAGGAAAGTGGATAGATTGTCGACAGGCATCCGAACCTTGAAGCGGCATTAACAAAAGCACCGAAATTCAGGTTGAAAAGCGGCATACCTCCTTGCGTAATGAGACAATGGTAGAAGAGAAAAGAGTGAAACTGTTCCGTTGTCGGGGACTGGCATTGAGCTAGGATCGGAGTCAATGTGACGTATATAAGGGGAATGTGAGTGTTGCACTCACATGGAGAGGTGCGAATGGTGTGGCTGAGTTTAAGAGACCACCAGTAATCAGCTTCACGTCACCTTGCGTGTAGGCGGCAAACACAGCGGCAACAAGCTTTTCTTGCCCCCTGCCACCTTTATCAATGGTGTGCACTCAGAGATAAGACAAAGACTCACGCAACATTCAAGGTCTGACTCACGAGCCTGATAATCCTTGCCCCAACTTGCAGCAGCCTTGGATCTGCAGCGATAGCCACCACCTCCGAGCTCGCTAGCGCAGCATCCAAGTACAATCTGAACAAGTGCGGCAGTAGCTGCTCAGCGTACTTGGGGACATCTACGTCTTTCGAAGAGACTTTGACGTCGAGTGTATTTGCGAGTGCCGTGAGGATAGCATGGGCATATGCAGCTGTACCTTCCTGGTCAATTGTCCTAGATGGCAAGATTGCACAAAGGAGATCAAGTTTGGCGATGAGCCTGACAACTAATATCTCAAAGAGTTGTGGTTGTACACAAAGGGCACTGAGGGACGAAAGGGCGCGCCAGTAAGATGCGCGCTGCGTGATGGCATCCCTTGATGGAGCAACATCTGGGAGGAAGGAAAAAAGGATTGGGAGCGTCTGCGATGACAGATGGTGCGGCGCAATACCAGCGATGGTAGAGAGAAGTGCGAGGGTGTCCATACTGAAACCACGAACCTCAGTAACTCATCGTAGATGGAGAGAAAAACGTTCATACGTCACGTCTTCTACTTCATCAGGCTCCTTGCGTAGTAGTTCGCTGACCTCAAGCACTATGTACCCAAGCTCATCATCAGCTACTAATTTAGGAGTGCGCACAAGTGCGTTTAGACCATGCAGTGCTGGCAGGCATGTCGCAGGTCCTTTCAAGCTGACAATGAGGAGCCCAAGGAGGGCATCCTTCGAGGCAGCGAGAGGGGATAATGTTGACTGAGAGGACTGAGAAACAGAGGCATGCGTAACATCACCCCGGCAGGCGTCAATCAACTCTGTGAGTAATATAACCACTGGCGCCCGGTTTGATACCTCATCTGGGTCATGGAAATTTCTGATGAGAAGCTCAGCAGCTTGCAAGACTGCAAAACTGGAAAGTGGTCCTGGTGAATGAAGACTGTTGAGATCCAGCTTGTACCATTGTACAACGCTTACCATTAGCTCGGGCAAAGGCACAAATGACCTTCATTGCAGCTCTTGCTTGGGATTTCTCAGGCTCCTTCAACGTTTGCATGCACTCGCTACACATGTCTTGTGCGAGGCCCGTGATGGAGTCCTCGCCTACTGCGTCTTGGGATTTATCAGCATGCATGGTTCTAAGAAGGACCTGCAGTGTATTGAGGGCTGAATGTTCGGTATCTGGATCAGTTGGTTGAAAAATCTGATTCCACGTAATGTTATACTCAAGATTTCAGGGAACAAAATCTTACTTCGATTTTCAGAGAGCTCCAAATTTTCTTCCCCAACTCGCGCGTCACAGCAGGTCCGTAGACCGGAAGACAGGTATCCATTGCATGTAGAGTATCTCGCTGCCGATGGGTTATTAGATTGACATTTAAATATCACAAGTGCAGCAGTGACCTTGGTTGAGGGTGATCCAGCAGTAAGCTTTTCCAGAAAGACTGGAATCCCAAGGAGCCCGAAGGCTGGAGTTGCGCACAGACAGAGTCTGCAGTAACATTAGCGAATGGAAGACACGGTGTGTAAGACCTTATTGCACCGAAGAGACTGCTTCAGATCATCTGCACTGATGCCATAAGGATCATCGGGTGGTGGTCGGAATGTGATGGGAAAGTAGCAGAATGTTATGTCAAAGAAATCCTATGTGCGAGAGTTGAACATGGAGCGGAAGGCATGAAAGCGAACCCTACCTCAGTATGAGCAAGAGTGTCGAATTCTACCAGTAAGACTCGAGCAATGGCAAATGCCAACATGAGATTTCGAGGGTCCTTCTCTCCGACTGCAAGGTTCACATATGCCGCAAGGAAAGCACTTCCCATCTCCTTGAGGGTGTCTCGATGGCTAGCGATCAGAGAATTGACGATTGAAAAGACGAAGAAGCGAGTGGACTGCACAAGGGCTCTCATTTTGACATTGGCGAATATACTAGGCGATATTAAAAGTAATGGAAATGCACGACAATTCAAGTACGTACGCGTTGAGAATATCCTTCACCTCGGCCGACTGTATGTTAGGAAACTTGACAAGGTAAGAGAGACCGTTGAGTGCAGGGATGATGGTCTCAAGATCTTCAAGCTTGCTGCAATAAAACGTGGTGAGCACACGAACTAGTACAGGCGGTGAGTAGAATTAATTCATCCTTGAGGTGACTTGTACTTACTAGCCTGGCGATTGAGCTTTTCGTGTGGACATCGTCCAAGAACAGATGAGAGAAACTCGACACCTGCAATGACTGAGAACAAGAACACCGACAAGTGAGCGATATGTTCACCTTTCGTCCGCAAGCGGTCCTCCTCAGATGTTAAGAATTCACCAAGAGCCTTTATAATATCCAACAAAGTTAATTGACCACTTGATATTCCTGAAGAATTCATTTCAATTTTGATATCGCCTTGCAACGAAATGTGTACCAGCAACGCTCTCATCGACCTCGGAGTCCTTCTCTGATGCCATCCAGGAGCGAACCAAACGCTCCGCTGTAGTCATTTCGCCGAACTGTGGTACCAGCCGATACCGGAAGGCAGTGGCAGTTGAAGGAGATTAGAATCATTACTAGATTCGAAAAGGAAAGTGGAAGCTCAACAAATCAACATCAGCGCATATTGTCACACGGAAATTCTGTCTGATCGTGTTTCGGTTGAAGCTTGAAGGTGACTGTATGCATATAGCGCCAGCTGTACTTTCACCAAGTTTAACTAGCAAATGCTTCGCAGCATACTTTCATGTAATCATCGATGCTGTCCACGACAAACTCACCTCAAGGCCTACTTCTCTTCGACGGTGCTGACAGCGAACGATAAGCCGCCTTCGAAACATAATGACAAAATTAACTATAACCCGGATATCTCTTTCTCTACCACTGTCGACCCGAAACATCTCAAGTACCCAATGCTTTCGTCGCATGACCTCGAGTCTCATCGTAAACCACCAACCAGAGTACGGATGCTAGTCCGAGATTTCATAGAGGATTCATTGTACAATCCGCACTACGGCTATTTCAGCAAGCGCGCCACGATTTTCACTGCACCTCCGCATTGCGGTGGCGTTGAGGGAGGCTTTGATTTTAATAAGTATAGAGACAGTGCCGAGTTTGAAGTCGACGTTGCAAAGAGGTACGGGGAATTTGGCAACGGAGAAGAGGACGGTCCTGGGAGGCAACTCTGGCACACTCCGACAGAATTGTTCAAGGTGGGCAACTCTGTTTTTCCTGTTATTGGCACAGACAGCTAAAATGACGTACAGCCATGGTATGGGCAGGCGATAGCTCAGTGCCTAGTGTCCGAGTACTTGCTCAAATACTTCCCTTACGAAGACTTCAAGGTCTACGAGCTGGGAGCCGGAAATGGCACGCTGGCGCTGAATATCTTGGATTTTCTAAAGACGCACTACCCAGAAGTTTATGACCGCACACAGTATACGATCATTGAGATTAGCGAGAAGTTAGCACGGGCACAACGGCACCGTCTACATCAACAGGGCCATAGCCAGGTCGTGGACGTGGTGAACCAGAGCGTTTTCCAGTGGCAACGCAAGGAACACGCTCCATGTTATGTGGTAGCAGCAGAGGTGGTCGACAATTTTGCACACGATGTGGTGCGGTATGATCTAAAGACCCTGGAGGCATATCAGGGAGTCGTAGCTGTGGACGAAGTGGGCGATTTCGTACCGTTTTACACGAAGATCAGTGATCCGCTCATCGCTTCTTATCTCGCGCTGCGTCGGCGGCTATCACTTCCAGTCCCGCTACCCCGATTCCTCCGTTCGCCAACTTTACGGAAATTGTACGCATCTTTGCCATTCGCACCAAACCTTTCACCCCCAGATTACATCCCGACGAGACTGTTGAGCCTACTGAAGATACTACGTACGCACTTTCCTCGCCACCGGCTTTTATTGTCAGACTTTTCCTCGCTACCGGATGCGGTGCCAGGCCTAAACGCCCCTGTAGTACAAACGCGCGTTGGCACGACCATGATTCCTTGTGGGACTATCTTTGTGCAGCAAGGCTGGTTCGACATTATGTTCCCGACGGACTTTACTGCTCTTCGCGAGATGTACGAGTTCTTGTTATCACAGGCGGGGCCCGACGCGGATGAACAGGACGAACTCTCGTATGCAAGAGTGTCGCCGTTGGCATCGAGCACATCTCCCCTTTCGCTTGGAGCCGATTTCTTTTCATCCCGTGCTCGCCGCTCACCTCTGGATGGCGTGACGTCTGCGAGTGGGCTTCCCGTTGGTGAGCGGAAGAGCAGTGTGTTCAGTCATGCAGAATATCTGGAGACATATGCAGACCTTGAGAAGACGAGGCTGGTGAATGGGGAGAATCCAATGATTGGGTTTTATGAAAATGTAAAGGTGTTATTTTGATGGCGTTGTTAATGAATTTTGCATCAATGTGTACATGATTCAGAAGATTATCCAATCGGGTAATTTCGTTAACTGGGCCACGGCCAATATGCACTAGGCTATCTGATAGGATCCGGGTCTGTGCAACTTGAATATCATCAACCACCATCTATCACCGATCACCCCCTTCATGGAACCCACACTGGTTTGACAGTGTTTCTAGTGCACGGCAAGCACTTTGCTACCACGAACAGACCAGAAATGATGCTAGTGCAAGAGCAATCCAGTTTGCGATGGCGAGCTTTTACATCCGTATCGCGTGGTCACGAGTCTACAAATTTGTTACCACATGAGACAAGTCAAACGTTGCCGATCTGTTACTGAAGGACCTGATACATAACGCATCTCCCCGTCCCTGATGGTATTGTACAGGGGCTTATCGTAAGGCAAATGCAATTAAATTATACAGAAGTGGAAACAGTAGCATCGCGACTTGTAGTCCAAAGTATGATATAAAATTTGGAGTTTGTAATCACTCCTGCAAATTAAATACTTGACGAATTCGATTGGTAAAATCGCATGAAGTAGATCCTCGAGGACCAATCGCAGTGATAACATTTGAACGGTCCCCTGTCATGTGGTGCATGTAATAAACCAAAGGCATGGTAGACTGTGAACTCTCCCGAATTTCGGCAAGCTTTAACGCCGTATCCAGTCCAAGTTTCCGTACATCTTCGAGTCCAACGGGCTCTTCTCTCCTTGCCAGTTGCAGCAGACCAGAGACCAGCCATTCTGTGATCCCATAATCTTGAGCAAGAGCAACTTTGTCTAGAGGTCTCATAGCGAGCATAGGCTCCATCTGTTGAATGGCGAATTCATGAACGCGGGTGAAGCTCCACATTTTGGATAGCTTCAATATGCCTATCCACTCCTCGAGAGTAGCATCCGGGGAAGGTGATAGACGGGTAAATGGCCTTACAAAGGAAAAACGCCATCAGGATCCAAGTCACAAATTCGTGAAGCGATTCTCATTAATACTCACATGGGATATAAAACCTTCATGAGGGACTGGAACTCTTTCCTCTGAATGCCCTCGAGAACGATAGGATTTGTGTCTGAGCAACCCTCAGCTCCGTCGGCTTGAACAGGTAGTAGAAACAAATCGCGAAAGACGTCTGACTGCGACTCTAGGGTGTCGCGAGGCACTCTGAATAAGTGGTCCTCGACCTGGCGCAGACAGAGTGAGCACTGAGCTGCTGCATGGCCGCTGCCCAATAACAACTCACCAGAAATGTGACGAAAGTGAAGTAAAATTGTTCATGGTGTTTGGTAGTAGGCATTAATTTCAAATTGATATCAGCCTGGTGGATCGTGATGATAAGAGTGAACGTTGGCGTTTTGAGCGAGGTACACCTTCTTAAAGTATTATCGGCGCTAGGGGTTTATATCTTACATAATTCAAGACAACTCTAATCTATTGTTGGCACTTGTTGACACGGTAGCGGGTGGGTGCAGGTGGGTGCTCAGCGCTCAGTACAGTACATATAAGCACATCTCCCGTATCTAGGCGTGATGATATGGGAAATATAATCAAGCAGATAGATTTGTAATCCTTCAATCAGGAAACATCATAGCATCCGCAGGGTATACATGTAATAATGGAAAGATTCTCCCAGTTGGTTGATCTCAAGTGAAGTATTTCGTGTTATATGAGGACCAGTGAGATATCGTCTTCGGAAGTGAGGTTGTCCGAAGGTAATGTAGATGAAGATGCCATTGCGCTTAAGTACACTGCCAGTCCCTGTGAGACCAGAAGGTACGAAGATTCGAAGGAACTAACCGTATGACTTGAGATACTTCTGCTGTGCAGTCTTTGATTACTTGCTCTGGTGGATCCTGTGAAACAACGGATCTTCTCAGTACGTTGTATGTTGCTATGATGGTCGAACATACCCAGACGTCGGTTGAAGACGTCATCATTGCATCCATTGTTCCTGGGACCGGAAAGCGTGAGATTTCGAAAAACAGGAACTAAAATTTATTACGTACCTTTATCGATGGCGACATCAAAGGATGAGGCATCTAGACCGTCTAGAGTTCGGACGTCCTTCACTTCCCCTATAATCAAAGGATTAACGTGTGTTCAGTGGGTTCTGAGGAAATAACTACATGTCATCTCTGGGCGCGCATCTTTGTGCCGGTTGCGCATCTTCTCGATCACAACGGGCGAATACTTTGGGAGAAATATGAGGTGAATAAAGACCATTGCAGCGAGAAACATACATCAACGTTAACAATGTTTTTGTACCCGTCTTCCCACATCTGTTCGCACGACGGTGTTAGTCGCAAGACAACATATGCGAGAGGAAATATTTACATCCTCTGAAAACTTTGAATTTCCACAACCGAGCATTAGGATGCGTGCATCTCTACTGGGGATGAACTTGCGGATGTCATGCGCAACATCCGCGTAGGTCTTGAACCAGTCAAAAGAGGCATCCTCAGCTTCTCTAATCATCTACGGTATCTCATCACTCATCAAGGGAGCAGACGAAGACATACTGCTCGTATCTCTTGTCCCTTTAATGAGTTTTTTGGTAAATAAATAGTCCCTGAAACAGATACTACTCACCAGTACACTTCGGTACCATACTCTTCATTCTTGTGGGGAAGGGACATCCGACTGGTGAAGCTGAGGCCTGCGCTAGTCAAAAATCAATTGATGTTATTTCCAGCTCCGAATCCATCGATATCGAACTCGATACCAACGCCGCGGAGTTTTATGTCAGCCGAAAGGATGTCCCTTCCGGCACCCCACAGAAGTCGGCACTAGGTCACAAAAATCATATCTAGCTCCTTAAATTATATATCATCTCTCTGATATATACACTCATTATGAGGTTGCGATAATATCAGAGCAGAATTGAGTGAGATACTAAGTTGAAAGTGCCGCCGAGTCACAAATTCCACTTGCCGATATGTACCGTAATTATAACAAAGTTTTACATAATATATATTCAATTGCAAGTGCCAACTAGTGTCAGGTACAACGCTACTGAATGACGGTTCCAATATTGCATCATCATATGGACAATTCCAAGTCTCACACATCCCCTTCAATTTTACAACCTATATCGAGTAGTAAATGCTGTACTTGCTCGATTACTGACTGAACTTGCGCTCTTACTTGACTACAGAACTTAATCTGAAACCTATGACATACTGTGACTCACAGTGACAACTGCACCGGAAGGGATAGTATACTATGCAGTTCGAAACGTTATCGTAGCTTTAAAAGCCATTCATGAAACATGTTCACTTCAGTCTTATATGTATGAGAAGCAAAATCAAGATAGTAATGAATTATCTGTGTTGTGGACAGAAAACCCCGTAACTGTCTGCTACTAAAATTCAAGATTCGAGCTACAGTTTCATGTTCGATTATTTCCTGGTATGCTGAAGAGAAAATCAGGATACCAAGAAGGCATTACGTTCGTGTGATGTTGCATGTGCACCAAAACACAGGATAAAATGATCAGGATTCGTTCCATGACACAAAAAAGGCCGTCACGATGCGTCAGCAATGCTGGGCATCCTCTCAATCGCGGAATTACGGAATGAGGATTTGTCTTGCATAGAGTCTGTGGTTGCATGATTAAGATGAGCTATGAATGGGGATGGAGAGACCACACCGTTATTAGATTTATACTCCATGATGGTCGATGGAGGAAGGTTGAGCACAGCGCGCAAGGTGTCCCTACCACAGCAATCAGACCGTTTAAGTTACGAGAAAAAATGCAAAAGACGCACCGAATCTTCTCCCGCACTTTGGCATCCCCATCGACGCGATTCCACAAGCTCACGATATCCTCACTCTGACGCACGCTGATTGTGCAACCACAAATTTCTGGCCACCCCCCTTCTTCCCCTTCCCCCTGTGTGCCACATTCATCAAACATGTCACCCACGACGCCCATAACAAGGTCCTCCCACACCCTGTCTGCTACTCCCTTACGCAATCGTATGATCCACTTTCCACCAGTACGATTCAGGGGGTCTTCCCACACGGGCCTGCGAACACCTGCATGGAACAGGAGGTAGTCCGTAGTGGGCAGGAGTGCAGAGGGGGGCGAAAGGTGAGTTTGAAGTCCCCAAAAAGATTCAACGCTGGAAAAAGAAGCGATCTTTTTGATGCCTTCTTCATAATTGGTGATTTTATTTCCCGGAGCGCGCTGTTGTCGGAACCAGAAGACCCATCTAGTGAAACGGACATAAGTCACGGATGAGAATGAGAAGGAAGCCACGAACATACGTATTCCGGAGAGGGTGAACGGCCAGCGGTGCAGGAACATCGACACCCCGGTCGCGCTCCTCGTGTGGCGGGTGTGCGACGGAAGTAGAGAAATGCCTGCTTGTAGGGGGTCGCGGACGCGTCTCTGCTGGAATGGTGGGTGTGGTAGTAGCTGTAGTTGTGGTGGTGTTAGATGCTGCGTTTGCAAAGCGAGTCTGGAATTGCGAATGGTTGGAGAAGTAGCCAGCCATTGTGAATAGGATAAATAGATGAATAAAATTGCGAGAGAAAAAAGAGATCTTGGATGTTAATGGAGTATGGAGTACCAGGATCGGCCACTAGAAGCAGAAAGAGAGGACGCTCGGTGAGTATCAGTGAGTATGGACAGACAAAGTATGAACAAGATGGTATCGTAGCCCGGGTGATTCAAGAGAAAAGCAAAGGATAATAGGATTAGTAAGCCGTAGTCTTGTCTGTCCTTTCATCTCAACCACTACCACAAAATCTAGAACTTCTGGGCCATAACGGCTAGGCAACCACAAAGCACTCATAGACAAGTACTTGCATAGGAATCGATTCGATCATTCAAGACACCATCGCATTATTAATACACGTCCGCATCCTCTATAGACTCACTATACCATCCTTTCAAGATCTGAGCGGCACCATGTCGCACGCCAGACACCAGTCCTCATCGCCACGTAAGTCAATGCGGGCGTCTGAACCGCTCTCGTCCCTGGATCAGACTATGCCAAATGGGGCACATTCACTGGCACATGAACTCGCTGTTGCACTAATGCCTGAGCCTGGAGGCGGGTCCCGAATGCTGGCGGAGGAGTTTGGGATTGAGTACGATGAAGGCGCAGAAGGCATTGATGAAAATGACTGCGTACGTGGAAATGAGGAGCGTGAAGTGCACGTAGCAGGGGACAGTCTTGCGAACGAGATTGGAAGTAGCCTAGCTGATGAGATGGGGGCCTCTAATTTGGCGGACGAACTAGGCGGGAGTGGGAGCGCTGATGAGGACGCCGATGAAGATGTTGAAGACAGTCTAGATGAGGATGATGGAGATGACTCGCTTATACCAAGAAGACCAGAGCAAGATGCCATGGAGATTCTTGCACAAAATCTTGCTTCAACAGATCAATTCCTTGCGCATTTACGCGCCGTCGATGCTATACCTACTTTATCCTCCGCACACACCTCGGATACTGCTCCAAGCGCACACGTCCTGGAAAGACTGGCATCGGACATGATCCGTGCTATTAACGAGGCCACAAAAGAGAGGGAAAGTCAAGTGCGCGAGCTCATTGCCTATGAGCGCGAATTCCGCCGGCTTTCCACCGAGGTCGGTGGAAATGACGTCCTTTGTGAGTTGGATGACATTGACGAGGGCGAGAGCGACAGCGGACATGCGCCGACGAAGTTAGATACCGTCGCCGAGGAAGACGAGCTTGACTCATCTTATGCACCATCCTTACCTTCATCGCCCCAAAAGCCCTCTTTCGCTGCACCCCAGCCCTCCAGTGCTGCTGCACCGCTGCCGCACCTGGTACAACTTAGAACACATACGGCGGCCCTACTCTCATCACTCACGACGATATCAGAGCAGGCGCAGGTGAATGGAGCCGCTACAGCAGATTCAGGTCGGCGGATTCGTGCACTGAAGAACCGTTTTGGTGGGTTACGCGGGGAGTGGGAAGGCGCGGAGCGCAGCCGTGGACGTATTGAGCGATGGGAGCGGGAAGGCGCATATCTCAACTGCAGGAGAGTTGCTGAGGAACACATGATCGCATTCCAACAGGCCATAGATGAGGCGGGGGTTAAGACACAGGCGATTATGGCGCGATAGATGGTATGATGTAGTATGGACTTGACTACGCTGGAGGATCGCTACATATCTATTCACATTCACTCATTACAGTATTATACCAGCACATCATTTATTGTATGTAGGACTGACTAGTCCGACGTCGGTCACTTCGTTCCGGAAGATATGTTAAGAGTTACACCAAAGTGTATATACGGATGTGAATTTCAACATGATACATGCTCGGAGGACCCGCAGTCACTTTTAGCACCGAGATATAACCAGGCGGTAATATTTCCTTGGGTATAGCTATGTTGAATTGTATAGCACTTAGTCATGTGCAGTCCTCACTCGAAGCATAGTAATACACCCGAATGCTTACAGTATCCGCCAATGGGCGGGACTTCAGCTACACATTTGACTGTTGCGGGTGGACATGACGGTGTCTGATACAACAAATCTAGTAGTGCGTTCTAATGTAGCAGCATTTAGTATCACATTCTGTTCTCAGAAGGCATTGTACCAGTGGTCGAAGCTTTTGCAGGCACGACATTAACCCCTGATGGTAATTGGTCTTGGGTACTACGGTGGAAAAATCGTGGTCAATAGATCGGTCGTCAATGCGGAACACTAGAGCCATTCCTCGCTAAAAATGATACCGTGACACAAAGTCTTTCTGCAAATGTCACCTGCAGTTACCTTCATCCAAGCGAGGTTTTGCGGAAGTGGGATGATAATACCACTTCGCCGGCCTTTCGATTATCAATTACAACTTGAGAATGGTCCAATGACTCATTGTGTCCTGTTGGTAGTAACACGTAAGTTAGTGGCTGTGCTATGACATGTCAGCTGAGCATTGTGCAGAGCTGACTGAGCATCCTAAGACTTATATGAAGTAGGAAACGCGATGATAATTGAGCGAAGACCGCAAATAGATACTAGTACAAGGAAATGGGCTAGTTGCGCAAGTTGTACACCTTCGTGCCATAGTATACACCCGCAGCACTACTCGTTGCAGCGAGCACAAGGGGTACCGGGCCCTTGGTAATACGCGGAAGAGATGAGAGCAGTAGCAGGGCCGAAGCACCTACGAGAACAAAAGTCAGTATATGTATAAGAATGAGGATTTGAAAGAAGGCAACGTACCTAAGGCGACCTCCAACCCATTTGGCGCGCCTTTCCTGATGACTTCTGCACTCCACAGGAACAAAAGACCCACACTAGAGTACAAGAGTTCGCAAAAACACGCTTTTATTTTACCAGGACGCGACTCACCCGATACCAGCAACGAGCGAAGGAACCGAACGAGTTCTTGCATACCCAGTGATGCCGCCGACGATACAGAGACCGCCCATGGTGTATGCAGGGTAGGCAGACTGGATAAACTTGGTGTGAGTGGTAATTCTATATAAATAAAATAAAAGTCTTACCATTGTGCAAAACTGTAAAGCGAAGAAAATAATACGAGGTTGGAAGTAAGGTGGTTTTGAAGTCGTGGAATTCGCAACTACAACACTTTACCCCGCATAGGCCCATGGCATCATTAAGTACTTATGGATTGTCGGAGATTTCAGACTCCGCGGTAAGCGATTAGTAAAATAAATTAATATATTCACCTCCTCGCCAGCTGAACTATGGATGCTCAGCTCCTTGCACCGCTCACGCAACTTACTGCTCTTTCCCAATCACTCTTCCTTTCGTTATCTCACCAGCCTTCGCAAAAACAAGTTCCCCCACCTCCTCTAAGCTCATTTGCAACCGTCGATGCTGAGTTGCAAGCAGCACTGATAACAGCGGCAGCACATCAGCGCCGACAGGCACGCATTGTCGCATTACAGCAGGAGCTATTGGAGGTGGATGCTCGATGGCGCGCTGTGTGTGAGGCATTGGAAGAGGGGAGGAAGGTATTGGACGAGATCGTGAAGGAGGGCGATGAACGTGTAGAATGCATAAGAAAGGCAAAGGAGGGTTCGTAGTCTATCTTTTCATCCGGTTGACATTGAACTGGTGTACACATGAAGCCGCGATCCCTTATCCCGAATTGCTTGCATATGCACAAAGCCTTAGCGCCTTTACGAGTGCGCCGCCAGGCTTGACTATGCCCGAGCCAGGTGCTGTAGGTCCGGTGCCTCTATTCTTCCCGCCATTCCCAAATGAGGAGAAGATGCGCCGTGGCAGACTGAATGTGGAGCGTCCGCTGGGTGGGCTTGGGGAGAATCATAGCGTGAGAGGTGAGTGGTTCTTCAATACATATTCTACTAGTGGTCGGGTTTTGTCTACTCCTGGTTTCATATTTGGTTTAATTCTTATGACTCTCAAATATTATCATTATTTTTGAGTGTAGTTTGTTTCCTTCACTATATATTCCCTTCTGTGCCTTCAAATTGAACTCAAACTAACACATGAGCAGCGCCAGAGCCGTCGCCCCCACCTGTCCAAACACGCGAGCGCCCAGGTGTGAACCCTTATCGTCACGATACACGCCCACAGCTGGCTGTGTTCGACCTCGATCTCGACCTCAATCCAGATTTATGATCTCAACTGTGTTGCGGGGAGATCTTGTTAGGCACTGCCGGTGAGTTTTGTTGTGTTCGGTTCATTGTTTTCTCTCATCTGGATAACAAAGTGCAGTGCGACATCGGGGAGAACCAAACTTGAGGTGGTAGTCCCTTCAATGGCTCAACTCTTGTCTCAGTTGACAGGAACGGAAGCACGCAGTTTCGCGAGGCTGAAACTACCGGTATATATCTTCAGCCTATGAATAGTTGCAGTCATTATAAGACTGCCTATCCAATGTCCATCGTACCCAGATGTTAAGGCCAAGGTACCAAGTGCTGACTTTTAACAATTACCATTAATTCGTTACATACTCAGTACTCAGTTTCTAGTCCAGCGCAAGATGTTATATGATGTGGGGTAAATGCGGGGTATGAGAAATAGTTAGCCTCCTTCCAGTTCCTTATCTTCCCCTCGATGATTCCAAATAATTGAAGTAATGTCAATATGTATTGTCGATGATCAAGTTCCTCGATCCTGCGAATGAAGGATTTACGAGGCGTGGCCACATGCGGGTGGGAACACTTGAAAGGATGTCAGGAAGAATAGTTTGTCACGATGCAACGCCAGGCTTACTGCAGGGTATACCATTGCAAGACATGGCATAGTGAAAGAGAATCAGTTGTCTGCCTCCTTTGTCTTGCGAAGGGTTTCTAGTGCTGCAGTCTTTGCCTCCATTAGGGAGGCTACTTGTGAGCCTTCGACAGACATTTCCTGTCGACCCTCATGCACAAGTAGCGGTGCTGCAGGCATAGGTGCAGACTTGGACCGTTTCATCATTTTGGCTAGCAACTCCGATACACCACCTATACTCCTCTTTCTACGGTGTTCCTGATCAGCACGGATTTTGGCCTCTTCGAACTGGCGACCCCATATGATAAGTTGTCTGCGAAACCCAATATTTGGCGCAACTATTCCACGCTTTGCTTGGACATGCTTAATGGTCTCCAAAGCGTGCATCGGTGTTGTTGCGACGAGATAGGCGCAAATCAAGATAGGTGATCTCGAGATCCCCTGGAAACAGTGGACCTACGAGGGGTGCCTCTGTTGGTTCCTACAAATTAAGAGCTTAGCGATCCAAGGCGCACCAAGACTTTTGCGTCTTCCTTATCCAGCGCCTCCTTGATAAACTCCACGGCGGGATCGAACCATCCGCAAATCTGCTCCTCGGCTAAATCGCGCACGGGAACGTGGAAGACCTGGATGTGCGGTGGAAATACGCCCGTGATATCAAAATCGATAGCAGATACGACGTGTGTGATACCGAGACGTGCGAGGTTGCCTGGTGTGCGAGCGGTGTGGTAATCGGTAAGATAGAGGCGGGGAGTTATGGCTGTTGCTGCGCGTCCGTGAGACGGGTCTTCCTCGTTCCTTGGGCGTCGAGAAGTTGTTTTTTGGATGAGTGATGATTGCCATGAGGTAGAAGGGAAGGATATCATGATCTAGGATGGTGCGAAAGAAGGGGTATCTTCAGTAGTGCAACAATGAAGCTCCTCCGGTCGAAGCTGGGAATTTTATAGGTCCAGGTCGACTTCCGGATCAACTGAATACCTCAATAAACGAGACCTATGCAGGTTTCTCAGCTGTCGTAACTCATCGGGCAGTGTACAGGTCATCGCATTACATATGCAAAAACAACTATAAATACAACTCTAAGCTCTTAAATTTGGCGCATAACATGGAAAGCGCGCCCTCAGGCCTCATGCCTGCTAGGCCTGAATATGCATCAATATATGTATTTCTTCATCTCACAGGCTGCGAAGCTATTAGTAACTCTTGATCGGAATGGTAGCCTCCAGGCGAATCGGCGATATACGGCCAGTTCACAGACATAACTCACAATAATGCGATGTATGTGATATGATATTTGGATAACCTAAGCCATATGTAGTAGTCATGGCAGGTAATACACGACGTGCCAAGTGTGTGACATGTCCCTGGATACCAGAGGTGAAAGCGTACTGGAAACTTGCTCGCAACTGAATCATGATGCAGCCTTTTGCTCAGCCCGTGCTTTCCGCTGATGCGTAAAATCAGTACAGTCAATTACGGGACTTTGAGAAGTCAGCCCACCGATCCATTGAGAGCGTAGAGCGAGTTCTTGCGGAACTATGTGTGCTTGAGCACTCAGCACATAGAATCAGACACCTGGAAACGTACCTTGGAGTCAACCTATAATGAAAAGTGAGCCCAAGAGCAAAGATTGAATATTTCGACAACGCACCCCCCTCAGCGACCGAGACCGGTTAGTTTGTGGTCTCCTGATACCATTGCGGTGTGCCTTGCGGTTCTGGTTGTGGTTGGTGTGGCTTTGCAAATTTCAGTTGGATAGATATCTACGAAACTACCAGACGCACTTTTTGGACTTGGCCATGGCGTCGACGTTAGTTTGAGGCTTGGACTCAAACGATTCAATGTGAATATTAATGACCGCGTTGGAATCAGGTATATCGAATGATGTGGCTGAAGAACTGTCTAGTTGATTGTCCCACGGTTCGGCAAACCCCGAAGGCATTACTCTGGTAAGCTAGATTAGTAATACGTGACTTACATCATTTCAAGTTGTAGGACTCGTCGTTTAGTATACATACTTATCGTTCAAACCACTATGTCGAAACATCACCCCGGTGAGTCTCCTCTCCTGTGACTCTAGAACAGATACTTGAATAAACGATACAGATTTGATTATGTGCCGGCGCCAGCCTGGTATTGGTGAGTACATCATAAATCGATCCGGTGGTGATGTTACTAATTTTTTATCCTATGAATGCTTCAAGCTATTGGCAGATTGTGCGAGAAGTGTGATGGTAAATGGTACGCCAAGCAACACTATCTTTCGTGCTATCAACTAATACGCAGAGACTCAGTCCCGTCTGTGATTCATACGTTCGACCTGAAACACTCGTCCGGATATGTGACGAGTGTAATTTTGGTACATATGGAGGAAGGTGTATTATCTGCGGATCACCAGGTGCGTTACAACTATTCGTGCGTTTAGAGCATAGATCATTCGTATCCTCGTAGGTATCTCAGATGCGTACTACTGTGCAGAGTGCACGCGGTTGGAAAAAGACAGAGACGGATGTCCGAAGATCGTGAATTTGGGTGCTAGTAGGACAGATTTATTCTACGAGAGACGCAGACTAGGTCAGTATTGCGTGGTTGAAAAGCTTCTCGTCAGCTGCTAACATAAACCCTTGTCCCATCCAGGCTTTAAGAAGAGCTAGCCTTACATACTACACTTTGTGCGACTTCACTCATGAGTTGCTCCAGATATTGCGCTCCAAGATGCCTGTATTTCATTATACGAAGACGGGGTAGGAGTAGGTATGCGTTTGATTGGCTACCCAAATGCGTAGAACACTAAGAATATATATATATCGGTATACATTTAGCAGTACACTGGGAAAGGGATAATAGGCGGGCTGTCGTTGGGGTTTTCCAGGTTTGCAAATCGCCTATATTCTCATTAGATGGCATTACGTGAAAGCTATAAGAACAACACACCGGAATTGAACCATGTCGACCTTCTTCGTGTGTTAGTAGATGGATGATGTAGGATACGGAAAACGTACAGGTGCCTTAAATACAACAAATATGTGCGTCTCGTCATGAGTGTCAAGAGATTCACATTCTCCACATAGGTCTTTCGCGCAATACGCGCAACGGTACCATGCTCCTTGAATACGCTCCATACAGCGATCGCAGAGCGCTGTGGAGTGAACCAAATGATAGAGATACTCTGAGAATCTTCGATGTGAGTGTGAAAGCTTATCAATATGGTCGACAAACCTTGTGGATCTGCGTTGGGTGCGAGGCCGCCAACAGGACCTGCCGGGACCTTGTACCTACCAACGCGTCACTGAATAACCTCGATGAATTGTTACAATTTCAAAGCTCACAGTTTCGGAAGGAAACCAGACGGTGACTCGAGTTGTACATTAACAGGTCTCGGTATCTTGAAAAAAGAATGCATTGGGTCATGGATGGCATATGACTTCTGCTCGCATGATTGGCACTTAACATTCGCGATGAGAGCAGTGTAAGTGTGTAATTGCAATGCACATACCAAGCTATATGCAGTGGGTGAAGAGGGGCATGTAGCACATTGATACCGTGTACCAATTATTGTCTGGAGAGTCATCAGCCCTTCATGGGAGTATGATTGCGAGGACCAAACCTGGTTGCAGCCTTTGCAGGACAAGTGGTGGTTTAGCGACTCGCCATCGAGCGCACTTCGGGCATGTCTCGAGCCAACGACCGTCTGAGCATATGAAGAGTATACAGAGCCTGGTTTGGAGCGGGATGCAGTCAAAACATGTGCTGCGTCCCTGCCTGTCCATAAATGGATGGCACGGCGGCTGGCCGTTTGCACTTCTGTTGTTTCAAGTGGATAGGGAATCTTGAAAAAAATAAGCAATGTGTCGACCCTGAGAAAGATGTTAGATACTTTTATCATAATATGCGAGGATATGTGCCCCCCGTCCGAGGAGTCCAAGTTGCCTGGAAGTCCTGCAGACTCGCAATTGGAGCAAATGTCGATGGAGTCGCAGATCGCGCAGTGGAATCGGGCACCAAGAATATCTTGTAAACAACTGAAATTCATCAGGTGCTGTAATCATGTCGCCATAGGCCACCTACTGTGCACACTTGACGCCGGGATGTTTCATAGCTACAAATATAGCAGTGAGAGAGGACAGACAGCTGTTGCTTAAAACACTCACAACGTTCCTCATTATTGTCGTTTGACATTATCATTGGTAGAGCATGTGAATATTCTGGTTCGCTTCTAGACCTAACAGACTTTTCCGTGACTACCAGGAATGCATGTGAAGGGTGTATATCGTGGACTTGGCTGCCCAACCAGGTATTAGTTCAATCTACATCGCACAAAAAGCCACTTGCCTGTAACACGCTCGACATAGATTGAATTTCTGACATGATGTACATTTATACCGCTGGTTCGCGATGGCTGAATTGCAAGTCGAACATTTACAGATATGCATATCATCTTGCTCTGTGAAGAATGAAGGTAAAGATGTCATTCCAATGTCGTCGGATATTCCATTGTATGCTTACCTACGTCTTCCCATCCATGATGGCCCCAGACCTTTTCAAAATACGCATGTCTGAGCTGGCCTTTCTGTCTGGGAGCGGAACGACTCCACGAAGATAAATCGTCTTCCGGAGACGTAGATTCTGCACCTGATCCATTCCGCCGCTCCGTGCTTGCACAAAGCGCATGTATCACGCCAGCCGATTCAACACACCCCGAGCACAGTTCAAAGCCCATAGTAGATGACTCGGATCCATGGCGAAATCTGAAACCTGACCGTGCACTATATAATGTAGGGCTTGACGAAGAGGAACCGGGTAAGGAAGGGAGTGGCTTGTTGTGTTTGTGTTCGCTGCGCGTCTGCGGCGACCCGCTTAATGTGACAGAGTCGAAGAACGTAGATGGGGATGGTGAAGACGACAGGAGTGTGTGATGAGAAGGAGGGGGATAAGAATGTAATGGCTCTAGGTCTCTGGCCTTTCCTTTGCCTAGATCAGAGTCTGAGGCATTGCGGAGCACGATGCTTGCCAGAGGTTCCTTCTCGCCACACACCGCACAGACGTACCGAATGCCATCTAGCATGACTCCACAGTCTGAACAAGTAGTGAGCGAGCCTGGAGGAGGTCCTGGAGGTGCAACAAACTGGAGCACCTCTGGTGGAATGTCGGGAGCGATTAGGTATGGAGCTTGGTCAGATGTGGAGGAGAGTGGGGGAAAACGCTTATATGAATCAGGGGTGTCATCGGAATAATCATTATCTGCTAGCTTTTGTTGCGAAACAATCCACGTAAGCTGCATGCTGTTTGGCCGCGGGGGCGAACCGCTAAAGGGGTCGGCGTCATACTTTACACTCAAATTGTCCTCGTAACCCGAATCATGTGTCGTAGAACTCGCACCAGTATACGAGTAGTAGTATTTCCCGCGAGGATCTCGTTCCAGCGCAAGATCTCCATCCATGTTGTTAGATGGAATGTGCTCGTCAGAATATGTTAATGATATTGACCTCGAATCAGATTCCGAGGGCTCAGGTGTTGCCCCGAGCATGGCTTTGATTGTGCGCGCATTTTGATCGCGCAACCACGCCGCCCCTCTGTCTTGAGCAGAACGCGCCAATGCTATGTCAATTGGCGTAGGAGAGCATGACCGATGTGAAGGGGCCATGTCAGATGCTGACGTATCAGGGTGCTCCTGAAGCTTGAGTCGTTCAAATGCAACTACAGGGTCTTCTGGAATGCGTTCTTCAGTGAAGAACTGGTGATTGTCTGCGAATGGACCCTCATCATGCATTGTTTGATCTTCCACCGCTGTCGAATCTCTTTGAGATGCCGAACGACCGGTAACACTGTTCTCGGGTATAGAGAACGAGTCTTGATTTTTGACCAAGTCATCCGAACGCGGTGTGATAGGGTGCACTGTCGATCCTTTTGCAAAGCGCCAATTGGTATCTCTCGAGCTCACTGTCACTGAATCATCGTCAACTTCCCCTCCTCCAACGGACCAGCTTAATTCGCCTTCGCTCCTGTTACGGCCTTTGTATTCTTCCATGCTAGCGAGACTTGATGTGTCGCTTAGGCTCGGGCCATCGTAATCAACGGTGATGTGAACACGTAGCGTTATCCGTCTGCTTCCGAAGCTACGGCCAGATAGAATTGATGCTGCAGAGGAAAGCGGAGGATCGTCAGATCCAGCCTGGAAGTATTGAATGGCTTCTGTGAGATCGGATTCTGTGGTGATATCGGTGATTTCACCGTCATCGTCCTTGTACGCAATCACATATGAAGTCGCATAAAGTGAGAAACACTGCTCAACCTGACCGATGGTGTGGAAGAAGAGAATATGAATGATAAGCTTTAAATTTAATGACCAAAGAGACGCACTCTGTTCCTCAGCAGCTCGTATGAACAATTCCTAGCGGAAGCAAAGCTTATCCGCTTGTTCCATCTATCGAAGGCGCACTTGACGACTAGGGGTCTGTCTGGCCTAACATTCATCTTTCCTGCAGATTATACGTTGGCCTAAGTGACCTTCCAACCAAAGGAGGCGCACGTTCCGCAGTCAAGTCAGCACTGTGTTCATCCCGCGCTCAGTAATTTCAAGTTGCCGATAATCAAAATGGGAAATCTCCTATCTACTGGTCGCTCATTGTTAGTACTGTGCACTAAGGATGCGAGCCTCTCTATATATATATGAAGTTACAAACGAACGAAGAACAAGAGACATTGTGCGCATATACAATGATATAATGCTGAAAAGTACTAGGACAAATGGAAACTGCCAACTCCTTCTTTCATCGCAATGCGTAATTTCTCTCGCATCACTGCTTTTGAACTATACTCTGGTAGCTTCAGGTAATTGACGCAGGTCATTACACTTGGCAGGTAATCATCTGCCACAAGTGGTGGTTCGTGTGGTTTGCGAACGACAGTGAGTGGAGGGTTAAGACCACGGAACCCTTTGAACACAGCGTCAGCCAGTCTTGAGATGAAATGTAACGAAACACACCTCCGATAGGAAGTTTCGGGCTTCCTGTGATAAATTGAAGGAAATCACGGCGAGCTAAGGCATCAAAGTCCGACATGATCCCTACAAGCTCGCGAATGGCACGACTCTCGCTGTGGAAGCCATGGTCGGCTTTGATAGCTTCATTCAACGCTACAGTCTTATTGTCAGTCAGGTTGACACCAGTACAAAAATTCACGTACTCTCAACTCCCCAGTCTTCGTCTGAGTTACCAAATAACATGACCAACTCGTCCGCCGAGAACGCCTGCAAATCAGAAATTGGGAACACCTTTGAGAAGCCCTCTCGGAACGCCCTGGCCTGTGGCTGAACGCCAGTGCCAATAATTGCATCCAGGACCTCGTGAATGTATTCTTCTGCATTTTCCGAAGTCACAGGAATGTTACGTCCACCAGGCTATAACATGCATTATGACACTTGAATAATGACAACAAGATGAGACTCACCCGAAGCTCGATGTCGTATCCGGGAACTGTGAAATCAAGCGCAAGATCTTCGACATTGACAATGTCCATTAATGCAACCTTACGGAAGAGCTAGATATCACGGAGGTAAGAAAACTTCTAGTCATGAAGTGGTAAATCAGCCCGAATACCTTCTCGCTCTGCCCTTTCATGGACGCGTAGCTCTGGAGTTTGGAGAGAGAGCTGGCAAGTTCGTTGTCTACAAGCTGGACACATCATATGAGTACGGTGTCTTATTCGCACACAACGTTTCTTACTTTCAAGGACTCGATGGTCAAAGGCACT